CGAATCGTATTTCGGTCTGCCATGCACTCAACCTATAGGTACGGTGCAAGTTTCTTTGCAGCTGCTGCAACCATGTGTTACTATGACCCCTCACTCCTCCCCCTCCCCTCTTCTCTTTTTCACGCAAGCCGCGCGCGTGTGTGTGTGTGTGTGTGTGTGTGGCTGGCCGCTTTGGTTTACTCCCTAAAGCCATGCTACGTATGCCTGTTGTCATTTTAGATGCTACACACGCTCTTTGATCGTGTTGTGCTCTTCACTCCCTGGTGTGTGTGTCATCTGTACATTCTCGGGACGTACGCGATATGGCTATAGCGGCTACAACTATAGCATTGCACGGGATGCTTCCCATTGTGAACAGATTGTAGGGGCACATATTGTTTCTCTACAAAGTCACTCTCAATTCGATATCAGCAAAATTTTTAGAATCCTACTTAGTATGTGTATATATACGTACGTACTACCAGGCATAATTACACCCATTGTGTTAAGTATTGCATTCTGCATTATAGAAATAAACACCAGTGTTTGTGCATTAATTAGGTATTCCTTTGCACCTCTGAGCTTTCACACGACTCTGTGCGCCAGCTTTCCTCATTTTTGAAATTGCTACAAATTACTGCATTTTTACGCAATACGTATCAATCACATGCAAACAAAAACACTCCTATAGTTTGAAGTCCCCTAAATTTCAAAGGTTAAAAATAATCCCTGTTGAAAATTACAACGTGTGGGCTCGAGTCAGGGGGCCTCAATTTTTGGCCCCCGTTTTCCAAGAGTCTGTCAATCTATTTCATGTGCTCTCGCATTTCTTCGATCGTCCGTCAGTAGTAAGTCGGTACCCTTGGCAATTCCTTATTCGTGCCGTCTGAAAAACGTGATAAGATATCCCGTGGCGACAGGAATTCAGTTGGGCATACTCTGTGGCTCATCCAAAATAATTACACAGTGGGACATAAGAGCCGTTAATCCAGATAAGCTAGTTTGGCAGTCACGCACAAGGTGCGCTGCAAACAATGCATACCTGTTCAAATACGACTGCTGAGGCAGTTTTGACAGGGAATTAAGAGCCCTCTATTATTACCTCTTTTGGGGCCTATTTATGGGATGCTTTGCCAATCAGGAATCCATGACTGGATATAGGAAAAAATTGCATATAGGAAAATGCCACACCATCAACAGTAATGGGATATACAATGTTAGGATGCAAAGTGAGCCTAGAAATCAACAATTAAAGGCTAATTGGAGGGGTAACCTCATAATAGAAACTCACACAATGTTTCCATTTAGTATTGCCAAAATTCGCAGCATGCATGGTCAAACTTTATAAAGACCCTCTTCCATCACACGTACGTAGGCGGTATGTCTTTGCTTGCGCAGGCTGATAAGTATGTTTGCATTGCCTATGCCCGTACTGTTGCCATACATTCCAATACTGCCATTCTGTTCCGTAACATACTTGTGTATACGTAATGTACTCTCGTCACGTTTGCACTGTGTACCCGCACACACAGAGCTAGACATACACATTTCGGTGACCATGAAAACGTTTGTTGGCACTTCATTGTTGTCCCGTGTTAGTTACACAGCTGTTATCTGCATCACAAAGTAATGTTTTCGTTTTTTTAGTTTATCACTGTTTCAGTCAAAATATTTTAATGGCAATTCCAAAGAAGTGTGTGTAGAAATGAGAGGACGCAAGCAAAAGAGATCTTTATAGTATCCCTTGTTTGGCCTCAATGACTAAAGTGCCTGCTTCGAGGTAAAAAAAAAAAAAAAGGCATGGTGATTATACGGTGAAGGTGATAATAGAAACAGGTATTGCAAAACCGAGTACGAGTCAGTAGTTGTAAGGATTGCCAAGACATATTTTCTCAGAACAGATCAAAAGGCCATTAGCTCCTGTTGCTCTGTATTAGTAATGGTGACATGTAGCCTCAACAGCACTCTTGTAGTTATGACATCACAGAGACCGTAATCATTACATCATTCCCATGTACCATGCGTATATATATACGTGGACTGAAGGCAAATCCCAGTTGTAATAGCTACACAATGAACCTTGGAATAATTTAACGGGCTATTGGTGCCTTTCCTCTCCCCCCGAGTTTCTATAAAACCGCAAGAATTCCTGGAATGTGCGAGCGTGAGTTTGTATGCGTAGGAACTTCAATGTACCAAGGCAGCTTCTCACAACACTTCATCTTCGTATAATGCGAGGTTTACCAAGTTTTTTCCACCCACTTGTTCCTGGTTATTGTAAGGTCATAAGAATTATCAAGGACTCAAAGACAATGCATGTGAATTTGAATGGTGGACCTAATAAAAATAGCCCTTGAAAAAACTACCGGCCATAGAAAAACTGCAACTGCTTTCACTATTACACCGACATGTGCAACCTTTCAGTGGTAACAGATCTGACTGTTGCCGACATTGTGGAAGTGGAAACTTGCGTGAAAATAACTCTTCATTGCCTCATTTTGGGAAGAGTTTACATTTTCAATACCCCATACAGCTGCAGCGGTATAGCTACTTGTCAGCATGACGAGAAATACCATACATTCACAACTATACACGCCATCCACCCGAAACAATGGCAAAAAAAAGCAAGAGGCAGCTTCCACAACCCTAAAAGACATAAACTTCGCCACATAAACTGGTATATACATTATTATTATTACGTATGTGCGCACCACAGCGCAGTGTAATATACTTGTTCCGTGCCCGGTGGCGAGCGTGAAATTTGAAAAATGTCTGGTGATGTTGGAGAGCCACAGTCTGAGATGGCACATCCGCAGAGTCTGTTGCTCTGTGCACATGACCAGACTCACTGGCACTCTCTCTAGGGCGAAAGCTGGGGTCATGAATACGATTACATGTAAAAACACTACAGTTGTGGTTTTGGAGGAATGTGGTGGTGTTACTTCTGCACTTACCCATCTTGGTAATGGTACTATACAGGTCTTGTATGAGTTAGAGTAGTAAGTACACGATTACTACTATCATCACTCCTCTTTCACTCTTCATTCCTCCTTCTCTTCCTCCCCCCTCTCGCCCTCCCTTTCTTTGCTCCTTGTGGCCAAGAGGCATACGTACATTCATGGCTACTCTAGACAAGACCTTGCTTCCACACATCAACAAACTAATTCCCACTTGACCGTGACAAATAAACAACCTCCCATTTTCCTGCTATAAATCTGTTCACGTCAGGTCGACGCCTCATTTTTGCTAAGCGTTTTTATTTAAGTAATCTCGAATCATGTCGTGAAGTAAATGCTCGAATCTTCCGGAGGACTATGAAAGTCTATTCCTACGTAGCAATGACTCAGCCCAGGACAAACTCGGGTAAGGTTGCCAAGACAAAGTGGTAGTATACCTGCAAGTGTGAGTATATCCTAGCTATATAGATATAGTGATAGTATACGAGGTTTTATGCGTGTATAAGCTCATGCATGACAGGTTTATGATGCTTTACATACGTAGAGTGTCTACACTACATAAGCTGATATAGTTGTGTGGGTCAGAATGAAATGTGTTGTGCCCGTGTTACCAGGGTTTCATCAGTAAGAGCATGCACCAGTGGCGTAGGAACCGTATATGGCGTAGGACTTATACGGAGGCTCTGGACACATTTATGTGTCCGTGGCAGGTTAATTAAGTGTTAAAGTTGGAAAGTTATAATGTACAGTGTGTTTGAGCCGTAAGTGTTTGAGACTTTTGAAAGTCTGTCTGAATAGGTGGGTGGCAGTTTACTAGTAAGTCAGTCAGTGTGTGTGAGGGAGAGATTGTGTGTCAGCAAAATTATGTTGTGTGTGTGTGTTGTATCTGTGTGGGGTTCACACGGACTCAGTGTTGTAAGTATATATTGACCCTCGTAGGCTCATAGTAAACACTGCCTCTCCTCTCAACGGCCTATTGATAATTGATTGAAGTCATGATGTGACATCACACGATGTCATCGTTAATCATGCTCCTCCCACTCGCCACATACATTAACCTGGAGGTAGCGTGGAAAAGTTTGTATAGGGTTAACGCGGATATTCATTTACGGTGCATGGTGCCGCTAATATTCATCCTACACTTAATGTGATTTATTGCCATGGAAATGTGACGACCTTTGTACTTCATGTTTGCTTAATTCTATACAGCTACATGTACAGTAAACCATTACGTCATTGCAATGGACAATAAACCATTACGTCATGCATGCAAACATTGACAGGTCAACATAGCATTAGGGCAGTAGACCATAGGTCTACCTCGACGTAATCCAGACGCAATACAGACCCTATATCTTGTGTTTTCCCATACTTTCCCTATAGGTATATATCATACATACACATCGGTCCATACTGTTTCATTAACTGTCTCCATAAGCACTACACGGTGTAGGTTGAACCCTTTATACATAGGGTGTGTGTAATTCACACATTATGCTACAAAACACGGAGTGCATCCAAGTTTATTACAAAACTTTGCTGGTAAATTGAATAAATACCGTGGGTAACTACACATGACCTTGCAAGAGGCTTCATCTTTTATTAGCAAATTGTAAAACTTTGTTAACGCACATGATGAGCCTACGTACATCAATACAAGAAACTGCCTACACAGTTAATTAGAACTTTCCTATATCCAAGTGTTGTATATGCTTAGTAGCCGAAAGGATATTAAATTAACTAGAATTAGACCACTTGTAATGCGTGTAAGTAGACAGTGTGACTGAAGCATGCATACTTCAAATCAGACGTAATCAATTAGGGGATCGGCACTAATTGTGACGGCTTGAGTTCACCGGTCTGTTAACCATTAGCACTATAGATACACGGTGCATACAAACTCACAGACGGACTGACTGGACATTTGCTAATTACTACATACTACAACAGTTCCCAGCAAATGTAACATGATAGCCTGTGTTAGGAAACTGCGTACTGTGCTGGTGAAGCTAAGCTCTGTGTGTGTGTGTGTGTGTGTGTGTGCGTGTGTGTGTTGTGATGTGACCTAACACTTCTTCAATTCATTTACTCTCCCACTCCCTTCTCCTCTCTTACTTCCATGTCCCTGCCCCGCCCTTCCTTTCTCCTGCTCCCTTCTCTCTCTCTGGCCCTTCTCTTTCCTTTCCATTTCCTGCCTCTGTCACTCCCTTGTTCCTACTTATCCCTCCCTGTTATTTCGGCTCCTTCCCCACCTTTTCTTTCTACTCTCCCTCCCTCCCTCTCATTGTCCACCGTCTGACTTTAGCCAACACTTTGCCAGTGTTTCCATGCAGACAGTCGCCATGCGTACATCGTACTTCGGAAGTCTGAATTTGACCGATACTCTTTTATCCCCGTTATCTCTTTTAGTTTAGTTTTCTCTCTCACACTCTCTCCTTTGATATCTCTCTCTGCTCATCATCTCTCCTTTACTATTCTCTCTCCCCCTTCTCTCCATTGCTAGGTCCGGACTAGAGGTCCAAAGCGGCACTCACACTCCCACAGACCTCCGCAGTCAACTCAAAACCACATTGCGCAACTTCAGCAAGAGAAGTAAGTTCGCTAAGTGTACCTTGATTAGAGTGAAACCTCTGAATAAGGAACTCCTTGGAATAATTAAATATATCCTTAATTCACCATTATTATTATTCAGATCTAATGCATATATTAGTATGGGGTGGAACCAGACATCTTTCATAGACACGTGTCCTTATTTGGAGGGTCTTTTTTCCAATGTATAAAAGAAACAGTTGGCTTTGGTCAGTTTGCTTTACATAATATTATATTACACCAATTCGTTGAGCATGAGCTCATCTGTTACATAACTCTGTGTAAGCACTTACACAGAGTTACGTAACCCACTTGCGTCGCAACACGTGCTGGGGGTTTATCAGATTACTCATATCACACATGATCGAGACAATTTTCCTATATAAAATGCGTGTAGGGTTCTTGGCTACCTTGCAACGAAATAAATCTGATATAATTTTTCTTTTACGTAAGCAACCAGCTGGTTAGTGACATCTTAGATTGTCCAACTTTGACCCCAGGCAACCGTTTGTTCCCTGGTAAAGAAAGGACGCACCAATCCCTATTGTAAATCGTAGGAAGGTGATAAAAGCATTTTTGAAATTCCACCTTAAACTCATTGTATAAACCTTTCCCTTTGAAGTGTTGTCTGGTAGCCATGACCACAGCACCCTGGGTGGTTGTCTAGATGTTCTGTAAACTTTGACCTTTCACAATAACACACTTACATTATCCGTGACTTCACACTTTGTAGCTTTGCAGCTTTTATCCATTGTGCTGGTATTCACATGATTATAATATTGCAGTTTTTCCTGGTATACTGAGCATGTGGATAATATCCTAGTTTCTTCATTCTTTAGCCTCACTATGCTATTCATGCTGCGCGCTCATAGAGCACACTTGCCATCATAAAACCTATACATTATAATATAGCACTTCAGTGCTTGAACGGTTTTGACTTGGGTTGAGACTAGAAGCGTGAGGAAAATTGGAAACCCTTACTTTCTAGCCCTAACCCTTGACTAGATAAAGGCCAAATCCAAAACCCGCTGGCTATTATAATAGCCTGTATCCCATATGCACATTGTATCTCTAATTACCCCACCAGACATGTTAGAATTCAATTAAAACCTTGCAGTATGTCGTTCCATGTACGTTTGTAACACCTATACTGACTGTACCTACCAGTATAAACGAATAATGTTTTAGGAACACCTTTCTTTCCTCTGGAGGCTAACACTTTAGTCAGAGCCTTAATGATCACACGCATTCATGCATATCTTGCATTATAACGATGTGTCCCTTTCCTGCACACGCACAGACGTTGGCACAGACGTAGTTGACACAACTGCGTGTGATAACAATTATTCAAATTACCTGTCTGGACGCGCAAATACATTTGGAATTGGTTATCGAGTTGCCGCAGCGTAAGGGTCCATAATAGTATTCTTGGTACTCGGTGCAACACGAACATAGGGGGGCCTTTTTCCCTGGGGGTTATTTACACCAGGTGTTTTTGGAAGACAAACTGGATATTCTGTGTGTAATTCTGAAAAAGCTGCCTGTGTCTTAATTGCATTCCCTGGCATGTCGTGGTCATGAAGGTGCCTCCCTCTCCCTCCCCTCCTTCTTCCTCTGTCTGGTTCTTTCTCTCCTTCCCCCTCCACCCCTCTCCCTTTCTCTTTTCCCTCTGTCTCTTTCTCTCTCCCCACTTTCTCTCCCTCCTCCTCCCTCACCTCCTTCTTCCACTATTCCCCCTTCCTTTTTTATCTCTTCCTCCCTTTACTCCCTCTTTCCTCCACCTATTCCTTCTCTTCTCCCCCTCTCGTCCCTCAGAGCGCAGATCCTGCATCACTCGGCCAAAATGGAACATCTGAAAAAGAACTACGTCAATCAGTTGACAAATGCACTTCGCGATCAGCAGAAATACACCCCTGGCTCACAAGAAGTAAGCACTTAAACAGTCACTATTCCACAGTACAGTATCTAAATAAGAGACTTTGGGGACCTCTATTCCAACGCGTGTACCTTATTCGGAGGTAATATGTATACTATTTCTTCAGAGGTTCCACTGCACATTAGCTCGCGATCGTGCTGAAGATGGTAGACAAAATAGAAGAACTACACTACAACAAAGGCTTAAAACACTTAACCAGCCACGGATACATAAATGTGTTGCCAGCCTCCATAAGTCCATAAGAATTTATATGGGGTTATAATACTAGGCGCTAATACTCTATATATACATCATTTTCTGCTTATTTAAGCGGATAGCCATGGCGTCAAAAGGCTTAAGAACCAAGTAGGACTATAATACCAATAATAATAATGCATAGTCTGGCGTAGCCTGCCCGTGAAATAGAGGCCACGCCTAAACTAACGTAAGCAAGTGCGTGGGTACACTACTATACTAGGCTATACGAACTTTGTTGATGAGTGGTGGTGGTGTGGTTTGCGTACGAACATGTACACTGCCCCATGTGAACGTAACGAAACACCATGTCACAGACTATTATCACGCTAATGTATTTGGTTTCTTTGGTTTCTGGGATTTTGGCCCTTCCCAAAATGCCTCGTTCATCGAGTTTCGTGGTACTCCTTCCATCTCTGTTTTCGTCCAATACTTAACTGACAATGTGGGTTTACGTATTTCTCGGAATGATAATTTTACATTTCGCTGCGCACCTCAAAAAGATAATCAGGTCGTAACCAATAAATTCCCACCTAGTTTTAAATTTGTCGCGCAAATTTGGGACACGTTTGAAACGCTATAACGCTACAGTTTCTCCAGGCTGTTGTACCAGTCACTCAATCTGTCTAGGAGCATAATCATTCATTTGTCGAACAAATTAAAACCAGTTTCCTGTTATTTTACAAGTATAGCCTGGCTGATTTCCCTGGCGCCAGAAAACCTATATGCTTCATTTTCTTAATTCCTGCTTGTTGTAGCTTCCTCATTCGCAAGAAGTTAATGCAGCTTAATTGCTTCCTCAGTTCCAGGAAGTCCATCGTCTGGTGAAACATATAGTGCAGGACATGCATGCACAGATCGGAACACCTGAAGATTGCAACGTCAGAGAACATGCCGAGAGGGAAAAACTCCTGGAAATAGAGGAACAGTTGAAAGCCTTCAAACACTCGCGATTTAAGCCTCTCTCGTCTCCAGAGAATAGTCAGGTGAGAATCACATGATGTCATGTGATCCAGTACAAAGTCATGTGATCCCATGTGTTGCTAGCAGGTTTTAGGTAGGTGGTATATAGCCCATAGTCCAGATTCTGTTGGATAGAATTGTCAGACGTAAATATCAGATATTTAGTACGGTTGCATAATTCATTACTAAAGAGATTCTTGTGTCCTATGTATGTGGTAAGGTTGCTGGTATTTTTACTGCATAATTGACTAATTATGCGGTAGATGAGCATTGATTGTTCTAGGAAAATGTACAATTTCCTGTGAATGTTACCATGGCAATGTAGAGAGTTAAAATGATCCTAATTCTAAATATAATTCAATTGATTACCCAATTATAAATAGATACGCCATATAATTCCACCTGTGACATTATGTAACAAACCAACAACTGTACCTCCATCTACGATTACATAGAAGGCACTGTCATGAAAACATAGCACCAAAAGGGCTATAGTTGGTAATAACGTGCTTCTAAGATATCATTACGCCCCAGACATGCATCACCGATCATGGTTTTCTGGTTGATAAGGTATATAAAAGTACCATGATACCTGCCAGCAATGCTAAATAAGTGCCACATGTGATGCGATATACCTGTCTGTTCATCTTCTCTAAACCACAAACATTCGTCCCGATTTGTGTAAACAACTGTAATAAGAGTCAAGTTTGGTATTTTATACGAGTACACGAGTTGTTCAGGCATGGATACGTTGGGATATTATACCTTTACCATTACCCATAAACCGCATCTGAATGGTCATCACAGGGTTACAGTTTACCCAATGTAAGAGAAAGTAAACCCGTCTTGGTTGACAACCAAATTAGTATCATAGGGTTAAGGGTAGCTAATCTCCAAGAACCTTGCCTCGTAGACCAAGCTATACCCTACTTCAGATTAAGGTTTAAGAAGACACACATCCAGTCTACCCGAATCGATCGCAGTGCTGAGTCTCCCTGAATCCAAAGTTCCCAGCAAACACAGAGCTGTGGGGTTTTGGGCATGCGTGTGACTCACCCCCAGGGCTTCCCCGGCAGAAAAGGACAACGTGAATTACCTGGAGGGAGATATGCAGACGTTATTGACAGTTAGCCGGCAGAATCTCTGCTGCATAAGGGAGAGCTATTCTAACACTTGGCTGGAGACCTCGAGAGAGAGAAGCCTAGTCCACGTGTGTGTGTGAGAACGTGCGTGATTTTAGCCTTTTTAAGCGATCTCTGGAATGCGATTGCATGGCAGAATACTAGAAGGTGCACGGTAGACGCAGTGTCAATCATGCTAAAATCATCCACACACGTGTGCAGACACTAATACACAAAGTGTATATACTAGTCTATACACAAGTATTATACTACTTCTAACAGGCATCATAAACTCCTACCATTGAGTGTTTTTGACTGCTTATTAATAGCCTGCTACATTCCAGTACGGCCATAAATCCATACACACGTACACACGTTCCCAGACAAGATTACTGTATATAGAATCAAATCCTCGTTCGTGGATTAAATAGTTGGGGTTGCCATCAATTAGGTGAGGTGAAATTTCATCTGATAACGCGGCTTCCATATAGATACGAAACGTAATCGCGTGCAAACTCTATAGATGGTTCAAATGTTATGTATGGACCAAATAGGACTCTGGTTGGGGGTGTATCGAACCATTCATTGCGGTTTATTGGCAAGGGCCCCTATAGAATCAATCACGGTGTGTACAAACAGCGCATTATAACACAAATCCATTGATGCTTTCACTGCATCTCCCCTCCCTTAAAATCCCATCCAAATATGTACTGGACACGTGTGTATACCAAAATATCGTCTGCAAAAAGCTAATCTGTGAGTGTAGAGGCTATGTCAATTAGCATAAAGATATTGACAAGCCTTGATTAAAGGGACATAGACAAACACTTCCTTGGGCTACTTTCACAGAAGAATGGTAATTATCCCTTTACATTACAAACCTGGGCTGCAGATAATTGCTACTCTATCCTTATAAAAGCCTTACAATAACACATTCTTCTGTCTTACTACAATCACCACCCACAACACCACAACTTGTCAATTATTTATACATTCCTTATCTAAAATTGGTTCTGTTGCCCTAATTTTAGTTGTTCACGGTTCCATTTTTGTCTACTAGAAGGCGAATGAGCACCACGTGCTGTTTCCATGACACCTAAATACTGCCGATACATTACATCACCAAGTAAAATAATAAAGGGCCGACTTGAGATTTGATACGTGTAGTTATAGAAGTGTGAACCAGTGTCGAATGGAGCAGCTTTCTTAGCTGAAGCAAATGATCACGTCTGTGGGAGGCGTATAGAGATATAAGGTGACGCTTAATGGATGACTTAAAGAGGAGAAACATTGGTAAACGTGCCTGTGTGTGGTGGTGCACGTGTGTTCGTGTGAGTGTGCGATGTGTGTGCCATTAACAATTATCTATTGGGCGTGTAGGCGTATTGGGGCATTATTACAAGTGAATGCATGAACGTGTGAGTTTGCGTTCGAATGTAGTGTAAGTTTTAAGTGTTTGTCCGCTGAGTTGGCAGTGTCAGTTTAAAGAGTAATTTAATTGGTATAAGACGTCAAAAGTGCTTTAGTAGACGTGTTCGTCTACTCTACTAAAACGTCTATGACATCATGTGATGTCACCTTGCTATTCCTATGATGTCAAACATCGGAGAGACATGACCGACAATATCACCTCTGCATCAAAACAAGTGTTTGTTGTCCTAGAAGAGAATTCTTAAACAACGATGCACCCCTGCTACCACAGTCACAACACAACATGCATTGCATTCCAGGTACACTAATATACACTGCATTCCTTTGCCATGTATGGTTAATTGAGCTCGACCGCATGTGAGCACGACGGTCTGCTATAAAAGCCAAGTACACTGTGCTCTTAGCCACAAATAGTGTCAGAGTCTTACTCACTCTGAAGTTTGCTTGCACGAGTCAAGCCAATTCAGCCACGTAGCTACGGATCAGTGAACCGCGACTAAGGGATACCACTCCGACACGACTCCAACGACCTCTCTGTGCTAAACTGGATAGACTTGTAGCAAATTCGTGACGTGAGGACACTTCACTTCCCATTATACTGCTGCACAAAGACCGCTGTACGAAACGTGTGCTCACTCACACGCATGACTCAAGACCCATTGCGTGGCATGGCTGCTGTGTGCGACTACCCCTTCTTCAGCAACAGCCAAAACTTCCCCGAAACAAAGCCCTGGGTATGCAATCTTATAGCTTGAGAGAAAGGGAATGAGTGTACATGTGTGTTTGTGTGAGAGTGGGCCGAGAAATTACGCAGACTAGTGTCTAGTTGCCTCTGTGCTTCACTGAAAGGCTTACGTACCGTACAAATGCTTACTTACCATGTAATTATAAACTGTTGTCCTTCAACAGTGAGTCAATAGTTTGCGCTATTCATCAATTGTAATACACTTGGCTTCCCTGTGCAGATACAAAAATCAAAATCGTCTGTTGACTAAAAGTCACGTTATCTACGTATGTACTCTTACTTGTATGCACTGTACAGCATTTAGCTTCTCGTGACTTTTAAACCACCACTAGCAGCCCTTAATTCCCATGAGCACTGTTTTTACCAATTCCCCAATGCCATGGTGATTAAAACTTCATCGCACAGTTATGATAAAAAATACCAGATACTCAGCAATCTCAGTGAGCCCATTGTCTACCATCTGCAAAAGTGCCTGGTAATTATGACTTATCAAAAAGGTAGATTAACATATTCAAGTGGCCTTGCGTTTGAAAGAGACAGAGTTACGAACTCATAGTCAGGTTAAAAACACGTATCAAAAAGGAAGGGTGTAATTACCTTTCGGCCACATTCACTTCCCTGTTACATGTAGAACCCGAATTATGTTTCTGACCTTGTGCACCGTAACTAACCTTGAGCTGTAATATTATATCCACACTGATGTTTTCTTTCGCGTGTCACTAAATATCCTTTCATGGGCAAATGGTGTTATGTAACAGTACGTCACGTCCGGTGGGCACGATGAGCGCTGTCTGTCTTAGTGTGTGCAAATATCACAGGCTATTATGGCACTAAATTTGCCGTTGAAAACTTAAATCACAAGGGGGTTGGTCAGGAAAACCGCATATGTATATACCAAACACTCAGTTGGTGTATTGGTACATTATTAATTTGAGGTCGTGTTGCAGCTTGTATTGCGCTAGACTTGCGACTGCCCGGCGGAATGTGATATTCCACAGGGGGATATGCCTCACTACCTCGACTAATGACGTGTGGTAACAATGCACATGTCCGGGTCAAACATGTCCATACTAGTCCATGCACCCCGCGTTTCAGCGTATATTGGCCGTGGATATGTATTATGTCTCTCCTTTGTGGTATGAAACATTTTCCGGGCCATTGGAGATATGTCAAGCATCACTCCCTCTCCCCCTCCATGCTCGGTAACGCTCGGTTCACGTGATACCTTCATACCCCGTGCATAACGCTGCACGCACGACCATTCTTCCCTAACGCGAGGGCTAAACACACACTTGGCACGAGAGAGAAGCCCCTCGAGTATAAAGGATCGCGGAGAATAAGAGGAAACCCTGATTTGTTCCAGTCCCACATCATTCTTCAAGCACAGAGGCGTTCCTCTACAAATTGGGGGCCTGGTGTACCATTACATATTCTCTGATGCAAACAACTATAGTGAAGTTCAGCTAGGCCATGTACACACCACTCTCCCCAATAGTACTCTGCCAACTTGTAGCTTCCAATTATCCTTGGGTTACATCTCCCACCCAGTAGTACTGCCTCCTACAATGTGGGTTGATGGTTTCCAAACACCGCAGACGTAACACACACAGCTACACCATATTCATCTTAGGTTTTTGGTATTCGGTGTGCAAATGTATATAGTTGATCTGTTCCATACCACTTACATATACTAATTTAGTAACACGCAGCTCGTGTTCCATATATAGCAGCTGTTGGTCAATGGTGCACGTGCAGTGTAATGATATGCTAATGATAGGCAAGTGATTTCCTTAAATAGGCGCCACTCGGAACCCTAGACACCGGAGTTTAGAAACGTTGAAATTCAAAACCGGAGGATCCGCGCTGGTTTCCGCGTAAGGGAGCCACCATTAGGTCTGGGCATGAGTTTTAAGTTACATGTAAAGTAATCCGATAACGGATCGCGTAACTGATCAGGTGCAAGTTTAGATACTGTGGTTAGGACTTGATATGTACAACGGACAACATCACAGCATGCCCTAGACAGGTATATAGACGAGTGTGCCGAGATCTAGCTCAGTTACTGCAAGTTTTGTCTAGTTGTTTCGTAGTTTCGTACTGTCAGTCTCAGACTTTGGACATAGTTAGGAACATAGTCACCGAAACTAAGTATAGACACTGTCAGTTGTCAGTCAACAACAGGGCTCTATCGCTAAACTGCCTACAAAGCTACGTACAAAGAGGAGTGCAAACTGGGCTGGTTTACACACCCATATTGACTGATAAACACCCATCAAAGCTGACTGAAGCTTGTGTAGTCCTACAGCGTGTCTCATAAGCTGCTGAGTGTAGTCAGGGAGTATGGCAGACAGCGGATTTGTGGACGATGAATGGATGGAACTGTGGGCGAGCGATCACCACATCGCACACTCAAACAGTTTCTACTCCATGCCGCCCATAGACGAAGACTATGAATGGAGCATGAGCAGCATTCCCCAGTTAATGGCCAGAATGTCGCGCAGAGCAAGTGTCCAAACTCTGCCACCCATTGGGGAAGAGATGTTTATTCCTGTACGTGTACGTAGTAGCTGGCTATATAGCTGTATAATATGTGCACGAACTTCCCTGTGGGTGAACAAACAATAATATGACAAAATGATTGTATTCTTTTGTAGTGTATTCCCAAAGTTTAACTTTGCTGTTTTTCTTTTCCTCCACTGCAGGTCTCTGGAAGAGATGGGTCTTCTCAATGGAGCAGCCCGCCACTGTCCCACAACTCGGACGAAAACTCTCTTCTGACGGAAATGCACAACCCCAGCTCTCACCATCACTCCGCGATGACTCAGAGCCAAAACGAGAGCGGTTTCTGCGAGGTGGACAGCGACGTAACAGCCTCTTCCCACCACCGCAGCAAGCAGATCCACAGCCCAAACTCGACGGAGTTCCTCACTTACTCCTCGGATCTTTCCGGAACAACCGCTCCCGTGCTGCGGTACTACAACATGCAGCGCTCGGCGTCTGTAGAAGACACATCAGCGCAGGATCAGGAAGGGCCTGCTGATGTTCTGGCAGCACTCATCAAAAACACTCCCCAGCTCCACAGATCAAACGCTAAGTACCGCACGGCCACATCACTTAGCCAAGACACCTATAGCAGCGAGTTCCGCCCACCATTCATTGGCCACCCTCCAAACTCGATTTCCCTCTCACAGAGCTCAGCGCGTGCGTATCCACCCTACTACCGAAAGCCAGGATCGCCGGCCTCAAGCAGCGACACCAGCAGCATGACTTCGTCAGTCGCTCACAGGCTAGGCTCGGGCCCAGGGAGCATGGTGTCCTTCACGACCGATTCTTCAACGAGGTCCAACACCACCAACAAAGGTCTTCTCCCACGACCTCCCTCCCTCGCGAGCACATCCGGTAGCGCACCATCCGTCCTCTCAAAACCAGGCTACCCCTCCTTCGGAGAATTCAGTCAGCGAAGTCGCAGTGAGTACAGCTTCCCCTCCTATACACCAAGCCTCGCCACGACATATGACTCTGACAATGACGAAGATCCTCCCGCAATCAAGCCAAGTCCGAAGCACAGCCGAGACGGAGGTCCCATGGGTCGACGACAAAACGTACAACTGAGAAAGCAACACAAGGACGGGAGCCCCATGGAGGTGTATGGGAGAAGAAGAGAAGGGAAGAGGATGCAGCCGAACCAGCCACGCATCCCCGAGGAAGGCAGTGAGCGAGACTCCTTCACCATGAAGCTGGAGATGGTCCTCTCTGTCCTGTCGCTCGTGCTCAACAACAAGGATCAGACCGATGCCGATGCGGCCCGGATGCTTCTCGCCCTCTCTCAGTCTCCCGAGACGTGTAGCGTCATGCGACAGTCTGCGTGCATGAACATGCTCATCCAAATCATGCACAACATCGACCGCAAGGGGGAGAAGAGTCACAGGGAAGTCCGCGCAAAGGCCGCAGAGGCCCTGCGCAACATTGTCGAGTCTACGGACAAGACAAGACAAGGCAAGCACGAGCTGTGTGTTCTGGCAGTGCTGGAGAAAATCAGAGGTCACTGCGATGCCATTTTCGAGTTCATCCACTCGATCCCGAGCACGAGAAAGGTGGAAGCTTCTGAGCGAGAGCTGCTGCAGAACTCGTGTGAATTTCTCATACAGCCAATGAGAAAGCTATACAAGTACTCCAACGAGAAAGACCACTATCGCCCAGCAGTCCTCACTCTTGGTGGGCTTCAAGCAACAGCCGAGCTCCTCGTTGTCAACTTCCGCCTCATGACCAGCCAGAAACCGGGCACTGCTACAGAGAAACCAGTGTGCCACTCAACCAAAACGATCGCCTTTGCAATCTCCATCCTCGTAAATCTCACCCACGGTGACATCCACAACAAATCTGCCTTGTGCATGTTCCCAGACCTCCTCAAAGCGCTGATGCATCACCTTCGGCTCAAGCAGGAGACCCTCATTACCAGTGGAGCCCAGCTTCTCCGAAACCTCTCCTGGAAGGCCACTGCCGACATCAAAGATTCCCTGCTCAAGTGCGACGCTGCCATCGTTCTCATCGAGGCTCTGAGATACGTGAGCGATGAGCAGACGATCCAACACATCACCAGCGCCCTCTGGAATCTCTCGGCTCACTCGATGGAGAACCGAGACAAGATCTGCACAACAGATACGGGCCTCAAGCAGCTGGTGGAGCTCCTCTCCTACAACAGCCCCACGGGAACACCAGTTGTCGTGGAGAACATCGGTGGAATCCTCAAGAATCTTTCGGTCGTCATCATGCAACAGGAAGAGTACCGCAAGAAGTTCCGTCGCTCGGGTGGTCTCGGGAAGCTCGTTCAACACCTCAAGTCGAAGAACAAGACGGTTCTAGCCAACGCCACAGGGACACTGTGGAACCTGTCGGCTCGTTTCCCCGAAGACCAGAAGACGCTATGGGACCTCGGTTGCGTTCCTCTACTGGATGTGCTCCAGACAGCCCACCACAAGAACATCGCCGAATACGCACGTGGAGCTCTCAGAAACCTCTTGGCGTTTGGACGCTCCAACGGTTGGACCAGCAAGTCCGACGTGACAGCCTACAATATCAAGACGCAGCGAGAGCTTTCGAAATCTCTCTGCTACGCTGCCAACCAGGTCTTCAATCACCCTTCGAGCCAGGGGAAGCACAGCAATGAGTCACTTCACAGTCGCCGGAGCCAACCGGCCAAAACCCTCGGGAGCGACGGCCCTTTGGATCAGATGCGATTGAGCAACGAGCAGATAACGAGCGGTGGAAGCATGAGGGACAGCGCCCGAACGCTGCGAGGCTGCGACAGCAAAGATGGTGGGGACGGGGACTCAAGTGGGGAAGAATACGTCCAGATGGAGAGAAACCGCCTCAAGTTCAACAGAGTTGCATCAGTACCGGAGACGGTCCGGAATCATAAGGAGAATGAGTGGTCGAGCTACATGCCCGGATCACACGGTCCTTCCGGCAAGCAGAGTCTCTTCATGGCCAGCCAGGGTTTCCCTGGGGAAAAGGTGGTGGACGTAAGACGAAAGAAGACGTCGCAGGGGGTGATTCGAGTCAAGGATCAGACTGGATTGAGATCTCTCTCGCAGTCCGAGTCGTACCACCTGTCGTCTACGTCGAATTCCGACGGCCATTCGGGGAGTGGCGCCAGCTTCTGCATGCCTCAGCAGCTCTCAAACGAGCCTGGGGAAACTGCGAGCGCTATTCTTCCGTACAGCGATCTGTCCCATTCGACCAGACATGGTGGGCCAGTAATGTACAGCGCCGATCTCGAAGTCGACGACGAAGAAAGTGACAGTATCGACCAACCGCTACCAATACACCGTAAGCAATCAGATGGGGGGTACCACCCGCGGAATCTCGGGAACAGGGGAATGGGAATGGTACCTAAGAGTCCCTCCATAGGTGGTACCATTAACTTAGCACTCGACGGACTTCTTCATGGAGACAGCACAAAAGTGACAAGTGTTTGAGCACTTTTGCGCGAGATTTTCAAGAAAACAGACCTACAAAATACTCCTCAACAATAATTTGTTTTAATTATAGCATATTATATATGTCCGCAAATATTTTTAAAAAGATTGCAGCTGTATACTTATGTATGATGTATGTATGTCACATCAAGCAACCTTGTCATGTTTTGCCAACATGCTTATTGTCATTATTTAATCTCATGTTTTGTTGTAAAAACCGAAAATGTTAGTTTGTAAAGTGGTTGTGAAATATATGATGCGTACTTGATTCACCTTCGACCAGTCTTGGCGCACCTTGTTAAAAACATTCAAGCGAACTCAACAACAATCGTCTCGCGAATTCGATCTTAGGCCAGAAAGCAAGCGTTTTCTCATAATAATTTTGTGATGTATATAAGGTTGTGAAAAATTGTTTAATCTTGTCCAATACCAAACTAATTGTCTTAATTCACCAGAGGTGGTTACAGGTCAGTCAGATGTCGAAGTTTATTGTTCAGCTCCTGTTCTTTACGAAGCTGTTCAGAGCTGTGCTTCTGATAGGCCAGGTATTCCTATGGTAACCCAACGTCAACCAACATTGCCAAATCCTCACTCACGCAAACACTCACATTTTGCAGCTTTTCTCTTTTTCTCTGTTCGTCTCTAAGCTTTTCCTTTAGTTTACTAACCTGTACGTCCTTGGATAACTCAACCGACAACTTTCTATCATATGGGGAGGAAATAATAATACTCACTGCTAAAAATTTAGTGCTTACTCCATGTCTTGAGACAGTGCTTCATTTTCAGACTGTAGTTTACTGACTTTTGACAGTAGCCTATCGTTTTCTGATGACATTTCCTACACAAAAACAATGCAATACCTCACAAATCTTTGAACCTGTTTCATACCTTTGCCAAAGCATCCTTATGGTTTAAAGAAGTTTGCAGTTCGATGTTTCTCTTTGTGAGCTCTGTCTGTTCTGCCCCACATTTCTCTAGTTTAGCCCGTGTTTCTGTCAGTCTCTGCTGAACAACTATGTATAAGCAAAAAAGCACACCAAAACTATATATCCACCAAAGCAACTTCCCACTGCCCACCTTCTTGCTCTTGTTTCCGTCTCTCCAGTTTCTTACTGAACATTTCTTCTCTTTCTCTTTCTGTCAACTGAAGCTCTCTTAACTCCTCCTCGAGAACAGAACATCTTCCCCCAAGTACTCTCACTCTCTGTTCTTTACCACTCAGTATTTCTCTGAGGGCCAACAGCTGCTTCTCTTTTTCTTCGAGTTTGGCCGAAACTCCCGCCTTTTTCTTTATCTCCTCCAGTTCTGCATGCAGTCTTTCTACCGTTTCTCTTGTATTCTTCCATGATAATGGTCAGTTCCTCGTGATTGCTCGAAAGCGCGTGAAATCTTTGTTCGAGAACCGATTTTGCTCTGGACACTTCAGAGAGACACCTTTGAAGTTCTTGGTTGTGGGCAGTGTTAGTCTCACACAGAGTTCTACACTGACTCAACTGCAGACATTAAGATGAACCCTTCATAACTTTTAGTGCAACGGCGGTCTTGCTAGGTAACATTATGCAGAAAAAGCACGTTGAGTACCACGACACGCATCTGGCAGCAGCAAAAAACAAGCTGCTTGATCTCGAATGGTGGCCAAAATCTTGAAATCTTTAGCTACTCAACATACGCTATTAGCACCTGCAATTGAATCCTTCATTCATTGTATTTTCTCTTTTTATGCAAGGTTATGCACAAAGCATGCACAAGTCGTGGTGTATACCCCCATCAACCCACCTCCTTGAAAGTTTCGTCGTTCCTCTGCTTCAGCATGGCAATGAGAGAAGACTGCTGCTCCACGCGAGCTCTTAGCTGCGCCACTGTAACTGCGTCCGAGGTGAAATCCCCAGACCCGACGTTTATTCCCCCTCTGCATCTCTCTGAACTTTCTTCTGGGCTCATAGAGATGACCGATTTGTCCTGCTGCTCCATGCGAGAGCACGCACGCCCACTTTCCGCCCACGCGGGCTCGCTTCTATTTGGTGCGCACCAAGCAACTCAATTTACTGCGCACCATGCGTTCCATTTACTGCACGCTTCCACGCTCTGTCGTTTTGCTGTCACCGCTCTCGGCTGTTGTAACCGATCATGACAGATTCTGCGACACCTATAAATCCTTATGAGAGTCTCTTGCCTCACGACCGAAAAAAGTAAGCGTTACGCTTGAAAGATAGGGACTGAACGAAGGTGCAACATTTATTCAGGTGGGTATGTGTCTACCCGGCGTACGTGAACTCGAGGAAGACGATAAAGCAGGGAAGAAAGATCGCCAAGAGCAAGGCTATTGAAAATCCAACCTGTCCCGAGATTAAAGACGTCTGCACTAGCCAAAAGTGAGCCTTGGGATTGCTTCTACTAAACACCAAACTGTTGTCTCACCTCTCTCACTTTGCCCTCTCTCTTTCCTTATCCTACTGTAACACCTCTCTTCTTCCTCCTACCATCTTACTCTCCTCCTCCCTCTCTTACTCATCCTCCACTTTCCCCCCTCTCTCTCCTCTCTTCCCCCCTCCTTTCTCTCTCTTCCCCCTCTCTCTCCCCCCTTTACTCTCTCCCACTTCCTCGTCCCCCCTCAGTCTAAATGCGGAACTGGAGCACAAGCACTACCCCAGGGACCCTCAGAGAGACCAGCTACACACAGGAAGAGTTAGAGTCCAACTCGTGGGCGAAGACGGAGAGTTTTGTTGTGAAGCAATCCACACAAGTCAGTTTTCAACCCTTCATGCAATGAGATGGCGTGTATATATGTACAAGTGATGTATATAAGATAAGTTATGGGTAAGGAGTATACTAGTGTGACTATGATGTGGTAGGGTAGGGGTAAGTTTTCAATGAGGTAATGATGATGTCATAGGAGTTCGTATAATACCAAGTGAGTTAGTCTTTAATTAAGAATAAGAGTTTTGGAGTGATGAGTGCACCATTTTTAATAAATAATGTATTGGTAAAGTGATGTTTGTATAGTTGCACCATTTTAGTTTGTAATGAATAATGTAATTTTTGTACAAAGGACAGCAGCTGTATCAGATGATTGCGGAGATCATCCCGAAACTGAAAACGAGACAGGCCGGAGCAGGAGGCGGGGCTGAGGGAAAGGGGGCAGCAGGAGCCGGCAAGAAGAAAAAGAAGAAAAAGTGACCAAATTATTCATCAATCATTTTTTCAAAGATCCATTGGCACGATTTCTTGAGTTCTGAATTCAGTCAACTTTCAACGTTGTGCAGGTTAACGCAGTGTTGAAAACCTAGTACTAGGTCCTAGTACATGTAGCTTCTCTTACCCTACCATTGACCTTCATTCGCCAGCCACCCTCCGACTTACACCACATTATATTGTGCCAGCCACACCTTTTTTGAAAGCACACATTAATCGGTGTACTATTGATGATTACCTCAACATTTATCACGTTTTTACAAATATAGATTTTATAATTACACGGTACTATTTTCAAAAATGCACGATGGTACAAGCATGTAGGGATTTTCACAGATCTAGTCTGAATGACAGGTAGGAGTCACGCAGACAGGAAATCAAAGAGGAGACTTAGTTTGGTTTCCGTCTAAAGGAGCAACCTGCAGGCAAGGAAAGAGAGAAAGAGAATTTAACACTTAACCAGCCACTGACGCAAAATGTGTCCAGAGCCTCCATAAGTCCATAAGAACTTATATAGGGGTTATAATACTAGGCGCTAATACTTTACATCGATTTCTGCTTATTTAAGCAGATCCCCATGGTGTCCAAAGGGTTAAGATTACGACCGTTAGGACACGTCTGCAATCAGGACACTGGACCGTTTAGGACACCTTTGCTATCAGGACAACCCATATCAATCAGGACACTACACTGTTTAGGACACCTTTGCTATCAGGACAACCCATATCAATCAGGACACTATATACACTGTTTAGGACACCTTTGCTATCAGGACAACCCATATCAATCAGGACACTACAAGGACACCTTTGCTATCAGGACACTGCACCGTTTAGGACACCCAGCAGTCACATGGAACTATATCTCCGCACCTTCGGTGAGTCTTGCTCTACCGCCAGTCGGCTGACACAGAACCGTGGAACAACTGACGCAGAGTACTACCGTCTGGGCATGACTGAAGACTGTAGTGATCTTATAGCAGCCTGGAGCGAGGGAAGAGATCTCTAAAACAGGCGGAGAGTGGAGGGAGAAATGCACAAAGGGCAACTTCTAAGGTATTAGCTTCTTCGTGCATACACAGATTTTGATGGCTTAATTGTCAGTAGACAAATCATTGGTAGTGGTTCCAAAACTCATACAAAAACGTGACTGGGAAAAGTTGTGCACCACCACTCTGCAGCAGGAAGTGGTTGACCTAGAAACATCGACCTTGAAAACAGGCCGCCAATAGTAAGCGTTTCCACTCGTATGTGGCCACATAGGGGCACTTTCCCGATTCGATTATGAGGCCATAGGGTACGCTTGCATATGTGGGAAACATCGTAGCACACCAGCAGAGCTAGTGCCCCATCACAAACAAGCGAAATTTCCACGCAATTGCACACACCTGGGCATTTCACGTCCATGAAATAGGAGTTTGGGGACTGCACCAGTCGTTTCAGCTTGTGCTTTCTTCTCTCATCGTCGGCGCTAGGATGCAGCAAGTCTGTGGCGAGCTGAAGGGGAAAAATAAAAGTTCCAACACACCGACTAAAAGCGCAGAACCACACAGACACCATTAAAGATTACTTCATAGTCCCTGTCTTACGTTTAACCGTATCGAACGACTGCCGCTTGATACGAGCGGTGAGGCAAACGTGAACTGCACCCGGCCCCACGTTCACGCATAGTATCGTCTACATGTGAACGAACGCCGGCCCGTCGCATCCTGCGACAACTCTAGCTGCGTTCTGTGGGTCTAGAATGGCTTACCGGCATCCTCTCTCCGCAACATCAACGGCCACACGCGTGCAAAAGGAAGAAACAAAATGGCGGATCCCACTTTATTCGCACCACGCGGTCGATCTCCGCTTGTGCAATATTGCGCATGCGCAATACAAGTTTCCTTCGACAGTACAGAATTTTAGTTCTCTTGTTCTAATGAACAACTGGCTCTTGTCTCGTTAAGTGTCCCTATTTCCTCAAAAGAAAACTGCTGAAAACAGTGGTAATACTGATCCTGGGCTGGGGGGTGTGTCATAGATAAGAGCTCGATGGCTGTAACCTACAGAAAGAGGGGAGAAAGAGGAAAGAAAGAGGGAGGAGGAGAATGAGGAAATATTTCGCTGACTATATAGCTATGTCACATACCCTCTCAACTCCAAATTCTCTGTCCTTGAATTCAGCGTAAAGATCTTCGCAAATACCTTTTAATGCCCCCTCCTCCCTCTTCTCCGTCCCCTCCTTCCGCCTCTCCCCCTCCCTCTCTGGCTCCTCGACATCTTGGCTATAGTTAGGTGTGGACTGAAATCTTTTCTACCGTGTCTTGAAATCCGTGTGTTTCAAAGACAGCACGAACTATATCTACAAATCAAAAAACAATACATTGTGAATATTATATATAATACCATAGGTTTGCACTTTACATCAATTTTGACAGTAATTACTAATTGCACTGCAATCTCTATACATATAGCTATTTTAAAAGATTGTAAGTTGGCCTGTCCTTCCTTCCACATGCCTGCTAAAAGTACGAGAAGTTTATGCAACTGCTACTTTCCATGTTCACATTACATGAAACGGACAATAGAACAATGTGTTACAGACTGTCACTAATAACTTAACAGTGGAGTTATGTGACAGGTTAGCAAGCTCCTGTAATACCGCAGCTAAATTAGACCTGCAATTTTTTGGAGTTCTTCTTTTTCCACAATTTCAGCAAAGACAACCATCTCCCCAAAACTGCCCAGACCTGAGGTGGTGAGCAGCAGTGGCTGCTTGTGAAGACACAGTTTCAGGTTGATTTCTCGCGTTGCTTCCAGAAGAGCCAGTCCTGCCCTGGGAGGCAAAGGGGAATCACGAATTGTTTGTGTGCAAATTACACAAAAGCATAAACCAGCTCCAAATTCGCGTGAACATTACTTGCACCGGGTCAATATGCTCCATAAAGCATATGCGGCACACATACAGCAATACAAAATGAGCGATACCATAGACAAAAGAGACAAATGGCCTCATATATACCTCCCCTCTTCTTCCTTGTTCTCTAGTCGGATAACACTCAGCGTGACGTGGAGTTTATCGAGAGACGTGAGAACTGACTTCACAGCTTTGTCTTTCTCTACCATTGCAGTTTGAACCTCTTCAAGTCCGCAGCGAATGGAGGGAGAACTAACCCGCAGGGAAACAAAAGCATTAGGACTGGGTCTCTTTGTGGCCTCTGCTTTATCGACACTCTCTGCAGTACTTTCAAATGCGCTGCGTGCTGCTTTCTTGTGCTTTTTTGGTGGTGTCCCTGGAGATTGTTCCTCTGGTAAGTGGTTAGTCGCCAGAGACGTGGCAGGTGGTGGCGAATGAGTAGAGAGTGAGCGTTCAGCAAGTAACACAGCTTCAACATCCATGGCTTCAGATGAGCTACAATCTCTACTGCAGATTTTTAAGGGAGTGTGAGGTTCAGTTTTTGAAAATCCACAGCTGCCATCAGTTTCAAGCGGGAGAGAAAGATTGGTTACATCATCTGGTTCGTCTAACCAGTCCCGGGGAGTTTTACGACTTACTTCAGCCACTGACTCATCATCGCATCGCCGTAGTCTTGAAACCGTGAGTGGGAGATATCTCCGGAGTATTGGGAAGAACACGGGACTTCTGAATGCAGACAAAGGGAAACTGTTAGCAGCTGGAACTGTTGGAGAAGCAGAGCTGTCGTGTGTCGTAGCAGCTTCATGTGATTCTAGCAGAGAATGTCCGAGTTTATTTGTGGTTTCAGTTTCACAACTGGTTTCAAATCGATGACTTTTTATCTCGCTGCTTGTCTCATTCATGAGACCCAATGAGGTATCTGCAGTTGAATCTTCAGGAACAGAAGAGACACACGAACTTTCTAACAAACTTGACTCGTCCTCTTGTGACGGTTCAACCGAGCCACCATCGGCTGGGGACGAGATTTTATTGTGTGCAGCGGTATCCACTTCTCTGTGGTGGCTAGTAACGGAGCGAGGAAGGCTTGGGAACGGTGCAGAAGACGGGGCAGAAGACGAGGTAGCAAAAGAAGTCGATTCTTCCACATCAGAAGATAGCCGCTGGGCTGGGAAGCAGGCTGCAATCGTTGGTCTCTTTCTCCCCGGCCGACTGACGCGAAAAGAAGACGCTGGGACGCTTGAACGAGCCATTTCCCCTTGCTAGAAGTTAGCTCCTGGACTTTTTCTCTTTGTCCCTCGCACACTCATTCGCGGAACATAACCTTTACTCTCTGCGTCAAATCACGTGATGTTGAAAAGTACTCACGTGAGCCTTCATAACAGCAACAACTGCACTGAAGCGCTAGAGAAACATGGCAAGCAGACTGGCAATGACACTCCTTTCCCGCTCGAGGACGCCACTTCTCAGAAGAGTTCACTTTGACAACGCGCCAGGCACTGTAAGGAGAGCGGAACGCGCGCCCTCTTACCTGCTGTGCTCTATTTGGAATTACCTTCTTCTGCGTTTGCGTTCTATTTAGCTGTTTGTCTAGCCGTAATAGCTGTTTTGGAGCTTACATTGGGGGCTTTTTCGTTTCTTTGCAGAATATGCCGTTCCAGACAAAGAACAAGCTGCGTCTGTTTTTCGTTCTGATGGGCGGAGCGAGTCTTGGTTTCTCTCTACCTTTCATTGCCGTCAGATTCCAGCTGTCCAAGAAATCCAGCACTTAGCTCTTCCCGCGTTCTCTCCCGGCAGACACACTGTGTATTGATGTAGAGCCAGTGTATTGTTATGTGTATAAAAATGGTGTGTATTGTATGACTGGTTGGTAGGCAGATCTTGTAGGGAAAGTGGTGATGCAATACTTATGCCACACATTTGTATATATGACTACAACCCAGGTTTCTTCAACAACAAAGATTATGGCCTATCAACGTACAGAATAGAAGCGGCACAATTTGGTAGGCTTGCCCATATTATTATAGCTCTGCTCCGTGATATTATACTGACACACAATTAAAACAAAAGCTATGATTATAGAGAATTGTCCACAGTTCACGCGTGCCTCTCACCTTTCTCTCCTGCTATCTGTGAGAGTTGCGAGAGAATAAACTTGAAAATGCACGTGAAGATACAGGGCCTTACTCTTTTGAAGTCGCTCATGTTAGTGGTGTCTAACGGTGTGCCGTAAAGTCCTAGGTATCTTACGACCGATGTTTCCTCCCCTCCTTGATTGTCCTGTACAAATACCTGAAGAGAGCAATGAGGGGGCAGGGGGGGAGTGAAAAACAATATTTGAGACGGTAAAACAAAATATATGGAGGGAGGAAGGGATATTGTTCTAGCAATCCATCTTTAGTTTTTAGCTTTTCTGGTGGAGCTTATTGGTGCGCAAGTCAACGCCACTTTTCAAGTGGGCATTATTATTGCGCTTTTCATTTGTAGTGGGATCTTCTGAAAACCGACCGTCAATTTCTGCACGTTCTGAAACTTGACGAAACTCAGTGGGATCTTCGAGTCTTCCAAAACACTCTCTTCTGTCAAACTAGAAAAAACAAAGAGTCTGTTTTTCCCCCAAAAACCAAGTGTAGTTGTTCTACTCACGTAAACTCTTGGAGTGGTGTACTCTGTTCTGCCGTGTCAAAGTCTAGCGTCTGTGGCTGGTTAATAAATAGTTTCACTGTCTTCGGTGCCCTACCTGGATAGATATAATATACAGCAAGATGAAGAGTTAAAATATTTTCGGCAATGTAAAGTATTGACAGAGAATGGAATTAGGTGGAAAATAGAATTTTATCACAAATCGTATGCCGATTGCTAATGTGATTCTTATAATTTTCGCTCCTAAGCATCATAAGAAAGGGTATCCACATATTTTCCACATAGTGCCTATTTACGTGTGTGTAAAAATCGACACAGCTGTCTGCGGGTGACTCACCATCAGTTGGAGCTATGATCTGCATGGTGTGGAGCTTGACTGACTGCACGAAAGCCAGGACAATGATCAGCTGGGGGTCACAGTCACTCTCCAGGTACTTTGCGTTTGTCTTGAGACAGTTTGTGAACGGATGATCGTCACTCTCGTTCAGACACTCACTCCCACTGTGGTCAATAAGAGACGCCAGGTTTACCTGCAGCAAGAAGACAAATGCACATACATACACTCCACACTCCACACGTGTCGATCCGTGATGGGCAGCAAAGAAACTTCCGTGATTGGCTCATTAAAACCGAGCCATTTTCTGGGCTAAAACATTGTACAATGGAACCCCTCTAATCCAGACACCAATGAGACAAAGTGAGATGTCCGTATTTCTTAGGATTGAATTATTGTGTCTTTTCCTTAGAGAGAGGTTCCACTGTATTAAGTCACAGATAAAGAGAAAGTGACTCCAGCCAGTAAGAGAGACCTGGCCTGGCACAGTAATGGAGGCTTCGACCACATCAGTAGCTTCTTGGTGTTCTCGAGTCTGTTTGATGATAGCTGCCTCTAGCGCCACCTCATTTGCTCCCTTCACCTACGGATACAAGATATAAGATATAACTATTATCTGGATTGGTGTATATACATTAGAACAATTTAACACTTGGTATTCAAAAAAAAACCTCAGTCTTTCCTATAAGAGGCCCAATACATACCAACTATTGGATTGGGTCCACACCCATTTGGATCACTGCTATTTCAGGAAGAGATTGCAAACACTCAACATATCGGCAAAGAAAAAAAAGAGGACAAACAAGCATACGTCTGAGTCCTTGATTCTCTGTCTATTCATGAAGAATGTGAAGGTCGGTGTGGATTCAATTCCATACTTTCTTGCTGTTCCCTGTACGGAACAAAATAGCAACAGAACAGAAGTGGAATGTGTGTTCCGGATTATCAATATGTAATGCATTCTGGAATTGTATAGGTATTTTCTAATGATGTCAACAAGGATAGAAAATAGTGACAGAAGATTTCACTGTGACCTTACCCTGCAAATGTCCGTGTCGACCTTGAGAAAGATAGCAGACCCGTACTCTTCGCTCAGTCTAACAAACGCCGGAGCTATCTTCTTGCATGGGGCACACCTGAGGGGGTCAGTGAGTCGCAAAGCAACGGCGAGGTATTCTATTTAGAGAGCACCAGTCGCGCGCGTAGCGTATATACCAAACGGCGGAAAAGTTGACAACGACGAGTCGCTCGCCGGCCGCCACCAGCTCTCTCTGGAAGTCCGTGTCGCTCAAGATATCCTTCGTCTTCCCAGCAGCGGCCTCTCCCTTCGCTTTCTTGAATAATCTACTCGCCATGACGCGGGCTGACCGCAGCGTGTAGCCGTCACCCAGATTTACCGCCCGTCTCCTGCGCATGCGCCTAAACTGTACCGGCCGTCTAGTCTATAAGACTTCGCTTTCTCGACGATCATTCATTCACTACTATCATTTCCTTGTGAAATCTGTGCATGGTGAGTTACAGAACTGTATATACATGAAGCTCTTTGCATGCAGACCATAGAACGGCACTGTTTTACGGCTCACGTTTCCGTGACTCTTTCCTAATAGGCCGAAATGATGCGGAGAGTGCTACTTTGGCTCATGGCCTCTGGAGGCATTCTCATGATGGCTGTGAAAGGTCAGCAAAGTCTCTGTTTGTACACCCTCGCAAAAGATGCAGGTTGTATTTACTATGATAAACAGACCCACTTAGATAGCACCGCCAGTGTGTGTTTTTAATTCAGTGTATATATCAATAGACAAAGAAAGCATCCCATGTGTGCCCTAAACAGAACCGCCAAACTGTGGTATGGTTTAGTTTCTGCTCAAAAGCATAATATAACGTTCCTTTTGACTAGTGTTTAACCATTTCCCAGCCTATAAGTATGTATTACGTAGCTATAATTGTAGTACTTTATGTATCCCAACAATGTCTAAGGCACAACATAAATGTTTTTGGTACTCATAGAGATTTCACATGAGTTTCTTTGTGTTTATTGATAAACAGTATTGAACCACCTACCCGGTACATTTGTAGCCAAGTTGCGTGCCCACATGAAAATGTAGAAATCCCTGTTTCAGAAACTGTTTTAGTCCCATGCAGACAACTCCAGAACTCTATTCTCCAAATACAGGTTGCTGTGGTAATGATACTTCTAGCTGGCTTGAAAGTGATGTTGGAAGTGGCTCTGGTATCACTGAAAGCTTGCGCATGTTGTATATCCCCACCACTGTTCCAACGTCCACGCCTCTTCCTATGACGTCACCCATGTCAACAGCCTCTTCAGAGCACACTATGTCATCATTCAGTGTTTTTACACCCACTACATCTTCAACTTTGTTTGTCGCACCTTCACCCACATCTACAATCAACGCTACTGAAATACCTTCAATCACTAAACCATATAAAAGCTCCACTTTAACAGATGCTATTCCTACACCTAGTACACCTCTTTCCACTACTTCACGTGTTCCTACCAGCCTGTCGTCTCCTATCATTTCACCCAACTTCCAACCCAGTTCATTACAGTCTCATGCTATCACTGCCACCATTACTGATGGGTCATCAGCCGTAGTAGCCATTGCTACGTCTGAAACTCCCGCTTCACCTCCAACTGAAGATCGAGACATCCTCATTTTCTGGCTTGTTATTGGACTTGCTGTAGTAGCTGTGGTCCTCACCCTCTTCCTCTGCATCATGATCTCCATTTTCCTTTGGTGAGTATTAACAAATACGGTTGTATGTAGCTACAAGCTCTAATGTATAACTACATGTGAATTACGTACAGATTCTAATTCGTAATGCATTATACATGTACTCTAATCTGCACCAACGTTCTACTGTGCACTGCAACTATATACCTCTTATGAAATACACTGTTTGTATATAATATGTATGCAGGCACAGAAGTCACATGAGAAGAAGCTACGACCTCAAAAAGGCCAGCAACCTGACTTACGGAAGGTCTTACATGGAAGACCCTCTCCCTGATCTCTCCAGTAATGATTATTGACTATTAGCTATACAGTGGCCTCCTCTCTATTGCTGTTCTTAAAGCCGTTATTTTCCCTATGATGAGCCTTGAGTCTTTATAAGCACATTACTGTCCCGTGTGGAATTGCAGCTTGCGGTGCAAAATCTTCATGTTCAATGCATGTTCAAGCTTGACTCACCTGTTACCAGTTAGCTATATATGTGTCTTCCACTACATTTCTTCAAACATTTTAGATATAATAGCTACAAGACCGAAATTGAGAGTTACATAGAATGGGGTAGCTAGAGTATGCTTCTAAACACCAAGTGAAGTATAGGCCTTTTGCCTTGAACTCTAAGGTATATACTCCGTTTCCAATGTCTGTCTTGTAGCAGTATAAATGTTTGCAGCATCATAATACATTGCCGGTATATCACTTTCATAGAGTTGCAATCCTGATCACCTTAGGGTTACACTAATTTTAACACTGTCTCTCTCTAACAGGTAGTGAGGATGAGTCACCATGGAAGATACAGGCTCGCCTCAAACAGAGGTTCAACAATGTGTTGGATAGTCTCAATAGAAATGTTAATGTTATGGACAACCTCAATTCCATTGGTAAGGCAATTGAGCCCGGAATTGGCTCCGAAGAAGAAGATGATGAAACTTGTAAAATGTAGCAGACTTCCTCTGATGCATGATTTTTATAGAGAAGAAGAGACGTTGATGGATTTATGTGTATAACTTTTTAGCTATAATTATCCATGGTTCTTACGGTGAAAGAGCGGTGTTTTGCGCATGCGTACACGCACAAGATGAATTTTAGAAGGGCGTGGCTGCTGTTCAATGAAAAAGGGGGCGTAGCTCGCTCTAGCTAGCGAGCGAGTGCTGGAGTTGATGCTGCTAGAACTGCTGCTTGCATAGGAAGATGCTGCGCCTAGTCTGTTTGGCTTTATGCCTCCTGCTACACACCTATACGGCAGGTTAGCGTGTCTATCTCAGTAGATAAAAGAGGAACAATATTTCTTTTAGATGGTGAGGAGTGTGGGTCAGGGGGGTCTGGGTCGGGGTGTGGGCTTGCCCTCACGACCACAATTGAACTCACAGCGTCGCCCATGCCCACACCGTCTCGGATGGAGGAAGAAAAAGAAGAGGGAGACGACGCGGGGCTGTCTGCTGGAGCTGTGGCTGGAATAGCAGTCGGTAGTGTGGTAGGCGTTGCAGCAGTCGGTGGCGTTGGAGCCCTGGTCGCTGTCCTTATCGTGTGAGCACACATAAGTATCTATAGTGTAGGTAGCACACATAGTATCAATGGTGTAGGTAAGAGAGGTGTAAATGCAAAGGCTAGTGAAAAGAAAACGAGCAAAAACAAATATAGTTGCCCTGGGTGGGACTTCAACCCATGCTGTGCTGTCTGTTTATATAGCTCTGAGCAAGATCAGGTTCAAGAATAGAGTATGCAAGTCTATTGACTAGCTATAGATATTTATTTACCATTACGACTGTTTTGTGTGTTCCACAGGAAAGCTGTCAAGGGTGGTGGGAGTAAGGTTTCCCCGCTGAAAAAGGGAGACGCAGGTGGAGAACGCGTCAAAGTCGAAAAACAGTCTCTCATTGAGACACTACCTAAACCTGAATAGAACCACCTAAATAGAACATGTAACACATATTTCAAGATGCACATTAATTAATGATTACGCAGCGAAGAATTTCCATGAGTCCATAAATTGAAGTTTACTCTAATAGATGTATGTATGCAGTGCCATAAAAACATTATTCAACTACATAATATTGTTGTTTATCGGTTATATTATACACAAGTCACATAATGATGAGTTAAAATGGTGGCCTAATACATCGGAGTAAAAAAGCACAGTAAACTGCTGAGGAAATAGTGTTTGCATGTTTTAACGATCACTTCAAAATTGAGGGTCTTCCAAATACTCCCTCTCGAGGTCAGTTTTGACGATTTCGTCCTCTTGTTCCCCGTAAATCGGATTATCGTACTCTCTCGATTCTCCTGGTTCGTAGAGTGTCTGCGACAGACGGGCCGTCCCTGCCGTTTCGTGCTCGTCAAAATTGATGTACGGGTCGCTAGATTTCTGTGTCTGGCGACGCCGGAAGAGCAAAACAACAACCACCAAGACGACAATAGCCACGATGACTACCATGATAATAATGACTATGGGGATAACGATCCCAGCTGTCTTGTCTGATCCACGGTTTGAAGTAGATTCAGTGGTCGGTGTATCAGGTGGTGTGGTAGTGGGTGTCGACATAGGTTGGGGGCTTTGAACACTACAGAAATCATCTCCGAATGAATTGATTACGACTCGACACTCGCCGTTTAGTTTGACAGTGAAATCGCCAAGATTTATATCCGCGTTTGCCTCGACCCATTTCTCGAGGTTGGTCGTAACGAGCTCGTTTTCAACGGGATCTCCCAGGAGAATAGCTCTGAAAGTGGCACTTACTGGGTCGCTGTCACACGTCAATCTTATCTCCCTGTCTGTTATATCTTCAACTTGCAGGTCACAGGCGTTGCATTCTTCCTTCACGTGAGACAGGATGTTGGAGACAATTGAAGATGCTCTCGCCCCATCAGGCGCTGAATGCTATGAGAAGGTAAGAAACAAATTTCGTGGTAAAAAAGTGATAAATTTCCTCTACATTCTAAGGTGTTGGCTAATAGCATTAGCTAATAGCGTGCGGCTGTATGTGTGAAAAATTGCTGTCATTGCAATTTTGTGTATTATAGTTAGATCTATATTGGCGTTTCGTGAGATGCCGCATCAAGCAGATTTGTCACTCTAGCATCTTGCAAGACAATAATGATACAGATGCAAGAAACGTGCAAGTGTAGATTCAACTTTATACCATCATCTCTTCCAAAACAACTGGACTGCGTGTGAAAACCGACCTACCCATTCGTCGCAGCTTGGTATGTCAAGCAAGTGTAGCTGAAACAGTGTTCCTGCACCTGTCAACAACAGAGAAGAGAGGGAGTTTTAATCTTGAACAGCTAGCTATATATTATATTCCTTTCTAGTAGATACCTTACCATACACTTGCCTTTTACACACACGCCGCCTTCACGTATTCTGTGGGGCCTTGTACACTGTCTAGGCTTAGCATATCATTGCCATACCTTTCTTTTCCCACACACACTAGCATGTATTCTATTGTTAGGTTGCTATCTGGACTTGCTACATGTCTATATACAAATACATGTATAAGCTGATACGTGGATCTTTGTCATTCCTTTCCTTTCCCACTAATACACCTCAGGGACACTGAGGGTCCCTAATTCGGAGGTATCTCTATACTTAATGTATGGCAGAACCAAAAGTTCTTTATAGAAAAGCGCCCCTCGTTCATTTTTATAGGTTTCACTCTACTCTATGTAACTACAATAGATGATACCCAGACTTAGATCTAGCTACTACTTGTTTACGCACGGCACACTCTAAAGTCATGATACGTGTGTAGAGAAGATGCTATACCTACTCAGACTTACTAGGAGCAGTGACAGGGTCGCTAGCCACGCCAGTACCAGCTGCAGTTGTAGCTGCAACCGACACCGAATACTGTCTATCAGAATCCAGTTCATCGATGTTAACTGAGGTCTCGTCCTTCGAAACGGTTATAGTTCCTCCCTCACTCCCCTGTCTCTTCCTTCTCCTTTTGCCAGGAGAGCTGGTGTAGGTGACTATGTAGCCAGTGGGGAATCCGCGAGCTTCCACCAGTGATATAGGAGACCATGAAACCACCATTTCCGTCGAGCTTAGCCATACTATTGACGGCACTGGGGCTACTGATGGAGCTATACATGACAAGTACAGAGGGAGAGAGGAACGGAAAGAAGATGAACAACATCAGAGAAAGTTTTGCTACCACACATGAGTGGAAATCGTCTGCTTCAGGACTTACTAAAGGATCTGCTAGTTGACTGGGACTTCGAATGCAATAACTTTTCGATCAAGCCAAACATTTCATAGTGCAGGCCAACAAAAAGTTCTTTGGACTAGTGCAGATATGTATAGAATGTTTTACAAAAACTCTGCCTTGGTTAGACTGTAATGCCGGACTTACTGCCTTCTCTGGTGAAAGCTGTAGTGGATACAGAGTCACCAGCTCCCAGGTTGTTGACAGCTTCCACAGACACGTGATAGGGAACCTCTGGCTCTGAGAATAGTAAAAACCAGAGTCTCCTTAGTTGGCAACATTAGCATACTTTAAAAGCCAGTGTGTTTTGTGTTTTGAAGCTACAGCGTTTCAAGTTAAGACTATTATTCCATATGTGTTTTGGTGGAAACACATTGTACAGAGGTTCAGGCAATAATTGAAAAATGCTTTCTCCCCGGATGTTTGCTGCTACATATGTGTAATAGCTACCTTATGTAAATTTACATAATGGCTCTTACGTAGCTCTGGTATGTCGACAGAGATAGCGTCAGTGTCCCTAATTTCCAGAGTCACATCGGAGGCAATGTCTACAATTGTCAATTTGTAGTAGTCGAGATGACCTCCCGACGAAGGGGCCTCCCAACTGATTCCGAGTGAAGTGTCTGATGTGCTGACTACCTGAACACTTATCACACTCCCAGGAACTGTGTTTTGTTAGAGGGGGAATAGACAAGATATGTTTAATCTCTGAAAAATGATGCTCCCAATAAGGGACACATCCCTGTAAAGGACACTTGGTTCTGCCCCATACAAAAAAGGAAAACCTATCATGAAGGACACTTTGATTCAAGGTGTCAGAGATTTCCCTTTAGTACAAGGAGAGGAGAATGTGCATTAGCAGGGAGGTAAGCAAAGAGAAGAAGCAGGCAAAAGTAATGGTGTTCAAAAGCCGATGAACAAGTGAGACTAAAGCAAACAATGAGCATGCTTGTTAGGAATGTAACGCTAGTGTATCATATAACCAGGAGTTCTACTAAATAAGGTCAGCCATTGGGGCTACATCCTAGCAACACGACAGCATTGTTTGGTCAACAGATGCAGCAAACAAGAGCTCTCCAGACAACCGGTAAAGACTTTGCGGTTGACAGGGGATGCTAACTGGAAGTTTGGATTTCGTGATGCCCACTTCAGTGTGTCAACAAATGCATTCACTCCTGGAGATTATGGCATGCTAGGCAGTCAGAGGTTGTAATGCGATTTTCAGTGGTGTGCAATTTAGTGTTGCTGCATGTATATCCATTCCACGGGGACAAAATTGCAAACAGAATCCTCACTGACCCCCCATGGTTGTCAGGCATCGACATACTGAATATTCTACCCTGCTGTCTAGCAGCTACTGCCACATTCATACTGATTCTAACCAACTGTATTTACATAGCACTCTATGCATGAATGTAGGTTGCGTTGGCAACAAGATGTAGGACTGTCGCTGTACTCAAAAGAAAGTTGGGCTAGCTGACAAGGCCTGTCACGTTTTTTCTGGGAGATAGTTATACTGGCTTAGGTCTTGGGCCAACATCTAGATAGAAAACTGGGACCATTTTTAACTCCTTCTGAAGGCGAGTATTGTTCAAGTCGAAGGGAAGTTTGCAAGTTTGCAAGTTTGCAAGTACAACATTGTCTGATAGCTATGCTCATTCACTGGCAGTATTATTCAAGGGAATTAAAGGATAACAGTAGGATTGACTAATTAGTACAGGGGCTGACCCTCTGTGATTGGAGGAGTTGGTGGTGGAGTTGTAGCTGGTGTGGTAACTGATGTAGTGGTGGGCGGTGCAGTAGGAGTATTAGTAGTTGGTGTTGGTATTGACGTTGATGTTGGTGTTGACGTTGATGTTGGTATTGACGTTGGTGTTGGTATTGACGTTGGTGTTGGTATTGACGTTGATGTTGGTGTTGGTGTAGATGTTGGGAATGTTGCATCTGTGGAGGATGGAGGGGAGAGAGAAGAAAAGAAAAAGAAGAAGAGAAGTGTTTAAGAGGGAGGGCAGCGATACAAAATAATCTTTAAAAGACACTGAACACAGACTCACTGGGGCAGATACTCAAAGTGTCCTGGCAGCAGTTGCCGGTAACGGAGCAGTCAGCATCACAGGAGCAGTAGTGGAAGATATTGGTACACCCGGAGCCAGGTGGGCAGCACTGCGTGAGGCCGGCTGCCTTACACAACCTGTGAACTGCAGCACAGTATTGATCCGAATCACAGCATGGTCTCAGACAGATATGTGTGTAATACCAGAATAATTACGCCAAACTATGTCCTTGGGGCAGTTGCAAAGCTTTAAAGCTTGCTCGGAATGCAAACTTTAATTCTATCGGTATCGTCTGCTTCTCTCGTGTGTTTTCCCCTTTGCCTTTTTCTGCTCTCTTTCTTCCACTTCTCTCTCTCTCTCTCTCTCTCTCTCTCTCTAACTCACCATCAGGGCAGGTGATGACAACATCACTGCAGCAAGTACCAATCTCCGCACACTGCAGGTCACAGGTACAAGACGCAGGACCTCCATTCACTATATCCTTTCCGCGACACACACCCTCTTCACAGCAGCTCGTGTACCCTGCTACTATACACGATCCTATATAATAATAGCAATGATGTAAGAGTGATGTAATGGACGATTGAGTACAGCTGACCTATTGGAGAAAGAGGTGGTGTAGTGGGCAGTGGAGTTGGTTCACTATCTGCAGTTGTGGGAGAAAAATAAGCTATGAATTTCTTACTACCATATAGTGGAGAGGAAAAATAGCACCTCAAGTTACAACAAAGATAAATTCACCCCCTTTATACAGCCTCATACAATTATTACACTTTGCCAATGCCCTCAGAGCATATGCTATCGATTTTAACCTTTTTAAAGCTGTTCTGGTGACAAGTAATTTAATAAAGACCTCCAAATACGAAATCTCGGATATCTCACCAATGCAGTCAGGGACATCATCAGCACACACGCACGTATATCCATCGGGGCTAGTTGGACTCAGCAGACACATTGAGGATGAGTTGCAGCTGGCACTGTCACACGGGTTCTCAACTGCAGCATAGAGCCATAGAGCACAGAATAAATCTAGCAATAATCATGCACACAAGGAGAGGCTAGAAATTATGCGGCACTTCTTTTGCAGCACACTTTAAAAAATAACTGTTGGCAAAATGTATTAACAGCAACTAGTAGTAGCGAGAACCATGCAGAAAATAGTAGCTACCTTGTGGCTGTCTGTCAGGAGTGACAGCCTCAATTCCGTGGGGAGGATATATGAGAGGAGTGAACAGATCCAGTTGGACTATGTTGTCATTGGGCCGGTCTCTGTGAGTGGTAAAGATTGTCAACTGCACCCAGTCACTCCAGAAGAGGAAATCGTCGGCAAACGTGAGGCTAAACGGATGAAAAATGACGTCGTCTTGCCTATCGAGTAGCGTTCGTCCACTTCCGTCCGTGAAGGAGAACTCGATGGTGTCTAGACTGGCATCAATCCAGTAGATCTTTTGGCCGGGAATGTCGAGAGTCAGTCCGTTGGGCCAGACTAGGTTTGTGTTGTGGAGGATGGAACGATTGGTACCGTCCATCCCTGCACGCTCGATTCGTGCTTCGTCTCCCCAGTCAGTCCAGTACATGTATCTGTAACAGACATTTTGAGGCTCAGAGCACTCTCTTCTAATCATGACATTTGCATGGACCCAACCTATACCCATACATTAGCATGCGAGAATGATCGCAGTAAGTTAGCATGCCAGAATTAAGTTGCATGATAATTTTGTCTTATGCAAGTTGCACTATGTGGGTGTTGGTCCTTAGCTATATATAATACTGTTACATAGAGAATGTCTATATATCACGTAAAAGGCACAGTGATCAATACTATCTCAGAGTTTGCATACCTACCAACCATCCAGCTTTTTGCTTGATAATCAAGCAAAAATACTGCCTATGCCACCAGAAAATTGCCAAATCCCTCTTTTTTGTGCTAACCTGTGATGCATCGTGCCTATACATTTTGAATGGACACACAGCATTTTGAAGCAAAAATACTCCAAATCAAGCAAATTTGACACATTTCTCAAGCAAAGGTTTATCTGCAGGTTGGTAGGTATCAGTTTGTACGATTGAGTGGGGAGCTGTCTGGTCTCCATCAATAATGATGGCTGCTACTGCTTCTGGCAACCCAATGATTAAAAATTATGTCATAGTAATTGACGGTAAGTGGGGAGTTGCCTGGGTCCAAATATCAGAGGGTTACTGCAACTATAGCAACCTTGTGATTGTCTAAGAATTGTGATACAGCGGAATCTCCTATAATGGAACCTATGAATAAGGATGCCTCTCTATAATAGCACTTACAGTCAATTGAATCAGTACTAATACTTAGCTATCAACCTTCGAATAAATGGTTAGGTTTAACAGTTCTTTCTTCTGAGGTTCCACTGTTACAGTATTATTATACGGCTGGAGTTTTGGTTTAGGCTTACTTGGTGGTTGGGTCGACAACGATTGCTCTGGTGGTGGCAGTATCATAGTTGGCAATCAACGTTCGTTTGAGGCGAGTCTGGAGGTCTAGGACTAGAACTTCTCCCCTGGTGTCCTCAGTCCAGTATAGCTTCCCGTTTACCCAGTCCACCGCAAGATCGTCTGGAGAGATGGGGGGGGGCAACAGGTGGGGGCAAAAAGTGAACACATGGGGGGCAATAAATGAAGTGAAACACTCAGTAGGGAGGGGAAGGGGCAATAAGTGTGGGTGTGTCTACAGTTGGTTGTAACCCCCACCCATTATGAGAGGGGGAGGTAGTGGAATACATCCTTACTATGCTTGTCCAACTGTTTGGACCTTAATTAAGGAAGCTGCCCCTCCCTCATGCATACATGGAAGATGGTTGTTGTTTCATAAGATATTGTAACCTGTACTGCGTTCTATGGGAGGATAAACCCTGCTACTTACTGCATGCTCCCCTCTTGTACTTTGTCTGAAACACGAGAAGTCATAATAATTATTAGAGTTAACACTGGAGTGAACTCGTAATATACGATAACGTCTGCATTGCGTTCGTGAGAAGACGCCTCGGGAGGTATGCTTGATTGTGTGGTGTCGTCAACAAACCCACATCTCCATGTCAACACGGACACACAAGCACATATCCGAGATATATAAGGTTGCAAATAATTATGTGGCATCCCGCGTTGCACTTTAACCCAGCAATATAAGGTTGCATCCTTGTATGTGGAACTCCCCCAGTTCATATTGTACCAACTTGAAATCCTTCACCAATACACAACCGACCAATGAGGTTCTTGCTTTCATGTATAATTATAGAGACCTTTTGCTCTCCTAGTCGACAACATGATTATGATCTACACACGACTGGGATATTATTACGAGTCTCATCTGCACACAGAAACGGAGGTTTATAAGGAATATAGCTACCTTTGTTGCACCAATTTATCAGATAGATAGAGGTAGTAGGTCTTACAGATAGAAGGGTCACTGGTGTTGTATAGCAGTTCAGGATTTGATCCATTCAGATAAGCCCGGCTGAGTGCTCCTTGATTAATATTGGACCAGTACATCATGTCATCTCTACACACAGTGGAGCAAAGGAATAATTTAGCTACAGTGTGACTAGAGAGACTTAAATAATAGTTGAATAGTATAATAATTATACAGTGGGATAAGAAGCAATAATGCCTACACTCCTTCCCAGTTAGTGTGAGTGTTAGGTGGAACAAGGTGTTTCACATGCAGTTTGGTCGTGTTCAAGACAATCACCTAAAAAAAACTCAAATACTATTGTGCGGCTAGGTATTCAATTCACCTGTAGTCATAGTCCAATGCAACAATCCCCCCAGAGAACTGCTCGCTGTAGAGAATCTCAAAGCTTGATCCGTTGACAGACACGCGATTGATGTGGTAAGAGTTGGCAAAGAGGAGGTAAGTTTCTCCTACACACCACGTAATTGGGAGAACACACAAACAGTGTTAGGACACATTAGAGCTGGGCATACTTTGCTACAAACTACAAACAATAGAAGTAGTGGTTCACTAGCACTTATGTGTGTGTGCGTGTATTTAATCAATCTCTTACCCAAAGTAACTGTTTCCAGGTTTGGTATTGCGAAGGACATGAATGGGAAAGAAAACACAAGAGACTATCAATTATCCAACTACGTAGTAACTGTTTCAGACATGAAAAAACACCAAACACTGTCGTACATGTATAATTGAGAGCACAGAGACTATTAAATACTGTAGAATTGTCTTCAAAGTATACATACGTAGACATGAATGACAGTGAAAACAAAGACTGCGAATATATCTATTACGTGTCATGCAGTAGACAGGGCTTACAGTCTCCCATCGGGCATAATTCATCAATGTCTCTGCAGCAGTCACCGAAGAAGTGGCAGGTTGGGTCGCAGAAGCACTCGATTGTGGTGCTCGCACAGGTCGATGCACAGCACGTCTCATACCCAGACCCTCTGCATGTTTCTGCAATAGTCATGAAGAGGAGAGAGATAATGATAAAATGATAAAATGATAAAATGATAAAATGATCACATAGGAGGCTATTGGGGCGTATCAAATGAGACTTTATTTTTCGATCAATCGGAAGGAGTTAGAATTTCAGATGGCGCCAACATACTTATTAGAACATATGTTTTCTGTGGAAATTTGGCCTTTACTGGTTGAATCAACAGACCATTATAATCGCCTTAACGACATCCACACACAAGGTCACAGAGATTTGTGGTTTGTTAGGAAATTAGGTGACACGTGCTGCCAAAGTGGTCATCGGAGCCAATTTGGAGGAGTCAATCATCATCTTACCCAGTGAGCTGGGAGGTTCCGGAGTGGACGTGGTACATTGGACATCTCCGGGGCTGGGTACCAAATCGTAGACCAGGTTACTCACTAACTCGGGCTCTGCGATGCAATCGATTGTGGGAGCATCCGTTGAGCCGCTGAACTCGTGATTCTCAAAGTATGTTCCCCCAGCGTTGAAACCAATCGTGGCATAGTTGCCCCACTGCACCTCCGGGCATTCATAAGTGAAGACTGCGTAGGAGTTTGTGCCGTTGGTGATCAACACAGCTTGGAAGGTGTTAGTTGGGAACGACTGTAGTAGAGTAAGATCAATGAATGTAACAAAAGAAACTTTTGTTTTGCTGCATATACTTACCGAGAGAAAGGGAGGAACCCGCATGTAATTGACCATCAACATCCAGTTACCGACAAAAGTTGCGTTCTGCTGGACTTCAATAAACTGAGAGACTTGGCCGAGGTACTGATCGGCTATTTCGCTCCCACCGGAGGTCAGAATCTCCCAGGTAATGTTGCCCCCTCTTCGCAGGTCCCCGTCCACCCAGTAAGGGGCCACGAGGTAGCCAAAGTGAACGGTGGCAGTTGTCCCCGGAAAAAGCTCTGGAGAGTAAACTGGGAATTGTTCTCCAAACGACATGACTCCATTCACAGATATCTATGCATGGAGAGAGCAGCAATGATAGTATGTGCTCAGACTTTCACTTGCTGTCTATAATGTGTACGGATTGTGTAATAGCATAGTGCAACTGGGGAGTAGTCATACGATAATCCTGCTGAACTAAATGTTTTACAATCAGCTCACACTAATTATTTTTACCATCCATTACATATTAACTGCAGGTATTACAATTCCATAAAATTTCTAGCTTGCTGCATGCAGTGCTCAAAATACGAGATATTCTGCTAGTAAAGTATACAATCAGTGATTTAGCTAACAAACAGTAGTAAATAGCTAACAAAGGTTGGGCACAGTAATAGCTATACACTGCTGCTCAAATCATTATAGCATTACACCACAGGGCTCAACCCAAGACCCTTGCTAGTAAAAGTACAGAACCTACATGACACTCTGTGTGACAGTAGTCTCCAAAGGGGAAGGAAATGTTGAGTTGAATTGAATCGCTGCAGTCGTCACAGACTCTGTGGACTCCACTCACTCCCTGCCCAGTGGGCAGCAGATGAGGCAGAAATTGAGCCTCACTCTGCATCAGCTCCCAACACCACCACCAACACCAGGACACACGATACTTTAGCTGCACACGTACCCTCGGCCATACTAGATATACGGCTAGCGACAGGCTACAGACTACCTCTCTAGCTCTGGTTAAGCTAGTCGTGGGACTTGCTCTCCTACACTAGTTCTACTGCAGTTATGAGCCAAGCCACGGTGTGCGAACTTGTTATAACCCCAGCTACAAATAAACACTTGAATGGACTCTGTGTTCTGCGGCTGTTGTCAGGTGCCCGCCAGTACTTAGAGGCATGCTTGGAGCAGCATTCCACGTAATGAGATGTTAACCAAAGCTTAGCTCTCCTTTCGCTTATAACAGGTCGAGTCTAGTATTGTTTTAGTTACACTGCATACAGGCATGTATAGTTAGAATGTGGGGATAGATACTGCTAATTGCTGGCATTCCTTGGCAGAGTTACCCCCACTAGGATTTCATACAAGGTTACCAAACAGTGTAGGATCTATTATCACTGCCTCGCCTCCTTTTCCCTGCACAGCTGTAAAGCTATGCTGTACGTACACTGCCACCAACTCTATTGGTGTGCTGTTGTCCACATGACTTATAGCCAACCTGTTTGTAGGAGAGGCGGGAAGTTATTGGGAAAGAGATGTGTATAGAGTTTGTTGGGGTAACCTCAGTGGAATGTGTCTGTTGGATGTCCTTTAGCTAGGGAACTATACCTTTTAGGGTGGCATCAGGTAATACACAGCTAAGAGTCTTACAACAACACATTGTGGGGTAAAACACCAAAAATTAGCACTGTATATACACAAAACACAAAACAAGCACATTTGGAAGTAAAAAATACAATATTGATACAACAAAGGTTTAAAGATATGAAAGTGACACAATAGCTACAGTGCTATGATATTAATTAATTGTTATAGGTCACATTTTTTCGGGAGTCACTTCAGTCGCCATCTGACTCGTCCTCATCTGCTGCAAACGGTTTTGCCGTGGCTCGCTTGTGTTTCGGTATAACAGTGGCATACTGCGGCTCGTCTTCGACCTCTATCGGTACCGGAGCGGCCGGTTCGTACTTTTCCCCGTTGGCATGGACCGTTGTGGTCCCGGTCGCGGTAGTCGTGGCAACAAGCAGTTTGGGGTCATCCGGAGCGAGGAAATCTTCGGGAGACGGCATGACCTTTTCCGGGAGATCGTCGCCACCGTCGTCTGGTTTCTTCTCAGCAGCAACAGCTTCGTACACGGGGTTGTAGAGTGTGCGATCATCGTGCAGTTTGGTAGCTGCGGTGAACTGCGAGGTGGCGTAGATGGGATTCTGAAGGTGTCGCATGCCGGAAGATGAATCAGCCGAGAGATCAATCATCTTTTCGTCAAAGGCCAGAGCCTCTTTCTTCACGGAAGTCAGTTCGGCTCCGGTACCAGCGAGGGACACAGTCTCACTACCAGTGTCGTAGATCATGTGTGTCTCATCGTCATCACCTCCTCTCCTGGTAATACAATATTGTAACTCTTCCACTCAGACAAATCTGAGTTTCCAGCTATAGCTACAGCTAAAATTGCAGTACACCGGAAAGATGCATGAATTGATTGGTAAGTAAAGAAAGCTGATTGTAGTTGTTTAAATTGGCACAATTTCTCATCTGACTTTTGCAGAGTGAGTTCACATTACGTACTGTTAGTTAGCTGCCCAGTGCTCTGTGGGTGTGTGGCCCCCAATACCATTTAAGTATTATCAAACCTGAACAATTTTCCAGTCCTTTTCCTCCAGAATAGGAACAGAACCACCAGCACCAGAACAACGGCCCCCAGGACAATTGCGATTATGACGACAGGGACTGCCACTGCTGCCGAGTTACTGCTGCCACTCTGCTGCCCTGAGGTCGGCGGCTTACACCTCGCGTTGTCCTTCATCTCGATTTCGACGGGGCAGTCTTTGTTGACGAGTAGTTTCGTTCCGGAAACGTCAATTTCGTCCGCGTTTTTGGTCCACATCGTGATGGCATCGATTGTTGTTTTGTCAGAGGCATAGGCATAGAAGATGACGGTTGTTTTATCGCCGCCCGCGTCGCAAACGAGGCTCTCCGAGTTTGGAACTATGGCAACCTGACAGTTGCACGCCATCTGTGCTGCTTTGGTTATAGTGGCCGTGATATTGTCAATCTTGCTCGATTTAGATTCAGCAATCTGAAACAAATAGTAACGCGATAGGTCGACCATCCTCTACTCTCTCTCTCTCTTCTCTCTCTCTCTCTCTCTCTCTCTCTCTCTCTGCCTCTCTCTCTCTCTCTCTCTGCTCTCTCTCTCTCTCTCTCTCTCTCTCTCTGCTCTCTCTCTCTCTCTCTCTCTCTCTCTCTCTCACCCTCTCGTGCGCTCATCCTTACCCATTCCGAACAATCATCGAGGCCAAGGAATTGAACTTGAAAGAGGTATGGCCCTGAGAAACGAGACGATCACAAACATCAAACATAATGTGTTAAGTTTTCCAAGAGGTTTGTTTACTTGGAGTTGGTGACGGTTGACTCGTTGCAGTTGAGCTAGTGGACGAGCTAGAGATACTGGTGGTAGTGGTAGAAGAAGATGGCATTGAAGTTGACGTAGAAGATGACATAGAAGTGGTAGTAGAGGTCGGGACAGTGACTGTCGGAGTTGGGGTAGCATCTGCGAGAAACGACAAAGACACTCTTGACAATGGCTATGTTGCTGCGTGCATACATACGTAATGCTCTAAACTTACACGCAAAATTTGTGGATATTCCTCAAACAAGGTTTTGGTGTTTAGAAGGAAAAGAATCTGACTAGCATAAAGGCCATTGTAGCTGCAGAGTAGCTATGTGTATACCTAACATTGAACGTGAGTACTTAATACACTGATCAGACCTGAGCAAATCTCGAAGAAGTCAGAGCAGCAGTCTCCGTAGTCGAGACAGGTGATGTCGCAGTAGCAGTTTGTGACGTCTGGCTCCCCAATACACAGTCCAGCTGTGCAACAGTCGGTGTAGTTGGCATCTCTGCACGAACCTTCAACTGATGGGGACGACGAGAGCAAATATCGTGGAATCCATGAAAAGAGGACACCTACCTAATAAGGACACACTTTTCCCCCCAAGGACATTTTTGCATACAATTTGGGACATCTCACTATTTTGGACCTTACTGGTGTCTGGATTGGAGGGGTTCCAATGTATTTGGACCTTACTGGTGTCTGGATTGGAGGGGTTCCAATGTATTTTGGACCTTACTGGTGTCCGGATTGGAGGGGTTCCAATGAATTACGGAATGACTATGAATATTTATCGATCAAAGCCCGAAAAACTCGATCTGTGGAGCTCTGTCACAATGCTTTTATCTAGACTCCAATATCCAGTATGCATTGTGTTATCCATTTTGTGTGGGAGAGAAAGGAGAAGAAGAAGAAGAACAACAAAAACAAAAAGATAATGAAGAAGAAGAAGAAGAAGAAGAGGTTCTCACATTCAGGGCAGATTCTGCCCACATCAGCGCAGCAGTCCCCTCGAGAGTGGCAGTCATGGTCACAGAAGCAGTTGGGAGGGTAACCGGCACAGTAGCCAGCCTCACAGCAGTCCTGATAGTGATTACATGAACCTACGAGTGTGTAGTCATTTCATTAACCATTATGTACTAAGCATCAGACTCCTTATGTGAGTACATACACGGCACATAGTCTGTCTGAAGTCGGTTATGTGTAGAGCAAAATTCACACAAATGTTGGCTTTGCTTCCTGCGCTTTCATCATGAGGTCATAATAATCCACATATATACACATGCCAGTTCCTTTTGTAGTGGTTGCTATAATTATTATCAGTTGGTGTGTGTGTGTGCATGTATACCGAACTCTGGTATAGAAGTTGGGTCGTCAACTGTAAAGGAAGGAAAAGTATATCAGTTGAGGCAGAAGCAGTTAGACGTCGGTGCATGCGAAAAAGGTCTCAAAATGTGTGGGGTCCGTGCCAAAAACGTTGTGTGGAGCAGGACTTTAATGTTCTAAGTGACATATTTCCCTGCCACCATGCTCATGGTTTGCCTCTACTTTGTGTTCTTTAAGCCCTGGCTGATGTTTTCCTATAGAGAACTGAGTAACTATCATGGGTTTGAGTCAGACCCAGGGCAGATCCTTCAAAGTTTCACTCTGTAGTGTTGCTGCATAACTTGCCTTGTGTTTACACACGTGCACCATGCAACACAGTGTGTCTGTGTGTGTGTGTGTGTGTTGGATGACTCACCGCAGGAGATGCCGTCAGAGTCCAGTCTGGTACCGAGAGGACACGTACAGGAGTACCCAGTGCTACTGACACTGCTCAGGAGACAGAGGTGAGTACAGTCATTGGAGGCACATGGGTTCTCACCTGATGCAGGAGACACATGGAGATGCAGGGTAACTAATAGGTATACATACGGTGTAGGGAGGTGAACCTTTCAACTATATGGATTTAAGCAGTCAGGCAAAGGTTTAGTATAGGGCCAAGTTGTAGTAGCCCTCCACACAACAGTGGCGGATCTAGGATTTTGAAAGGGGGGGTTCTGCTGCCCAGAACGTTTTCGACTGCGCTCGTGCACGCGCATGAGGCCGGTGACGCATGCGCTCAAAACGACGAAAAGGGGGGTTCCGCGGAACCCAAGGAACCCCCCTGGATCCGCCACTGCACGAAACGACCATAATGTCTTTTATGCAGGGATGCCCTTAGGGAATTAAACAAGTGTCCTTCCATGGTATTTCAATTCACCTTCAACAAAAACTCACAATGTACGAAATATTTTACTCACCGAAGATACGTCTACCGGCACTGACGGTCTGAATCCCATTTGGGTTGACAACCAAACCGCTCAAAATCTGCGTGACGTTCCCTCCTTCCGTCTTGTGAATACTGAACAATGAGTTCTGGTCCCATTCAGACCAGTAGAGATAATCTCCCTCAAGAGTCAGCGAGTACGGGACTCCAAAACCGAGCCCCCCCGGGGAACTTATGAGGGTTATTCTGCCACTTCCGTCCGTGTTACAGTACTCTATCTTGTCCAGGACTCCGTCGGTCCAGTAGATTTTCTGCTCGGCGTAATCAATGGTGAGTCCATAGGGGCCCACTAGGTCTGTGTTGATCAGCTCGACTCTGTTTTGCCCGTCCATTGAGGCCTTTTCTATCTTTGCTACCTGACCCCAGTCCGTCCAATACAGCACCCTGTAAGATATAGGTATAATGAGTCACAGAGTCACATACACCTGAGTTTCAATAAGACAGAAGCAGGATATTCTTTCTCTTGCAGTATATACCTACCCCCACCTTCTCTCTTATCTATGTACATAATGCTCTATAGTCACCACATGACTACGGTTGATTTCTCTTGAACTTTAAATCATGATGCGGACAGAAAAAGATTACGATTAGAACAAACTAGCACAAGCAAATCTGCAGATCGAGCCTGACCTTCATTCGCATCCCTAATAGAGAGCAAAAGATTAAAGTAACTCTACCTGTTAATGGGATCGACGGCGATTCCTCGGGGGACCGTGTTTGCCCCGACCCTCAGCACTTCACCACGCTCCGTGGTGTTGAGGTCCATGACCTCGATTCGGGCCCAGAACGAGTCGGTCCAGTAGAGATTGTGACCAATCCAGTCGTACGCCAGGCCCTCTGCGTATTAATTGCTCAGTGTAGACACAGAAACACTACTGATAAGCTAGAGAGGCCATTATCAACGTAAGCCTAAATATGCAGGACCTTCTGTACATATAATATGCAGGGCCTTTCTCTATATATAGCCAAGATATGCAGAGCCATTCTCTGCCAAGATATGCAGGGTCTCTCTCTACATAATAGCTAGTAGGAATATTGGCACCAAAACATGTGAGATAAACGAAATCAAGATCAAAAGGCTGTTGAATTGTACAAAGGTCCTTACAGGTATATTGAGGGCAAAGTTTTAAGATCCATTGTTAAGCTATGTGCCCATAATAGTACCTTACCTGGGACTTCAAGGTCATCTTCCATGATGGGCGTGCTCTCTGTGCCGTTGAGATGAGCCATTAGGATCTGGTTAGTGACATAATCAGTGTAGAACAGCTTCTCCTGCCCTGGACTGGGGACATATTATTATTATGTCCACGATAATTATATTGTAGAAAAGACAGAAATGCAGGACTATAGATCAAGGATTAAATAGAACTCTGTAGAGCTGGTGGGGCAATAATACTAGTGTAAGGAGTTAAAAGATCAACCCTGTGTGGAAATATAGAGTAGATTTAACTGTATCTGTAAAACTAACAAGACATGACTGTGGACATGGTACTTAGAGCAAATAGCAAAGACTTTTTCACGCAGAGATAGAGGGTGGGAGATCGAGTTTCAGTGACTCACGCTAGGTCATACTCGATCCCTGCTGCTCCACCAGACTGTCGGATCAGGAGAGTGACCAGACTACTGCCATCGAGATTGCAGCGGTTGATGAAGAAGTGGTTGGCAAAGATCAGATAGCTGTCATCTGGAATTAAAGGTGGTAGCATAAATTGAACAACTTTTGTATAATGTAAAATTCTTGAGGCTATATAATTATTTTCAACTCAGCACACCTCACCCTGTAAGCAAACCTAGCTTTTTGGCTTGGTATCAAGTAAAATATACAGCCTATCCCGCCAGAGCATCACCAAATCTTTTTTGTGAGAGCTTGGGATGTAGCTATCTTGCCCATACATTATAAAGGGGCGAGTAGCAAAAAGATCCCAAACCAAGCCATTTTTATGCAATTGGTTTTAGTTGCAGGTTGGTGGGTAGTAAGGTCACTCACAGTCTTCACAGAGATCAGGAGTGTCGAAGCAGCAGTCGCCACGTGCGTGACAGTCTCTGTCGCAGAAGCAGTTGGCCGGGTAACCAGCACAGTAGCCCGTGACACAACAGACTGTGTACCCAGCACTCACGCAGGAACCTACGGCATGATGAATTACACACCATTATTAAATCGTGCTGGCAGCAAATATTCAGATCTGTCTTAACACTTAACCAGCCAAGGACACATAAAATTAATTTGTCCAGAGCTTCCATGAGTCCATAAGAATTTATACAGGGGTTATAATACTGAGGTGCTAATACGATTTTCTGCTTATTTAAGGAGATACCCAGGTGTCCAAAAACGGTTAATACCTCCTTAGGCACTCTCATGTGGTGAAGTCATCAATTATTGTGCAAATTGTGGTAATGTTTACAAAAAATCAATCAGCAGTATTCCATCTTTAACATTCTTGTCGTCGTAATACTTGCCATGCCTTCTTTAAGCACTCTTTTCAGTATTTTTATGTGGTGAATTCATCAACAATTTGCAAGATAATTAATGTTTGCAACATACCACAGCATACAACGTAATAGCTAGCAAACGTGACTATTTGCTTACCAAATTCAGGCAGAGGAGTTGAAGTGGGACTCACTGCATTGGAAAAAGACATTCACACAAAATATTGTGGGAGCTAGGGTTTTAACAATCCTATACTATTTTAAATTCCTCTGTAACGTGTAGCAATATTTGATATTAGCTATGCTGTTGTTAGTTTATGATTAAGGTGTCTTACTGAAGCAGTCGAGGCCAGTCCCATCCAGTTCGTAACCAAGAGGACAGGCACAAGAGTAGCCTCTGGGATCGGTCACACTCAGCAGACACAGATGAGTACAGTTGTTCTCCTCACAGGGGTTCTCAGCTGCAGAACAGAGCTATAGATTACACACCTAGGTTCTTGGCCATAGCATGAGCTATCTGTTTGCCACCGGAGGAAAATAGACTATGCCATTATGAGGCAAAGGGAAACAACTCAACTACGGCTGGAAAACTGGTACACGAGATAAAAACGAGGTGTTTCTTACCCGAGGGTTGTTTGTTGGGGCCAACAGCCTCAATACCATTCGGATTAACCACCAGGTAGCTGACGATGCTCGCAATATCGCCACCAACACCAACTCCGTTGATCTTGTGCGTGGCAAAAACAGAGTTGTTCTGCCAGTCTGTCCAATAGAGGAGGTCGCCGTGGATCGTGAGGGCGTACGGATGAAGAAGACCAGTTTCGCCCGTTTCTAGAAGTGTCCGTCCACTTCCATCGACTGAGGCATACTCGATCTTGTCGAGGTTGGCGTCTGCCCAGTACAGGATTTGCGTGTCGTAGTCAAGAGCAAGTCCGTTGGGCCAGATGAGCTCTGTGTCAATGATGACTGTTCGTCCCAGCCCGTCCATCCCCGCTTTCTCAATCTTGGCCACCTCTCCCCAGTCAGTCCAATACATGTACCTACAAACAGGTGCCATGATGGACGGTGTTTTAGCTCCACTTGTGTATAAGTAGTCAACAGTGCCAGAATTTGTTAAATTTAGTGGTCTTCCGTACCTCACACTCACAGATGTGACATAAGTAATACTTATGTCCCTTCGTTCAGAATGTCTAAACTGAAGCCTGTTATAGCTCACATGCAATGAAGAAGTCGAATTTTACTTAGTATTAGAGACTAAACTATGAATAAGTACTATAACAACCTAATGGCTGAATAGTAGGCTGCAAACCTTACGGTATATTGTTGTACCTTGAAATGGTAACATTAAGCTCATGGATCACTGAATGCTACACTGCCACTAATGGTATATACTGCTGACCTGGTCATAGGATCAACCACAATAGCTCTGGGAATGGAGTGGTTCCCAGTTCTGACCAGTTCGGCCCTCTCCGTGGTGTCCAGGTCCATTACTTCGATGCGGGCCCAGAACGAGTCGGTCCAGTAGAGGTTGTTGGCCACCCAGTCAACTGCTAGGTCCTCTGGCAGTGGAAACAGTACAACAGCATACTGGTGAATCTCTTTTTCCCCCCCTTTTTACTTGTGCAGTGGAAACAGTAAAACAGGTAAATACCCTTTTTTTCTTCTTTTTTCCCTTTTTTACTTGTGCAGTGGACACAGTAAAACAATCATACAGGTAAATACCCTTTTTTTCTTCTTTTTTTCCTTTTTGCCTTGTGCAGTATATAGAAACATTAAAACAATCATGCAAGTAACTATACCCATAGACCAGTCAACTTCTATTGGCCCCCAGCTCTACCAGCGGAAACAAGCACACAGCTACACCAGTAATGAAAATAATATGATGGTGGTTAGTTTTTTGTAAAGTTAGTACCATAGCATCTATTGAAGGGCTCAGAAACAGTGTACTCTGAAAAAAACAAATATCCGTTTCTATACTCGTACACATTTTTTTTATAATTGTGCAATGAACTTGCACCACCCGTTTTACCTGGAACTTCAACATTGTCGTCGAGAAGCACTTCCACGTCTCCTCCGGTGTCCAGCGATGCGGAGTAGATGCGGTTTTCGACAAAGTCACTGTAGTACATCTTGTTCTGGCTGTACGAGAGAAAGGAGAGAAAGGTTTCACATGGCATCGTTTAGAAGAACACCATTACTTTGAACACAGAAAAGCATAAATATTGCGTTTTGTCAGTGTTCATACTTGCACTAGGATTGACCTGGATTAACACTTGTCTGGATTTATGGACACTCTTGTAACTTGTGTTTGTATTGGTATAGCTACATGGAGGCTTCGGTATTTCCAGTGACAGAAGCTCAATTCGGTCAATCCACATCAACTTGTTGATTAGGTCAATCCACACATTGATCTGGATTGTTTGTGTAAAACGTGCAGGCTCTAATGTGGACGAATGTGGTCACACGGAGAGCAAGACGTATAGTGTAGACGCCAATGTTAAGTGGAGACATAAAACGTACGCATAGTGGAACTGCACGCCGACAGCCCCTCCAGTTGGTAAGGTCAGAAGTACCGAGAGACCGCTTCCATCGTAATTGGCTCTGTTGATGAAGAAATGGTTGGCAAACAACAGGTACTCCGTCCCTATGAAGATATTTGATGTGAGTCACTGCAACAGAATCGCATGCAGCACTTACCATCGATCACAGCTGTATCGGTGAGATGGAGAGGAAGAAAGTTTGGAGTGAGATAGGGGGGAAAGAATAAAGTTTGTGAGATATGGGGGGGGGAGTTTGGAGCGAGATAGAGGTAAATAAGAAAGTTTGGAGCAATATAGGGGGAAAGAAGAGAGTTCAGAGTGGATAAAAGACATGAAGTGGAACCATTTATTGTTGGAGGGGGAAACGTACGTTGTTCACAGATATCGTCAATATCTGTGCAGCAATCGTCGAGATAGTAGCAGAAGACATCGCAGTAGCAGTCAAACGGATCACTGCCAGCGCAATCTCCATCCTGATCTGCACAGCATTCGGTATAGCCAGCCTCCACACAAGAACCTGTTTTGTTGTAGTAGGAGGAAGACAGAAGAGCCAACTGCAACTGTGCAAATGCCTACAAGCTGAACACAGTGTGCCATGCACTCATCTTCAATCGGCACAAACTACGTATCTTCCGCTGCTTTTTTCCACATGGCATATATATATAACATTATGTATGCCACACGATGACATAATTTTGGCGTGCGTGTGTGTGTGTGTACGTGAGGTGTTTAGAGGGGCCCTTAGACCATTGTTTGTATGCCTATAGAGTTATTGGTGCTACATCATACCAAATGAGTCTGGGGGTGTGGTGGGCGTTCCTCCTGAAGGGCAACAAAGAAGACTAGGTCATTCAGAGCCACACGGCTAGGTGCCACACAATAATATGACGCATACCTGGGCAAATGTCTTCGAAGTCGTCACAGCAGTCACCGAATGCCAGACAGACATCGTCACAGTAGCAGTTGGCTGACTCGGGGAACCCCGCACAGAAGCCGTCGGTGCAGCAAGTGTCGTACCCAGCTTCCACACATGACCCGGGGACTGCATATATACACAAGAAAATGCCTCTATTTGACACTACCCAGATTGCAGGTGTAAACGATAGAGTACTAGAATGCCGTTCAATTTTCCTCGCGCATTTTGAATCACTTCCCAGCGGCAGTGCAGGTCACAACATATAAAATCCCGCATTCAGACGACTAGATTGACCCACTTCGCTTGCCAATTACATTCTCATAAGAGCTAATGTAGCTACTAGTGGGGCTGGTAGGGTATGGTTTCTGAAAAGTTTTAAAGAGACGAAAAGTTGTAAAATTGAAATTACCTTCAGGACAGGTGGAGCTGGTGTCATTGCAGCAGTCTCCTCGGCCGTGGCAGTTGATGTCGCAGAAGCAGTTGCCAGGGTAACCACCGCAGTACCCCACCTCACAACAATCAGTGTAGCCTGATGCCTGGCATGACCCTACAGACCAATACAAGAGCAATACAAATAGCTAGCTAGCTAGCATGGTCTGCTTCAGTATCAACATGTAATAATTGTCTATGTAATTTGCACTCTTTTACTACATGCATGGTATAATATGACTGGCTTACCATTATTGGTAGGTTCAACAGTAGGATTTGGATCAACTAGAGAGAGAAAACAAACACTAGATCATAAATTCCACGTCATAGTCTCATTTGTCTAAGATGCACCGTGCTTTTGCCTGGATGTAAGTGCCACAGTTATATATTCAAGCGGTACAAAATACAAAATTTATATCAAAATACACTTGACTGTGTGTGTGCGACGATTATCCTAAGTGTGCAGTACTGCCCTCCGCTAAGGGCTCTCTGCACACAAAACACGAGAAATAGTAGCTCACCGGAGCAGGTAGTTTGGTCTTCGTTGAGAATGTAACCAGTCTCACATACACACGACCATCCCTGTGCCTCGACTGAACTGAGCAGACAGATGTGCTCGCAATTGTTAGCCACACACAGGTTGTCTCCTGCGTATAATTAACAAACAGGTCAACAACAATAATATGACTCACACTCCATGCCGGTCAGTATCATTACATGAAACCAACGCTACACACCTAATAAATCTAAGAAAACCTAGTTTTGGATGATTTCATGGAGTAAGTAGTGTTTTGCTTCTATGAGCTGAATGACAGTTGGAAAAAATGACACGCTTTATGAAGTGAGACTGTCGACTATTTGGAAACAAGCATGATTGAAGTAAGTTTTGCTGCTAACCTTCAGGTTGCCGGAGAGGACTGACAGCCTCTATGCCATTGGGATTCACGGGAAGACCTTCGTAGATCACAATAATGTCTGTGAAATTACCGAGCGGATCAGTTCCGTGGATCTTGTGCGTCCCATACACTGTGTTGTTGAACCAGTCTGTCCAGTAGAGGAGATCTTCATACAGAGTCAGATCAAACGGTATAGCGACACGTTGCTGAGCCCCCACCAGTACACTCCTCCCTGTCCCGTTGTAGAAAGCGTAGGAGATGGTTGACAGCCCGGCATCACTCCAGTAGATCCTCTGGCTGCTGTAGTCGCAGGCTATTCCGAGCGGTTGCAGGATATCGTTGGAGAACAGAACTATTCTCCCTTTTCCGTCCATTGAGGAGCGCTCGATGAGAGACGGTGTGCCCCAGTCCGTCCAAAACATGTAGCTGGAGGGGTAAATGAAACATAGATGAATTTAGGATCATCCCCATTCATATGAAAATTTCTTAGAAACAAAACTTTAGGAGATGGTTCTTCAAACTACAATTTGCTAATGTCTCCTTCCTCACAGTTTTGTCTATGATCGGCAAGCGATGCAAGTCTACCAAGTCGTCTCTCTGCGGGGATTTTCTCTATATTTATGACATTGTGTTGGCACCGCCGCTGTACATACCCTAATGTTTTACGTGATTCCAAATACGTGTGCGAATTACTCGGGTTCGTTCGCCAAAATGGTGTTACATACGTTCTATATTATAAGCTCACTGTGCAATGGGGTCGATAGCAAGTCCTCTGGGGATGGAGTGGTTGCTGGTTCGAATGAGTTCTGCTCGTCTCTCGGTGGCAATGTCCATCACCTCAATCCTGGCCCAGAGTGCGTCGATCCAGTAGAGCTTGTTGCTCACCCAGTCAACTGCCAGGTCCTCTGGGGAGCGTTGTGGAGAACTCTTTCACTTTCCCTTTCTCCACTCAATCAACAACAACAACAACACACAACAGCAACCCATGCAATAGTAGAATCAAGCTAGCTAATACATAGAATGCTCTAATTAAGACACTCCTGAAATGAGGACACGCCTGTCCACTGTTTGTATACCTGGTTCAGGAAGATGTTCAGTAACAATGGCCACTCTATCTTCCCCGGTAGTCAGATTAGCTCTGTACACGACATCCTCAATGTAGTCTGTCCAGTACATATACCCAGCACTGAAGGAGTAAAGAGAGAGAGAGAAAGAGAGATGGCATGCACATAAGTAACACTATAGTCCTATCACTGTTCATTCGCTGCACGTCACACATCAGATGCAGTATGAAAAGTAGTCTATAAAGCAAGTCCGCCCCAAGACAGCTCTTCCCTGGGCATTGTTGGCTTTGGACACTTGCCTTGCTTTCATTATACCTCACCTTTTGGCGATTCGGAAATGTATTAGTTCATGTACTACCTGTGGTGGAAGTTGATCCCATAGGCTCCTCCTGAAAGCTGGCTAATGAAAATGTTGAAGTTTTCTCCGTTCAGGTTGACATGATTGATGGTGGAATGACTGGCAAACAAAAGGTAGTCTCCCTCTGAAAAAGAATCGGGATGATCAAAGTTTTAGCTACTTTTAGTTAATGGTTTACTTACCAGGTAGATCTGCAGAGGGTCACAAGTAGAAATTGAAGACCACACATATGAGTGAGAACAGAGAAATTAGAAATATTAGCAGCAGAAATCAGAATAAAGGCAGAAGTTACAAATATACAGCAGAAACTATGAATAATTCAGCAAATATTTCAGCAGAAAATAGTGATAAAGAGTTGTTGGGTTACCAAATGTGCAGATGTCGTCGATGTCGCTGCAGCAGTCACCAAAGAGAAAGCAGTCGACGTCACAGTAGCAGTCTTGAGGATTACCCAGACAAGGCTGGCCCACACCCACCGCGCAACACGACTCAAACCCTGCTGCGGTACACGTACCTTCAGAGAGAGAGTGAGAGAGAGAGATAATATATCTTGAGTGAGTGTGGGAAAGAGAGAGGACGACTAACAGCGATAGAGAGAGAGAAAGATAGAGTGGCTGTGTACATATTAAGTGACAAGCTTTTCTGTGTCACTTTGCATTCTGTTGTGTGTTGTATTATAGACCGGAGTTTCTGCCTGATAAGCTGCCATGGAATAGTCTTTACTTCCTCTTATAAAGCGATGTTAATATATCATGTAGCCATCATCCATCGTACTACTGCATCACATACACTCAAATTCATTGTCACTGTCATTGACTGCACCACAAAGTAGCCACATTTGCTCTACTACGTACGTACGTGCACAACAACAACCAGGCAACACCTAATGGGCAGGAGGCAGCAATTACATTCATACTGTCACATACCTACCAACTGCCCATGTGATTGGGAGCTATCACAACAGTTTTGGCACACCCACCAATTGTTAGCAGCGGTTCCGGCGTAGGATCGGTCGTAAGCAACGCAGGATTAGGCACCAGGTCATAAATCACGTTGTTCCAGACTGAGTCGGTGTGTACACACGCTATAGACTGCGTGAGGTAGAGACCACTCAATGGGTGGTTCATATAGTAGTCTCCTGCGGCATTGTATCCTACGATGGCCTCTTCAGACCAGCCCAGAGAGCCACACTTGTAGGTGAAGATGGCATAGGATTTCGTATCCCCGTCTGTAACCAACACTGCTTGATACGTGTTGTTCTGCGGAGCAAAGAAGTGAATAATTTATTAGACAGAGAAGACAGGGGATAAGAAAAGACAAAAGGAGGAGGGAGAAAGAAGTACTATAATCTGGATACCAATGGGCAAAATTTATATTATTGAGGTTTCCTTATTTCAGGGGTTGAATTGCAAGATACAGTCCTCGGGAGAAAAGGTGTCCTCATTAGAGAGGTGTCCTCATTTGAGGGGTGTGCTTGCTTAGAGAGGGGTTCCACTGTAGTGGTTAGACAGAACACCGACCACACAACTTAACAAAACTATCCTTATGCTTATGTATTATACTCCCATTGAAAAAGAACTGACCATGTCCAAGAAAGGTGCGGCCTGCAGCTGACTTGCACCAGCGGGATATGGATGCATCTCCCTCCAGTTCCCGACAAACACGAAATTCCCCGCAAAATTTGTCTCCTCCGTGTTTGTGTTTATGAACTCGTTGACCCTAGCAATGATGTCATCGGTTTCCGTGCTCTCCTCTGTACTGTACTGTTCCCAGGACACGGTGCCGTGGAGACGGGCATCGTGGTCGGCCCAGTAAGGAGCCACTGCGTAGTCAAAGTAGGTAGAGGCACTCACAGTGGGGAAGTAGGAGGGAGAGAAGTGAGGGAATTCGACTCCAAACGAAATAATTCCATTTGTTGACATCTGCAGGCAACGAAATAAAATAGCACACAGGCTAGGAGTTACTCAGTTCCATTATCCATCTACACGGTCAACTAATAATAACAACAGCATTACACAAGGCACAAGGACCTTTGGGCTTCTAATGATCACAATCATCACACACTTGCTGATCTAACTACTTTTTCACTTCTATTCGGCAATGATGTAACTAGGACATTGTTTTTTAAACCTTTTTTTTATTTTTATAAAGGACACCTATCGTCATGTTACCCACACCGCTATAGGGTATAGTATTAAGCTGTGCTTCAAAACAAAGCTGAGCTTAATTAGGACAAAGCTGCTTTATTGCAACAACTATAATTATACACACTCTAGTTTTGTGTTGGCGTATTAAGCAGTGCTCACATAGACTGAGTTGTGGTAGTAGTTTCCAAAGGGGAATGGGTTGGGAAGGGGGATCTCCTCTGAGCTACAGTCATCGCAAGCCTCTATCTGCCCAGCATTGACGACTCCTGTCTCCTCCACCCACTCCAGGTAGCTGGCTTGAGCTACATCAGATAATTTAAAAAATCACAAAGTTCTTTTATGTACCCTTTCTGGGTGTCAATTTTAACAGAGAATAATATGTACTTGTTTGTTTCCCGAATGGTAAAACTGTCAGTTTATATGCTTATTATGTTCCTTCTGAGGGTCCTCGTACAAGCAGAAAACCTTGTCAGCCTGTACACAAATCGCTTTCAGGCGTCTAAGATTCTTGTTGGCAAGTTCCTAGCCGTCTCCCTTTCTTTTTATACGATCCCTATATGCACTCTTTTTTTAATCCGCAGGATTTTTAATTTACTTGTTGATAATTACAGTGCTTACGTGGTTCGCTAGTAGGCAGAGGAGGTGGAGGGATAAAGTCCCCGGCAGTGATATTATACATCAGATTGAAATACTCGCTGCCAGGACCATTTGTACAGTCCATGCTTTCAGCATTTGGGCTGCCAGAGAGTTCATAGTTCTCGTAGAACAGACTGGCGGCATTGAAGCCAATGGTTGGCGTCCTGGCCCAGTTGAGATCTCCACACTTGTACGTGAAGACGGCATAGGTTTGATTGGTGTGGTCGGTTACGATGATGGCTTGGAAGCTGTTCATCTGCAGGAAGGTTCAATCATTATACAGTGTAAGAGTGACACACTTTACAAAAGTCTATAAATAGTCTTGATAATACTTTCTTAAAGCTTCTTTGCAATCACGGTGTTCGAATTTCTTTAAGTTACCATTATCACGCCTATTGCAACATCTAAAACTGCATTCTGGGCATGCTTGTGCACTTTTCCCACCATCTAATGTTGTTTGGACCAGCAATTGCACATTCCCACTCAAGAGAACTACTACATATTAATCTACCTCGTCAACATCATCATCATCGGAGAAACCGAAATAGGGAAGAACTTGATCCCACATAGCCACCAGCATCCAGACTCCGCTGAAACTGCTATTTTCAACTGACGCCTGGATGAAGTCGTTCACTTGTCCCAGCAGGGCGATCGACCCAGAGTTGTTCCCCGCTGCATCATGGACTTGGTAGTAGATGGAGCCACCGTCAGGACGACTGATGTCCACGTCGTCCCAGAACGGAGTCACAAGGTACCCGTTTACAACACTGGAGGAAGTCCCAGGGAATAGCTCTGGAGACCAATGGGCATACTCCTCGTTGAATGAGAATATCCCATTGTTTGCAATCTGGAATGGCAACAGAGACATTTTTAACGTTATGTACACTTTCTAAGCTTGATGAATGGTTGTTAGCTAGAGTTATGTAAGAAGTCAGGCATATATACTCTTTGGGTTCAATATAGAGTAGCTCTAAAGTCCTAGATATCATTTTAATGCACTTGTCCTTTTGTTTACATCCCATGATTCAGGAGAAGTCACATGAGTATAGTTACCATAAGCATCGCCATTTCTCATATTCCTCTATAGATCTCTCTCTGTACTAGCTTTCATATGTATAGTCCAATATTGTGATGGTGCTGAATCACAATCTTACCCAGACTGCCAGAGGGTGGCTGTTTCCAAAGGGAATTCCGTCGGGAATGACAATCTGTTCAGAGATACCATCGTCCAACTGTGGCAGCTGAATGCTCTCCACTCCCGTGTCACTCAGGTCAAGATAGGGCAGGTAGACTGCTGTAACAGTAGGTACAATGCTGGATACACTGGTAGTGAAGTTGAGGTGTTTGGGAGGTTAAACCGTGTGTCTGTTTCAGGTATTTATATATTACTGTTGGCTCTGCCCAGTGTGATTTTTAAGTCAAGTCTTAATGTCCCGAAATGCTCAATGGAGTTGGTTTAATGATTATGTGGCTACATTTTCCTGACTTAACATGTATATAATGGTATTCATGATATGAATTTTGTTGCTAAGTACATTCACTTCTAGTGACGTCTGTTGTTTAGTCTTCTCCAGATTCATACCATTTTAGACTGATAGACTTTCAATTACTAAACTCTTCCCAAAGAATATACATTTACATACTAAATCACTAAGAGGGCATGTTGGAGGCTATTGTCTGTTGGTATATTATTATGCCTATGAAGTTCCGTGTCAGCAAATTTCTGATTTTCCCAAGAGGACATATCCCAGAGGGATAGAGCTACATAACACATCAGGTGGCAGTCACGTTTCATGTAGCCATGAATTGGTATGTACTGCTAGTTGGTCTTATTCTGCCTGTATAGTTGCCTGCCGTGCCATAAATTGTTAGAATAGGGTTGAAGCAAGTGTCTTTTGTAGAGAGGTCGTCCCTATCTCAGAGGGTCCCTTATCAGAGGTTCCACTGTAGGAGGAGCACTCTACGAATTGAGCCACCTACCCCATTCCAACACTTGACCTCCGAGATAGGGATGACCTCTCTACAAAGGACACAATCATCGGCTCCACAGTTTCCTTTGTTCGGAGGTTCCACTGTATACATAGACTACACCATGTCGTGGTATATATCAAATCATCCCACCCATGGCAGCTATTTTTTCAGTTGTCCTGAGTGTGTAGTTGTGTTTTTGACCTTGCCTTTGCCTCAATTATGACCTCGTTCTTGCATACAACAGCAGCTTGTGGGCTGTGGAGAAAACATGCATTGAATTACCATCTTGGGCTGTAGAGACAGCTAGGAGAGAAATGATAGCCAGCAGAAATCGAGGTGACATTGTAAGTGTTCTTGTTATCTCAGCCCACGGTGTCCTATAAACAACCAAAGGGAGAGAGAAAGGGAGAAAACAAGAGGGCGAGTAAGAGAAGAGAGAGGAGAGAGGGAGAGCGCGTGCTTGAATGGAAAGTGTATTGTTGAATGTATGTGTCAATGCATACTCCATTATATTGGCAATTATTGCCATGATTCGACACTGGAATATTATACTCACTCACTGTAATCCTACCCAACCAAAAACATAGTATTGACAACTACATATAGCTATAAAAAGGCAGAAGAGAGAGGTTGGTTGGTTGTCTCTGTTACCTCACGAACTCTACGTTCCCTAAATCTTACACAATTTTGTTGTAGCTAGAGCTAAAATTCACAGGGAAAAACGCCTTCTATTTAGCTAAACAGGACCAGGAAAAATCGAGGCACGCCAGGAGTGAAGCCTGAGTTATAGGCAGTTTGAAGTTTACCGCTTTTTCTGCTTGGCTCGCGGCGCCTTCTGCGCGCGGCCACTTGGCTCGCCAATGGCTGTGCAGAGCCAGCGAGCCAGCCCCACCCCATAGCTACGACACTATATACTACAAAGTGTAAGCGCCAAAAAACACACTACTCCCGCTTCAGACACCGCCGACGCCGTAGTAGAGGTGTGTGTACCTTGTACATTGAAGTCCTCTCGCTGCAGTCTCCGACGCGTCTTGACCCAGCGGCAGATCGACGGCGAAGAGAGATCGCAGCAAGTGGGAGTGACGAAAGCTTACGACGGTGATCAAGTATTCATGGTCCTGCTTTTGGAGCGTGGGAGGTAGGGAAACTGCAGAATGTAGTGTAAATGCACGCCTATGGACCGTGTGAGATTACGAACACTATCCAGCTACTGTAACTTACTGCAAAGTGTGTAGGCTGCGTGCATGCCGGAATAAATGACCGTTAAACCTGCTTATTCTCGCAGTGAATACAGGCAGTGAATCGCATGGCTATTTTGCTAGCGAATCTCGTACAGTAATCTCGGTGTCTATGCAGTTACGTATTACTGAAATCCTTCTAGCTATGCAACGTACAAAGCAAGCAAAGTGCTATTGTAGCTAGATCTGCAAGTTGCCTTGCTTGCAATAGAAGTTTTGTGCCAAGATATGGGATTGCAGTATAGCTTGAAAACGTGATGAGCTAGAGCAAAGAGAGTGCATGACCAGCATTCAGCTAACTGCATTGGCCAGAGCTATTAACTACTCACTATAGTTACCAATAGCTTCAAGGTTAATAAGATTGGTGCAGTTAGCTAAAGTGAATATACCATGCTAAGCAACTCAGTCTACACGCACAAATAATAAGTTCAGAGCTTACTTAGCAACCCCTTTCCAAGTTTTTATAATATTAAAAATTGTAGCATCTGGCTAAGTAAGAGAATAAACCAATAAGGAAGAACACAGTTTGTATTCACACAGATGGAACCACAGTTCTATATTTAGCTCAAGCTTAACCGTAGCCAACACCCTCCACACAAACTACAAAGAGCTCTCGAGTCCTCCTCCCATATAAAAACATCAATGCTCTCTGTTACACAGCTGAGAAATTGCTATAATTAGACAGCGTGTAAGGATACAAGGTACAAGTATACATAGGCTGTTATCATTGAGCAATCCTGCTGTACTCTAGCGTTGTATATAGTGGGTTGAATGTGACCTTTTTGCCTAGCATTATGTATGTGTTACTCTAGAGTCCTCTGTTGGCTTTTCAGGAGGAGATACTAGGAGAAGAAGATCAGTTTGAAGCGATAGATCAGAGGGAAAATGCTGTGGAGGGATGTGACGGGTGTTTTCTGGTGCAGTATAGCAATGACTCTTTTGAAAACTTGTGACAGCACTACTGGTGGGCTCTCTTTTGCACACACACACACACACACAGAGTAATGGTATAATTACGCTGACATTCAAATCATCTGCAGCAGTGCATTTCGTAGTGCTAACACACCCAGGCAAGGGCCTGCACATACTAATAAACTCCCACAGTTGGTGTAGTTGTGTAATAGCAGATCATAAAACCATGCATCAAAGATTCTTAGCAATTTGAGCATCATTCCTACACAAACTGTTGCAGTACGTACCATTAGACCAAAGTGTTCCAGTTGATACTAAAAAAACATTGTCAGGCTAAGCTCTTAAAGCCCCCGATTCTTCATTACTTCATTCATAGCAATCTCCAAGATGTTCTAAGCTCATCTGGTTACAAAGCCTGTAGACTGGGTGGATGATATGATAGCACTGTAGGTGTTGCTATATACATCAAAGAGTTTTCCTATTCCGGCCCTAAGTGGCTTGTGTAGAAACAGATATGGGTTGATCAATGGCATAATTTGTAGAGCATCAGTGTAGCCGCTGGCCGTCTGGTTCTCCACCTCACATTCCGTCTCTCAGATGATCACTCTCGAAGAATACCCGCTCATAATATGAGGGATAATTTAGCACTTGAGCTAATCTCAATGTTTACCAAACACCTGGCTACGACCCAAGACACTTTGCTCTGTTGAGAACTCTACTAGTCTCTAGAGCTGGTGTTTTCCCTATAGCCAGAGGTAGCTATATATTATACATATTATATACGGTGAAACCTCCCTCCAAATAAAGGACACTCTCTCCACTTCATCCATAACTAGCTACAATAGGGATGATTCTTTTTCTTCTTCTTTTTCTGATTCTGCCCATGCTATTTTTACTAATATTCCTCTTTATTTTTATTATAGGGCACTTTTTAAGACCCCAAGGTGTCCTTGTTTCGAGGATTCACTATAATATTATCCCCAGATTCCAGAGAAGAGCCATTCATTTTGCTGGGGAATGGAAATACGATACAGTGGATATCCCTGGATGGTAGCGAAGGCCTGCCTCTCTTGAACGACACTGACTATGACATCATTGGAGTAGATTATGACATCAGGTAATTGCTTTTGTGTTGCAGACACACTCTGTTAGCACCTGATTACATCACCATTTCTCTTTGGTTAAAAGGGAAGGCTGGATGTTTTGGACTGATGTTGCTAGCAGGACCATCAGCAAAGCAAAGCTCGACGGTTCAAACGTGACAATTTTAGTCAGTGACAGCATGCGGGTGCCAGGTGAATAATTACAGGTTTAACCATAAAACCACTATATAAAAGACGCATGTTGACGCCCTCCAAACAGAATTAAAAAACTATTAGGTAATTACTGGACTGTGTTGCAAAACAGTGCCTTTGAAAGTGCAAAAGTGGAAATTGGGCCAATTAAGGCCTGAGTCGACCAATCAGATCATGGCATCATTTCAAATCACGTTACTGTAGATGGGTTGGCTTGGGACTGGGCCACAAAGAAAGTCTACTGGAGTGACGCAGGAAGAAAGAGAATCGAAGTGTACGATCCTCTGAGGAACGTCCGTCAACTGTTGAAGAGTACCGGGTCCCAGAGCCTCCCTAGGGATATTGCCGTCGACCCCACTACTGGGTAAGGTGTACAGTAGGTTAATTGGACACTTTTGAGTGACTTGGCACCTTTTGCGCTTTCTCTCATGCTCTTAGAATTAGGTTTGGCATGCATGGTGTTTTCTCTGGGCCCATTGCTGCGAGTTGTTCACCCAGCATGCTATGTTGCTTGCTCGTCTCTCCTCTTCCCTATATATACAGTGGAACCCTTCTACTCCCTGAAATGAGGGGACCACTCTAATAATTGGCCACCATTTCTTTCCCCATTGAAACAAGGACAATTCCACTGATACACATTTTCTTCTGCCACATTGGTTTTTCTCACTCTCTTTCTTCCTCTCTTCCTTCCCCCTCACTCCTCACTTACCGTTGTTCCTCTCCCTTCTCTCATCTTCCCGCTCTCTCTCTCTCTGCATCCTGCAGCTGGTTATTTTGGACTGATTGGGGAGGCTCGCCGAAAGTGGAGCGGATGTCCATGGACGGAACGGCCCACACAACCATCATATCAACTGACATTGTCTGGCCAAGTGGCCTAGCAATCGACTACGCAACGCACACCCTCTTCTGGTCCGACGCCAGTCTAGACAAACTCGAAAGCTCTGACTTTGACGGGCAACATCGACGGATTCTTTTAGAGAGGCGGTTCATCTTCTACCCGTTTGGACTTGCTTTCTTCAACAGTACTCTCTACTGGGGTGACTGGGTGGTGGGGTTTGTGTACAGACTCTCGGTGGTCGATCCGACCGACTATAATTACGTGAGGCCAGTACTAGAGAGCGAGCCGACTGGATTGAAGGTGGTGTCAAAGGTCAACCAGCCACAAGGTACGTTGATATAGAACAGAGGGGGACTGTTCTTTTGCTGTGTGTTGGGGTATCATTTTAGTGGGGGGAGTATAACTTGAACAAGTAAGATAATTGCAGCAAAGACAATTAATGCTGTGCACTAGATTTTGTAGTCAATTCACCTAGCTTGGACAAATGTCTCTTATAATGGCCTATATGTACACAATACCTAAGCTGGCGATCCCCCCAACTGTTTTATTTTGTCTTCTCAACTGTTCCCTGTTAAAGAACCTAAGTGGCCTGAACTCAAAATATTTTTGGATTTTAATTTGCTCATGGCACACTGCCAGCTACTGGTACGACAATAGAATTTTGTGTTTGCTGAAAATTTCCACTTGCTTTTTAGCCTCCAAGACTCACCATTGTATATACTATTGTGGATGCTGTTGAACCCTGAGCATTCCCATTTGTGGTATTGGTATTGGTAGGGCGTGTGCCAGCATGATGCTCCCTGCATGGGCTACTACCAAACCACATGCATCCATTACGAGTAGAATTAGAATTGGCTATAAAGCCAATTGGCTGTTTGAACATCTTTTCCAGGAAAGGTGGTTTCAGAGTTCCTGCATGTGCATTGCAATAAAAAATGGTTAATGAATGCAAGAGAACTGTAAAGCAAGCCTGACTCGAACAGCCCACAACACTCCACTCCTTGTTAACTACTAAAGACTAAGCAATGATAATATTGCATAAATGTGCATTTCCTGCATAGCTGTGCAAATTATTATGCCAAGAAAATGAAAGTTTGTTTTCATTTCTTCCAGTGGAAACGCCCTGCAGTACTGCTAACGGAGAATGCAGCCACCTGTGTCTAATTAGTGCCACCTCTCCTTCTGGTTATTCTTGTGCCTGTCCCAGACATTTCCGTCTGGGTCAGAACCGACGCGATTGCTACAGTGGTGAGGACCTAGCACGTCTCTTCCACAGTACTATAGCTACACTACCATGGGACATAGAAAGCCTGTCAACTTCATATGAACAATCAATGCAATAGCTAAAGGTGTCTGTGCAGACAACTCAGTCACGAAATAAAAAAGACCATCGACTTATGTATAGCTATGCAGATAAAGAAATCACTGTGGCAACACTCCTGCTCTATTTGCATCATCATTTGATTGCAGGTAAACAAGGTTCAGAGCCAACTGCAGCTACAACAGAAGTACCTCCTACTAAAGGTTGGTAAAACCCTTGTATGTAATGCCATGCTACCACTACTGGCATTGAACAATACTTTTACCAGAGTAACGTTATAAAGTGTACCAGCCATGGACACATAGTATTATAAGCAGATACCCATGGCGTCCAAAGGGTTTAACCTGAAGACTTTAGCCAACCCAAAAACTGGCCATGTCACGAAATAAATGCGTATGTAGCTACACACTTGTATCATTGTGCAGGATCATGTGTTCAAGCAAACTACACGGCGTGCTGTACAAGCGATAATTGCCAGGGGCTCCCCCCTGTATGCACATGCAGTGCTGAATGTCACTCCCTCGGAACCTGTTGTCCTGATATCGAGATCATTTGTCCTCTGTCTCCCCCTCCTAAAGGTATCATAAACTATTACGAACTGCATAATTATGATGCCCACACTCAAAGGCACCCGGTGAAGAAAGCTATTCGTATTACTCTCTACATACAGGAATACCTATGTTGAATATAGCTAGCACTAAACACCAAGTTTTTGTTAAGATAGCAAATGACTAAGCAAAACTGAAGAGTTGAGATAGCTACTATTTTGAAGGAATCGAGTTTTTAAGGTACCATATGCTTATGGTGAGTGAGTCAGTTTCTATTATCGGTTGATTTCAGGGTTTCTAGTAGTGGCAAATGAGGATGGATTAGTTCGTCTTGAGCTCGACGGACGATCACAGTCAGTGCTGGTCAGAGGGGAAAGACACACGACAGCTATTGACTATGACCTCAGGTTGATATCTGATGAGACATATGATATACCTTTACATCTATAATTGTATTATGCACTTTAACTTTCACATCACGACCTTTAATTACCTGTCTCGCTGCATCTTTTGAAACTCTCTCTGCTCATAAAAATGTTTTTCTGCACCTTTTACAAGCACGTCGCTCCACTTTTTTTAGAAGTTCTAACTGCTTTGTGCTGTGTTAGTTTTTCCTGGACCTCTTTATGCTCTTGTATAGGTTGTCTGCATAAATTATTTTCATATGGTTGTTCGCATCCTTCAGCGTAGTTCACAGTATGTATGATTTGTGTGTGTGTGTGCTAACGCCTGTGTCTGCCTTCCCTCCGTCTTTTCCCCAGCTCCAACACTCTCTTCTGGTCAGATGTTGTTCTTGGCAGGATCAGAAGATCGTTTCTGAACGGTTCCGACGTCACTACCGTCATCGGGAGCGGCAGAACCGAGTCTCCAGGTCAGCCAATCATCACAAAGGGTCCAAATCGTTGACACACATGTAAGGGAGAATGCGAAATTTTGGGCGAGATAGGGATTGGTGCAGCAGGATAGATGATGGTACCATTCCATACTCCAACTGTAGCTAAAGTATTAAGGATAGTTTGCTTGTCTCTATTTCTACTTATGTGCCTACAAAAAATGCTAAATCGTTGACACACTCATGTAGGGGACGAATTTTGGCGAGATAGGGATAGGTGCAGCAAGATAGAAGATGGTACCATTCCATACTCCAACTGTAGCTAAAGTATTAAGAATAGTTGGTTTGTCTCTATTTCTACTCATGTGCCTACAAAAAAGCTAAATCGTTGACACACTCATGTAGGGGATGATGCGAAATTTTTGGCGAGATGGATAGGTGCGGATAGAAGATGGTACCTTCCAACTCCACTGTAGCTAAAGTATTAAGATAGTTGTTTGTCTTATTTTCTCATGTGCTCAAAAAAAGTAAATCGTGACCATAGCGAATGCGAGATAGGGTAGGGCGCAGATAGAGATGGTACCATTCCATACTCCAACTGTAGCTAAAGTATTAAGAATAGTTGGTTTGTCTCTATTTCTACTCATGTGCCTACAAAAAACGTAAAATTGTTGACGCACTCACTACACAGAACGAGATAGGGATAGGTGCAGCAGGATAGAAGATGGTACCATTCCATACTCCAACTGTAGCTAAAGTATTAAGGATAGTTGGTTTGTCTCTATTTCTACTCATGTGCCTACAAAAAATGCTAAATCGTTGACACACTCATGTAGGGGACGAAATTTTTGGCGAGATAGAGATAGGTGCAGCGAGATAGAAGATGGTACCATTCCACACTCCAACTGTAGCTAAAGTATTAAGGATAGTTGGTTTGTCTCTATTTATACTCATGTGCCTACAAAAAACGTAAAATTGTTGACGCACTCACTACACAGAACTAGATAGGGATAGGTGCAGCAGGATAGAAGATGGTACCATTCCATACTCCAACTGTAGCTAAAGTATTAAGGATAGTTGGTTTGTCTCTATTTCTACTCATGTGCCTACAAAAAATGCTAAATCGTTGACACACTCATGTAGGGGATGACGCGGTGGCATCATGTACTACGTAAGTACATAGTACATGATGCCACGTATAAAGTACTATAATATAAGTGTTGTTTCACGTGTCAGTAATGTTGGGTAGATACACAACTATACTTTAATCAGTCATTTTTGCTCAGAGGGGATAGCGGTGGACTGGGTGAACCAGATGCTGTACTGGACCGATGCCCGAGCCAAGAGAATTGAAGTATTTGACCTCGAAAAAGGTCACCGGAGGTTACTAATTACAACTGGGGAGGGCACCTTGCCAAGAACAATAATTGTGGATCCTACGACAAGGTCACTTGATAATAAAAATAAAAATAAAAACTATATTATAGATGGGAATACAAAGGGAGATGTTAATAGAGGTAGTCTGATGATTAGTTCGCTGCCAAGTTTGTCAGTTAATTTCAAAGTGGTTAAATGTCATAGGATTAATTGCTAGGAGAATAAATTGGTGGATTAAATACTGCAATCTTTTTCAGGCCTCATAATTGGATAACCTAGATTCTAAATGTTGAGCACACTTGGTCAACCTGAACCATTCCACACTACGTACTGAGGTTTAAACAGGCTTTGATCACCTGCAGCACTCTAACAAGCACGAATCAAAGTATATAATTCCAAGAATACACCCCGGGCGATGGGCGGAGTGAGCATTATTTATGCCGGTGTCTGTCTTATATACCTCAGACGGCAACTGCAATTGGTCATGATCTCCCCCTCCCCTCAAATAGATGGCTATATTGGAGTGACTGGGGCGAGAAGGCTCTCATAGAGAGAGCATCAATGGACGGACAGCAGAGGCGACCAATCGTCTCCTCCAACCTTGTCTGGCCGAACGGACTGGCCATCGACATCCAGTCACAGTCCCTCTACTGGGCCGACGCAATGCTGGATAAGATCGAGTCTTCAAACGCAGACGGGACCAATCGTCATGTCCTCACGACAATCGGGATATTTCACCCGTTCTCTCTGACAGTTCACGAGGCACAGCTCTATTGGAGCGACTGGGAAATGGATGTGATATTGACAGGCAGCTCGGATATCTATCTCAATGCAAGGCTGCTTGCTCGTCTAAACGGGTCTCGTCCGATGGGGATAAAAGCCGTCAGCTCCGCCAATCAGCCATCAGGTACTATTGTAGACACACAAGTTAGAGGCCAAAAATTCCCAAGGAATTGTTTAATAATACTCAGGTGGCTGCACCCAGGTACGTTTCCAAGGAAACCCCCCAAGGAGTTGTTTATAAACTTGTTTCAATGGAGACGTGTTATTTATCTCATGAGGTGAACCTTCTTTCATTGAAGCCAGTAAGACTAGGTTTTCCGATTCATTTGATGTAGTTAGCTAGCTCCTTAAATCCCAGTTTTGTGAACTTATTTTTCGTGATCTTTTTATCTCTTCTTTTCTCGCAGTGCCCAATCCCTGCCTCATCAACGCTACCTGCAGCCACATGTGTCTCCTCAGCTCAATCTCAGAGAAGGGGTTCGCATGCGTCTGTCCACAGGGCTGGAAAATGAAGCACAACTCTAGCTCCCAATGTACCATCCTACAGCATCCAGGTATAATATTATTATCATAAACCCCGTTGTTGAAAAGTTGTCAAGAGCGTGGAAGATCAAGGCTACATCACTATACACAAAATCTCTGTAATTCTTGAAAAGCTGTCAAAATTGTCTGTAGCTAACTGTAAGTAGATTTGCCCGAAACTAGGGCACCATGAATGGATGATGCTTGTCTTCATCCTATTGCCTCATTCTTTGCATCTACCATAGGTACTTTGAGGAGTGAAAGCAGTAGAGAAGCTTCTGGGACAGCGGGAGTCAAAGTGGTGCACCGATCGGTCACGGTGAAGACACCCAAGGAGACCATGTCAGAAAATTCTCAGGATTTCCAACTGGAGGTCCTGCCGCTGACACTGATGGCCGCGATAGTACTTCTCTCGGTCATTGTCATCGTTATGTCATCCTTTCTCATCGCCAGACTACGAACAAGACGGAGAAAAAGGATCACTTTCTTGGAAAGGTAGCTACGCTTAATGTTGGTAGAGTTCAGTGCTGCTCTAGCACAGAACGTTACCGGACTCTAAGAGTCCGCGCATGGACCAAACACACGATTGCACTAGCTCAGATCTGCAGCTTTTGTCCACATCTTTACCTTAGATTGTTTCCATCCCACGTTGCCAGCCTTTCTATTTCATCTCTATCTAATTTCTCTGTGTATAGTGTGAGCTGTACAATGTTTACTGGACACGTGGCCTGGGATCAGTTCATCTAATTGCAGGGCGAGTGGCTTTTCATTCAATCAGTGCCTTCAGGCAGGGCCAAACGTAGCAAAGGGAACAAATTGGGGACCCCACCTGTGGCTCCCGCAATAATAATGTGTGGCTCCCGCAATAATGGGTGGTGCGTGAGAGTGTATTTAACTTTCAGCCACAATGAATTCCAGCTGACCACGAATCTGCAGGCCACAGTATACTAAAACCGTACGTAGCATGTCTCAGGGAACTTTCATGACATAATCTTTCATACGTATCCCATGTAACCCCGACACATTGTCTACGGCTAACAATAGCTATATATGGCACCTACACTAGATCTAGAGTTATACATAGCAAGTTGGTGGTGGCCATCATGTAATTCCAGGGCCTAAACTGTCTAGGAATGCAAAGACCAATTATTCTATAGTCCTTAGGCATGTACATAGAATATTATACCAAGTTGCTCTTGCCCATGAAAGGCCAAACACATTTAGAAAACACAGGGGGAATTTTAATTCAAATACTCAACCTACGTAAATCGTAATCTGTAAAAAATTGTTCTTACTCTTACGTGTGATCACCGATTTTTGAACTGTAAAAATTTCCGTTTCGCAGAAGATGTATTGCCATTCCAAACATCTATTCAACGGTTCATTCTATCCAGTCAGAAATGACATCATTTCAGACAGAAATGACATCATCCGTGACTGAAATGACATCATCCCAATCAGAAATGACATCATCCCAGACATCACCCATACCATGATCTATGAACATTCCACTTGTCAATTTTCGTGTCTCTTTCGTGTTTCCTGTATATATAATATGTGTCATCGTCTGTATTACGGCACAAATTATGCGCTGCACAATTCACTTGACCAGCACTCAATTTTTTCAATGTAAGTTTTATAATTTTTTTCCACTTATGATGATTACATCACGATAAGATGACTACATCAAGAATAAAAGTGAAATTTTACACACATACGAAGCACGAAAGAGTTCAACTTCTCGATTCTTGTTTCTTTCGCTTCTTTTCCTCGAGCCAACTGCTCAACTGCAAAAGTCTCTTTTCGCACTTTTCCTCCGCCGATCGAACGTAGCGCGACCGTATGATCTTGAATGCCTGCGGCGTTGCGTACGGTGTACCGGTAATGGGGTCGATGTACTTGGCCGGAAGCCCCGTCACGTGGCACACCGACCGTTTCGGTTTCGGCGGGCGATCTGCGGGGAAGTATGCCGAGGGATAAGACAAAGTGTCGGTGAAAACGAGAAAGTTCCTGCAGTAGTGTTGTTGTTCTTGATCTTGTTGTTGTTGTTGTTGTTGTTCTGAGGGGGTGGGGTTAGGGTGTTCAGGGACACTGTTAGCTGCGGGCTCGGCAGCTGTGGTTCTGTCATGAGACGGTTCCAGTTCTGAAATCAGGGGCATCGTGACGGAATGGAACCGAATGAACGGGCCTTTGAGCACCCGTTTCTTTTCCTTGACTTGTTTCTTTTCTTCTTCGAGACGAGTAAACATCTCGAGCGACGCCTTGTTCTCGAGTTCGGTCCATTTCGCTTCTTCGAGCATTTGCTGTTGCGTCATCTTACGCTGGGTCGTCGGGCGTCGGCTGCGCTGGGCATGGCGACTCCGCCTTCTCGCTTCTTTCAGTCTCTTCTGATGCTCGGCGCTGACCTCTTGCGTGGAGCGGCGCAGAGTTCGTTGTTCCGTAACGTCTTCAGAGGCTGCCAGGTTAGGTAGCGGAGTCTGCTTAGGCTTCTTGGCTTTTGGGCCACCTTCAACTGGCTGCGTTAGAGTGTAACAAGTACAAAAATAATTTCTCTAAAATGAAGTGGGACATAGGGATGGCTGAAAAGCACTAACAAACAAGGCGTGGTTAGAGCAAGCGCATACAAAACTACAAAAGTCTTGAGAATGCTGTGACAAAAGTGGCCACAATTGTAGGGATCGTGTGGTGAAAATGTACATCAGCAAGAGATGCTAGCCACCATGGATCTTATCTGAACACTTTTGTATTTGAAAGAACATAATTGACTGACTGCACATTAAACGTTTTTCTGTGTTGCACTGAGCTATACAGTTGTACCCCCATACTAAGAATAGATGGAGGAAGGAAAATGCAACTCTTCGGTTTGTCCGGGAGTCAAACTCTGATGGCGTCGTGACTGGAAGTCCAGAGAACCAAGCACCGAGAGCTACAACTCCCTGACAAAAGCTGGACCTTCCCAAATCCCTCTACGTACTACGAGGTCAACTAAGAATGTATTCGTAAGACTATAGACGAACCCATTACGTGGGAACAAAAGCGGCTACACCCACCCCTTGTACCTGTGGTCTTGCCGGTTTGATCCACTGCTTTCGCTTGCGTTTGGACTCCTCTTCGGCCGCCTCTCTCTCGGTCTCTCTCACCTCGTCTTCCTCGCTGGCGTCGAAATCGGTGTCCACCGCATCATCCTCTGATTCCTCCGTCTGAGGGAGAAAAGAGAATAGAAACCAGAGGCGTACAGTATTTCAGGGGTTAAATTTCTTGGGGAAAAGGTGTCATCAATCAGAGAGGTGTCCTCATTTCAGGGGTGCTCTATGTATTACACTACGAGAGAGGGTTCGAGAGTGCGCACTTATTAGAACGCACTTCATATTCATTGTCTTCCTCCTCTTCCCCGAAGCCGCCATAAGCAGTCTGGTAGAACTCGTCCGCTACCTCCTCCTCGTCCAACAGACGCGCGATGTTCCCCCCTGCGTGCGCCCTCTTAGGACGCTCCAAAGTCGCCATCTTGTGACCACGCCTCCTTTTTGTGGAACTAGAGAACGCGATCCCCGGAACTGAACGCGTTTCCGTGACTACGAGCCAAAAGTGCTGAGTCAGCGATTTTCCCATGTGCAGAGGTAGGCGTGGAAAAGAATAGTCCCTTTCTTTTCACCCACGCCAGATTGCATCTAGCCGTTGTTACCTGTGAGTGATGTGGTGTGTGTAGTTTACAGAGCGTTTTACTCTGTCACTAGAGCATAGAGACGTCCGTTTGCGTGTTCGTGTCGTACTTATCCTATCAATCTACGGCTAGCTTACTGCCTGTTTTCACGTTGCTAGAACGTGAGTGCAGTGATCACGCGCCTCTCTGTGGACAGTTTGTGTGTAGCTGCCTGTACGTATCCGCCAGAAGGAGGCATGGCCGCCGCTGCTGGAGGAGGAGACGGTCTGGGCGAGGCGGTGTCCAAAGTGTGGAGCTACCTGGACCGTCTGGCGGAGAACAATCCTCAGGAGTACAAGAGATTCATCAACAAGGCCATGCAAGAGCGGAGAGATTTTCTGGATCCTCCATGCCCAGTGTTCTGCTTCACCACAGGCATCAGAGGGGTGAGTAAGATTCTACAGTTTTAGGGGCTCTTGTTGTGCAGATATGGCCGCCTTACCGCCTCGTTCTCTTTCCTATTTCCCCTTACATGTCTAGCTTTGAGATTATGTCAGGGTGTGTGGTTTTTATGATTGCGTCGGGTTTGTGAATAATGCGTTTTCTGTTTCAAAACTACAGTTCAGAAATCAAAGGGCCTTAGAGTTGGAGGGGTTATAAGATTTTTGTCGGTATAGCTAGCCAGGTGTCTTCTCTCCCCCTCTCCTCTCTCTGTTTTCTCGTCATACAGAAGAAAAACCAGAAGTTGTATGTCAACATATGCAAGTGGGCGCGGGTGCCAACTAAACAAGATTCAGACAGCTCCCTCATACCGGTAAAGGGCGGAGTCTTGCGTTGTCTCGTGGAAGACGGAAAACGGCAGCCGAATTCTCTTCTCCTCGACATAGCCTTCAACCCAGTCTTCGTCGATTCGTGTCTCACGGACGGCGAAACCCTCGACGTGTTCCTCAAAATGGTCCTGGACTTTGTCGATGAGTACCTCTCCATACTGACGGACAGACGCACGGAGATGTTGCCGCCCGCTACAAAGTTCAAGGGCCCCGAGGCGGATATTTATCACTCGCTCGACCAGTCGAATCCAGAGCTGATTACAAAAGAGAGTTGGATGGACTTCCAACACAATCTCCTGGCTAGTCTGAAGAAAGGGAAGAAGACAAAGACAGGACGAAAAGGTCGGGACCCATCCCACATCCAGTAACGTCCTTCTCTGTGCAATGAAAGTTTCACGAATGCAGTCAGCTGGTAGTGCATATATTAGAATTTTTTTGTGAAGTTGTTACAATTTAAGTGCTGCCAACTTTTCCCCGGGCACACAGCAAATAAGGATAGTTTTAAAAGGCATCTTTTTCTGTTTGCAGGTGGCTCGGACACAAACGGTCTCCCTCCACTGTTTCCACGGCAACAGAGTAACCCAGGCAACGGTCACCAGGCAACACCCAAGCTCATAGAAGAGGTGGAGCAGGGAGGCGGAGGGTCAGGGAGAAATGGGCACGGCAGCGGCAAGCATCAAAAGAAGGGTAAAAATGGAGGGAAAAATGGAGGTCAGAAGAGAAGCAGCAGCGGACACTCGGCTAGCAGCAAGAATAGAAGGAAACAGAGGGACACTGTAAATGGGCAGAGTTTAGAGGAGAGTGGGCGGGGCTTAGAGGAGAGTGGGCGGAGTTTGGTGGAGGTTGTAAGTGAGCTGAGGATTGGGGATCGGAGTGATGGTGGGCAACATTTGGAGAAAGAGGGGACCGAAACAGGTGGGGCCGGGAGTTTAGTGGACGGGGAGGGGGAAAGTGGGAGAAGTTTGGGGGAGAGCGGTGAGGGGAGGAGGGTGATTCCAGAGAACAGGGTGACGGTGAAGGAGGAGGGAGGGAGGGATGTTGTGGTTGTGAGAGTCAAGCTTCCAGAGGTGACGTCTGCAGAGCAGATTTCTTTGGACGGCTCTGAGGTGAGGAGAGACCGACATGTTAAGTATTATGGTGAAAGTTTTGGGGGTATGAGATCATCACGAGCACCAAAACACTCTGTGAAAACGAGAAGACACCCACCAACGGGACAACAGGGGCTTCAGGGGTTAAATTCCACACACAACGGGGGGAAGAAAAGCCTTATTAGTGAGGTGTCCTCATTTCAGGGGTGTCCTTAGAGAAAGGTTCCACTTTAATATTGCATTACTCATCTTCCTATGTATTAGACTGATATCAGTGTGACGGCTGCCGATACCTACTCCCTCTTGGTCCCATTCCCATTCCACGTGAACCCTGACCTTGCCACTTCCACCTTCAACAAAAGGTCGCGAACTCTCATCGTTAGACTTTCGGTTGTTGACCACACCGAAAAAGGAGAATAAAAGAACTCTATTTTTCTCTCTTTCTGCGGCTCGTGATTAAACTAATTACGCTGTTAATTATTATTATTATCATCTGAGATATTACAGTGATTATGTAATACAGACAGATTTGTGTCTGTATAACGAAAAAATTAGTTTGTGGTAACATTTTGCGCACACGAGAATGAGGAGTCTAAGTGATTGATAATGTACAAACGGAGCTACATGACCGGCTTAATCTATACCTGAAAGTGAGCCCACCTGTATATAATATAGTGCCTGAATTGGTGTGCGGCTGGCTGTGTGGGCCAAACAGTTTCGCACAGCGTGTGTTCAACATTCCTATATAGTATTAGTAACACAATCCTATACAGCTATGTATAATGGGAAAAGAAACGGAGCTATATTATTATTATACACGTCGTAAAGATTGTTCTTTTGAAAGTTGTGGCGAGAGTGTGTCTAGAGCTCTTCGAAAGGGTCGACCTTTCTTCTCTGATACTGCTGTTTGAATTCTGGAGACAGGAGTTCCAGGTCTTGGGAGTCCCTCAGTACTCCCTGTGGTGGGGCCGGTGGGTGAGGGGACTTGACTATGATTGTATATACTCTCTAATCCGGACACCGGCAATGGGACAGAAGAAAGTTTACAACAACATGCATTAGTTAGGTTATTTTAGGATGCAAGACATTGCTGAAAGGTGTCCTTATTAAAGAGGTGTCCTTAGAGAGGAGAGAGAGATGGATAGAGAGATAGAGAGAGCAGAGAATAGAGAGAAGAGAGATGAGAGTAGAGAGAGAGAGGTTCTGCTATACACTAGAAGAATAATGATGGCCCTTTATTCCGAGTGTGACGGATATATAACCATGTGTATGTATTATTGTCAACACTTGGGACACCAGGACAACACAGAGCTGTATTTACTCCTCTCAAGGCAAGGCATTAGGCAGGGATATATGGTACCCACCTTAGGAAGGTACCCCAACAGCTTGTTGGCATGTTCCCTGAGCAGCCTCTGTCTCTCCTGCTCTATGATGACCCGTCTCTCCCTCATGGCGGCCTCCTCTGCCTTCCTCTCCTCCAACTCTTCCTCCTTCTCCCTCTGGAACTGCAGTCTGCGCTCCTCTATCAACTTCTCCACTGCCCTACGGTGCTCTGATCAGGGATGGAGGGTGATATATAGTTCACTTATAGGATTCTATTTAGCAGTGATAGTTGATTTTTACTTACAAAACCAGATTCGGTCTTTAAATGTACACTTAGGTCTGTACTATAATATATAGGCATTTTTCTAGCAAATGGTGACTTGAGAGTAATAGTGATTTATTATCCCAAAGTTGCCCCTATTATGCACACGTGTAGGTGCATCTTGACTCAAGTGGAAAGTCATATGTTCCTAGTTGTCACATAAAGTAAATCACCTAATTGTTTCATGCGTCTCTTCTGGGCGTTCATCTGTTCAATTCGGTCGTCCTCGGCAAACTTGGCCATCATCATTCTCCTGAACTCCTCCTCCTCCTGCCTCTCTGCCACCCTCTTCTGTTCCTTCAACTCCAGGTAGTCCTTGTGGGCCGACTGGAGCTCCAGACGACGCCGTAACTGGGCCTCTATGGCCATCTGGTGACACACACCACACACACACACACACACACACAGAGATATCAAATTCACTCACTCACACACGCACGCATGCACACACACACGCACGCACACACACAGATGTGTTTTACTAGCTGGGGATCCATTTCTATCTTCATGACAATGTGACGTATTGTGAACCAAGACTTACCCTCTCTTTCTGTCTCTCCAACTCCTCTTGCTCTTCGAGGTAGAGCTCCGTTCGAATCCTACACACAACATAGCGTATAACAACTCACACATGTAGCCGAAGCTATGTAGCAATACGTGAAGAAATAAGAACCTAATGGAAGGCCCCAATTTCTGTCCACAAACATTACTTTGTTCATTTAGGGGAACACAAATAGTTTTTGGATATTATGTGATGGGGCATGGGAAAAGACCTATAAGGCTGGAATGTGAAAATTAAGGTTTTGTGGTTTTTCACCCTCAAAAACTTAATTTTCACATTCCAGCCATACAGGTCCCTTTTCCCATGCCCCCTCACATATATAGACCAAGGTTGAGTGTTACGGGGAGCTCTGACCAAGAGGGCTGCTCTGAGTTTAAGCTCACCTGTCCATCTCTTCAGCCTCAGACCTCTTTTGAGTGATCTCCTCTGCCAACTAGAGACGGGGAAATAAGTATTGCTACACCATCAGAACTCCCAACTGGACAGCGTTTTATACACATGCACTGGTGTGTGGTAGCGTGAAAGACGTAAGTAGTGTTGAAATGTTTGCAGCAAATCTCAAACCGCCAGATTTCCTATCACTGACTAAAACACACTTACAAAAGGATAAAGGCCTATGGGCCTACAGTATATTGAACAACCGCAGTGTATATAATAATGTACAAACTGTAATGGCTGCAGTCGAAGAAGGTACAAAACCTAACCTTCCGTTGAACGGCAGCCATGGCCTGTTCCTGTTTCTTGGCCTCCTCCATGCGAACCTCCTCTCGCACCTGCTGCTGATGACTGAACTCCAGAATACGTCGGTTCTCCTCCTCCATCAGCTCTCGCTCGTGCTCCTTCCACTGCACGGGAGGACACGGGGGGATGTGTGGTACAGGCTTTGACTGTTGAGTGCATCAGCCTTAGTGAACCACATCGCAGTACAAATACTTCCCCTTTCTCTTTGTTTTCTTCTTCTGACTTTCCTATTCAAGTAAACCATTGATTCTGATTGCACTATACAATCACGTTGAACTTGGTTGCCAGTGAACAGCATAATGCAGTCACGTTAACTTGTCAATCAACTCGAAAAGTGGTTAAACGGTAGGCAATGAATGGCATGCTGCTTTGCGATAAGTTGATAAGTGAAGCAAACGTCGTTTTACCTCCTCTCTCTTTTGCATGAACTCATCGATAAACTTCCTGGTAGCCTTCTGCTTTTCCAACCTTGCCTCCAGTTCTCTAGAGATGGTGGGCATTGAATAGGGTATGCAGAAACACAAGGACAAGGTTTGACTTATTACCGCTGGTCTTCTTCGTAAATCTTGCGAACGATTTCGTCAATCATCAGTTTTTCCTTGAGGAATTCTTTGTACTCTGCCTGACGTTTCATCTCCTGTGGACCAGAGAAACGAGTAATGCTCCACCTCTCAACCCTACTGCATAAAAACAACTATAACCAACTCGGCGAGCACACACGAATTGTTCAATTTGCCACACGTGTATTTGGAATCACGTAAAGCATTAAGGTATGTGCAGTGTCAATGCCCATTACATACAAATACCACAATAAGACTACATGTAGGTCGATAATATACAAGACACAAAATCTCATTTCTTACTAAATCATGCTCTCACTAATATACATACCTGTTCTTCGAGTTGTTTTTCCAGCATCTCCTGGTACTGGATTGACTGCTGGGCTTTATCCACATCCTTCATCCTCTCCAACTCTGTCGCTTTCTCGTACTCCTTCTTCATTACCTCCGCCATCTCCCTCTCATACACCTGTGTGTATTATATACAAGTATCTCTTTACCCCATGGCCCCTTTTCCACTAGACCTCTGAAAGATGACCGTGAAATTGTTCAGTTTATGTGACTGTAGAAGCACAATAATTACACCCATTAAATTTGGCGAGTTTGTGCAATCGTAAAGTTTTTGAAATCACATTTAGAAGCAAGTTTCAACTACTTTGATAAGCTGATGCCTTCAATTCAATGACCTATCGTTAGCTTCCCAAAGTCACCAACGGTCTACTTTTTGGAGTTACCTCGTCTTTTGTCTTAAGGACGTTCTTTTCAGCAATCTGAGCGGCCCTCTCTTTGTTCATGTAGCCAGCCTTTAGCCTAGCTTCCAGCTCTCTTAGTTCAAGACTGGAACAAAACACGGAAAGAGAAGAAATGATGGCGAAAGTGGGTAAACGTATGTATATACATACACGTAGCGTCCGTAATTGCTTGTGAATTTCATGTATTAGGTACTAGCTATATGGCATGCTCTCATAGAAAACGCACGGAATCAATAAGTGGAGCAACGTCCAAATTTTGTCCGGAAACAAAATCGGCCACTTTGCTGTGGGCGTGAAATATTACCTGTTTTCCTTGATTTGCTGTCTCATTCTCTCGTCTTTCTGCTGCTCCCATTTCAGCCGTTTCATCTCCTGCAAACAACCACACACTCACTCCAGTCGCACTTCTTGACTAAAACTCCAGCTAAGCCACGTGCACATACATTGGCCAGCTTTTCCTCTTGTTCCGCCTGCTTCTGTTTCAAGACTCGCTGTCTCTCTGATTCCAGTATCCTCTCCTCCATCTCCATCTCCATCTTCTCCTGCTGCAGTCGCCGCACGAACCGCTTGTTCTCCACGCGCTCGTCGGCCGCCACGTTGGTGCGCATCAGCTTCTCACGCGCCACCAGTCGCTTGTTGTCCTCTCGCTCGTACTCTCTTCGGCGATTCTCGGCCCGAACCCTCTCTTCCTGCGCCCTCGTCATGCCTCCACGGATCATCTTCGACTCCCAAACTCGATCCAAAGGTCGCGCGTGATAAGCAGTTGCCATGGTGATTCAACACGGCGCATGCGTATTATTATGCACTTTGACCTCTAAATTAGCCGGTTTTAGCGCGCGCCGCATAAATTAACCCACATGTAACGACATGACACACACAGTTTCTGTGTGAAAGCGAGTGTTAAAGAGATGAAATTATCGAGAAAGACGGTCTAAAGCCGTGAAGCCGTCGTGATACGCGTGTGTGTAGAAGACAGAAGAGAAAGGAGGAGTCTAGTTAACCCGTTGGCGAAGTTAGAGACCCAGAGGACCGCTCATGCAAGGCGTGGAGAGGCAGTTGAACTTACTCCATCTCAATCCTGTGGCCCCAGCCGCGGCGCCCCCTCAGCCTCCTGGAGCGAAAATGGGAACCCCGCACAAGAACTCGGTTCCCGCGGGCGCACAAGAAGGAGAAGAGGTAGGAACAGAAGAGTAAGCTTACTTATGAAAACTAAACTCATAATAGTGATTTCGCCCTAGTTTATTATTCTGTTTGCTACCTCTTCTGTATAATTGGTGGCCCGTTTTGCTCTCCTTCAGATCAGCCTTTCGTTCTCTATACCGATGGTTACATTGACGCACATACATAATTATGTGAACGTAATGTGGATGTACATCTCTATTTAATGAGCACCATGTGTCATGGCACGTAATGCATACATTTGTAGGTGAGGACTCTATTTGTCAGCGGGTTGCCGATGGACGTCCGGTTACGTGAGCTCTATCTTCTCTTTCGTGGCTATGAGGTGAGTAAGACCCTACCAATCAAGGACCATGGTAAATATGCCTCATATTGCACGTATAAACTGGAATCTCTGACTAAAGAAGACATTGATACAAAGTCTAAAAAATGTTTTTAGTCCCTGTATTATAGTACGAGAACCCTGTGTATTGTAAGTGTCCAGTTATGTTAATACACGATTGGGTGTTTTATATGCAATACAGTACTTGTTGCATAGCTTGATTTGTGTGTGCGTGTTTGGTATAGTAAATATGGTGTCCATGTAGGGATATGAGGGGTCTTTTCTCAAGTTGATTAGCAGTAAACCTGGCAAGCCACCACAGGTTAGTTTTGTATTTAGTATTGCTGGCGATTGTTGCAGAGAGAGAGAGAGGGGGAGAGGAGAAGGGAGGGAGAGAAGGGAGAGGGGAAGAGGGGAGAGTTGGGGAAGGGAAAGAGAGGGGAGAGAGAGAAGGGGAGAAGGGAGGGAGAGGGGAAGAAGAGGGGAGAGTTGGGGAAAGGAAAGAGAGGGGAGGTGAGGGGGAAGGAGGGAGGAGGGGGGAGAGAGAAGTGAAAAAAGAGGGGAAGGCGGTAAACTTATTCATCTTTTCTTGCAGCCCATTGCCTTTGTCAGTTTCAAGATGAGATCTCAAGCTGAGCGTGCACTTGAAGATCTACAGGTTACTGTAACATGATAACATACATAACAGACCACACCCCCAACTACGATGTATGTGTACATGTACATACCATTCATTACATCGTTGTGACAGGCCGTGTATATGTACATGTGGCAACCTGTACTCCACTGATGTGGGAGAACATGCATCAAACGAGTCGTTTTAGCTTCGCTCAGGTGCACTGATAAACTGCAGCGCTGTAGCTAAACAACCGTGTTTTGTGTTTTCTCATTGCGGGCCACAGGTACTTATCCCCGTTTCGAAGTTTAGTTATTTTCTCAGCGAACCAGCTGTAGAAGAGATTTTTTTGGGTTGATTACAGGGTGTGAGGTTTGACCCTGCAAGCTCGCAGACCCTTCGCCTCGAGTTCGCCCGAACGAACAGCCGGGTGTCGCCACGGCAACCTCCCATGGCAACCGGTTCCCAAGGCAACAGCTCGACGACCCACCCCTCTCTCCCGTATCAGAAGAACACGTCCGACACAAGCTGTAAGAGTACGTCAGATCTGATTCCCCTATACATAGTACATAGTACACTTCATACGGAACAACTTGAAACACGTTTTGACAGTGAACACAATAATTATTGTGAAACACCTTCTAAGGATACTCCTGCAATGAATCTCTAATGAGGACGCCTTTTCTTTCCCCAAGAACAGTTCTTGCATGCAATTCAACCCCTGAAATAAGGACATCTCTCTAATATGGACACTTCCTTCTGTCCTGTTAGTGTCTCGATTAGAATTTGTATTGCATTCTCCAGCTATAGTTAATGTGCTTCTGGGTGGTTGGTTCGCCTGTCCTTCTATCTACTTTATTACTAAAAGTACGAAATGCTTTCTATAGTAATAATTATCATGTCGCTGAATTGCAAACATTTTCTCCTTGGAAGTATAATATATATATAGCAGTTCTAGAGTGTGGCTCTTAATCTTTACGGTTCAAGAGGCAAACTGACTGTATTCTCATGTTGATGTTCTATATTTCAGATGGCTCCTTCATACCCGTCCTGCCAACTAATCCTCCTCAGCAGCTGTCACCACATCTCTATGCGCCTACTGATACCTGGCCTCAGAGAATACCAATGTATGTGTAGACCGTAGCTTTAGCCCTCTTCTCATTTGCTACAGTTATAGTGAGTTAATAGTGAGTTAGAGAGAGTTGCAGGCTTCTTGCCTCTAGTTTGAGATCGCATGGCAGTTTTTGTGGGTCCACACAAATGCTCGATGCTCGTGACAATGTAGAGAATTTCGGAGCCGCGTCTATATTCCAACCTCTACGTTCCTCCTCTTGCAGGCAAGTGGCGTACCAGAGTCTCTCCCAGCTCTCCTCTCCCTCACCCACCCTCTCCCCCGCATCCTCCTTCCCACAACTCTCCGTTCTAAACATGATAGAGTCAGAGAACTCGGTGAACACCCGTCTCCATTTAATGCCCACCATCACCCCAATTAGTGCTCATCCACTCCAAATAATGCCAGCCTACTCTAATTGCTGCCCACCTATTCTAAATGATGCCTACCTCGTTCTAATTAATGCCATCCATTTCTAATTAATGCACACCTTTATAGTACAGGGCCTGTAACGTTATAATCCTGTGCCTTTTTGCAGCACTGTCAGCCACAAGGATATGATGCAATCTTCCCCGTTGTATGTTTCCCTTTAGTTTCATGTCCATCTGTATGCCTCTGAATTCGGGACATAATCAGGACACCTTCCTGTGAATTTGGGACACCTCACTCAATGATCTTTGCTGTGAAATCGGGACATTTTACTCGCCGTGGTTTAGTCGTTGGAGCGGCCAGTAGATTTATTTGTACTTATAGCAATGGAGGCCGCTCCTCTGTATGTTATGTTGTGTGTTATTCTCTTCCCGTAGTATCCTGTGCAGAGCCCGATGTATTACACTCTAGTGGTGCGTAGTATGTACATATGTACGTTGGTATGGGGTTAAAGTTTCCACGGAATGTACAAATTTTGCAAAACCTCACCAAAACTGGGGTTCGCATGAAAAAAGAAAGAAAACAGTTGCATGTCAGCGACCCATGTGCATTGTAAAATTTTTTAAAATTTACATCTCCCATACAAAATCTACACCACCTTATGTACGGTGCTAGTGTGATTGGATGGGATAGCGTATGGCTAGCAAGCCTATATCTCTTCCCTCTCCCCCTCTCTCCTATCTCTCCTCAGCCATCTCCAAGCCCAACACCCACGCCAGTGTCAGCATCTCACCAGCACCACTATCACACTCAGCACCAACCGTCCCCCTCCCTCCCTCCCTCCTCTCTCTCCTCCTCATCTTCCTCTCCCGTCTCTTGCTCCACTCTCTTCGTGGCTAATCTGGAACTCCACCACACCGAGGACGAAGTTGCCAATCTATTTGGGAAGTGAGTCACGTCATGTCATGTGTATCTGTGTATTTTGTATGGATATTTTGGGGTTTGTAAATATGGTGGTGGTTTTCATTTATTTCTCTATCTATCTATCTATATATCTCTCCCTATGGCTGGTATGCTATGCACTATAATTTCACACACAGAGAACACCTTTCATACCGAAACCTCATTTTGGGACATTGAGGTGCCTCAAAACATCTCAATATGGGACACCTTGGAGTGTCCTAAATGCCCCTTAATAACACACTATGTTTACAAAGAGGTGATCTTTATGGGGAGGTTCCACTATTACATTGTCCTCTATGGAGAGTTGTAGTCCAACTTCAAACAACCCGGTGCTAGGAATATACGCTGTATTCTGAGCTGTGGGGGCTGACCAATATCAGTCCGGTATAGTCAACGGCCTCGGAATATATCCTGTACCACCTCGCCGCCTATATGTTAACTAATATGTGCCTTCATAATTATTGATGTCGTAAAATAAACCGCGTCCTTTCTACGTACAGTTGTGCTGGATTTGTGAGGGCTAAACTGTTCACTAGAGGTGGACCTCCTGTGGCATTTGTGGAATTCAAGGTATGTATAATTATATTACAATGTGACTCATCTACCAAAACTTGAGGGAGAATTTTTTTAACCTTCAACTAAATTTTTGTGGGTTGGCACATTTGAATTGCGAGACTCGAAGCAAAGTTCTTCCCTCAAAATGTTTTCTTAGATAAACTTGTCTGACGTCTCTAGCTCATTTATGTGTACAGGTATGTATATATTATAGTTGTGAATTTCATAATATTTCTGGTGCTCTGCAGAACGTTGAGTGTGCCTCAAGTGCCATGGAAAAGATTCAAGGGTGAGTTGATTCGACCAATCAGATTCCAGCCTCGCAAATGCCGGCGGCAATCCCTTGATGCAGGTACATTCTGCCCAACTCGAAGAGAGTGAACGGTCTCAGAATTGAATATGCCAGACAGAAAATGGGAGAGGTAGGGCTAAGACTGTGTGTTAGTCTTTTTTATAAGATTTCCGAAAACCTTTCTACAAAAAAAACACTAATAGCATGAGCACTAACATTTCAATCTTTCTTACTTGTTTCTCTCCATTACTATAATATAGTGGATCCCCCCTCACCCCTCTCTATCTCTCTCTGTCTATCTGCCCAGCAGTTCAGAAGTCCCACCACGGCCGAAGCTGTCTCCGTAGCAACGGTATCTGCCATTACATCGTCCCCCTCGGCATCACCTCCCATTCAGAACATCTATTCCAGCCAACACTACCAACAACAACGTCAAATGGCGCTATCAAACGGTGGACACATATCATCAAATTCGTCCTCCTGTTCTTCGAGTACTTCAGAACTACAACATCATCATCAGAATCAGCAGCAAGTTGCGCAGCCGGCTCCGCAGGTCTGGGCACTGCATAGCGGGTCCCCCGTCCCCATGCCATACCATCACGGGAATGGGTACGGGACCCAGCCACAGATGCTCACAGTAAACGGATATCCAAATCAGTACATCAGCCCGTGGCCTTTGAAGTATAACTGAGCGCTTCAATAGCAACCAGGCAAACAAGAAAGAGAGCGAAACTAGAGGGAGGGGAGGAAAATATTTGGTAAAACGTAGCTTGTTAATCTATTTATTTGCGCACTGTTTCCGTTTCATTCAGAGCATACTCCTTATAATCATTAACACAAGTCATTCGTTGTTTTAGTATAATTTACCCCCCCAGGTGTTGTAAAGAACTGTTTTTAGATTTTAATTAACTACTGGTATATAATTATTATTTGTGTCAAAATTGCAATGCACTTCTCATCATCTTCATACAAAGCATGCATCAGTTGTTTAAAATTAATATACAATTGTAAAATACAATTTTCAAAAATAATTATTATAACATCCACTCTTGAAAACTATACGTTAACTAGCATGTAATACACAGAGCAAGAAAAAAAAATACCGACAGCCCATCAATTCGGCAACAAAATTTAAGGACAGATGTTTATATAGTCTGTTGTGTGTGTGGAGACAGTCTGAAATTATTTTGAAGACGTAACGTTTTTCGGCGGTTTTTATCTCATCTGCGTGAGGCATTTGTTGAGCATTTCGAGTATTTGTGCAAAAGTTGGGCGTTCCTCGGCTTCGTACTGCCAACACTGGGTCATTATGGCGTGGACGTCGCTGGGGCAGTCTGCAGGCGGGCCCATTCTGTACCCGACCTCAACCTGATGATGGTTACGAGAAGAAGAGTATAATATAGACTTGAAGTTACACTTCTGAAAAGGACCCTCTGAATAAAGGACACCTCTCCATAAGGGACACTTGGTTCTGCCCCACACTAATACATTAGTGTATTATACTACCTCATAATAAAGGACATCTCTGAATTAAATGTCCCAAAGATGTCCCTTATGAAGAGAATAATTATGAGAATTGATTATCACTCTCCTCCCACTCTCCCTCACTCTCCCTCTCTCTTCCCAATCTCCCAACTCTCTCTCTTCCCAATCTCCCAACACCTCTCCTCTCTCATCTAACCTGATTGCGAGCCTCCTGGTTGTTCATCCCAGGATAAGGAGCAGATCCACATGAGAACACCTCCCACAGTAATATACCATAACTCCACACGTCACTGGCCGACGTGTATTTACCAAAATTCAACCCCTAAAGAACAGAAATAACAATATGTGACATTACCTCAAAAATATTTTAAAGTGACAGGTTTTTACTATAAACGTGCTTTGCAAGTTGTACAGGTTTTGCTCAAAGAGATTATTTCGACAATTTTTAAAAGTAAAAGTATGCGTTTAGCTATGCTATTATAAGCCCATAATCACAACAGTATAGATCTATGTAGTGTTCAACTATACTATCACCAATAATTTCAAGTGGTTCAATCACTGGTGATTACCTCGGGGGCAGTCCATTTGATGGGGATGTTGCGAGTGCCGGACTGGACGATGTATATCCCGCCCTCGTCCTCCCGGCTCATCCCAAAGTCAGCAATCTTCACCTCGTCACCCTCACCTACCAGACAGTTCCTCGCCGCCAGGTCTCTGGGGGAATAGTACATTGTATACATGTTGTATACAAAAAATCGCCAAACGATACTGTTTTGCTGTGCAATAATTGTGTTATAATTTTTGCGGACACCACGTATTTTTCACACCCATCCAACAATAAATTTTCCCCCTCTAAGTATGTGTATACTTAATACAGCCGTTTGTGAGGTAAAAAGATTGGCATAACTTGTACATCAACTGCGTTGTGTTTTCATTGAGCTCTGGGGGCCATGTAAGGAGGAACTCCGCCCCCCTCTATTTTAACCCCTCCCTACCTCACCTATGAATACAGTTATTCTTCTCTCCTTAACCCCTCCCTGCCTCACCTAGTTATTCTTCTCTTTTAACCCCTCCCTACCTCACCTATGAATACAGTTATTCTGCTCCAGATAGTCCATCCCTTTGCAGGCCTCGATGGCCATAGTACACAGCTTCCTCTGTCCCTGCTGACTCCCCTTCTTCCTCAAGAACTCGAGGAGTGCTCCGCCAGGCATCAGCTCCATGACGATATACACCGGGTCTTTCTCTGCGCACACACCGATGAGTCGAACGATATTGGGATGGACGTACTGTTGCAAGATTTCGGCCTCTTGCAAGAACTTGTCCTTGTCGGTGAGTTCGTTTGAACGACAGGTTTTGACCGCGACTCTCTCACCGGTTTTGAGGGTCGCCTCGAAAACCTCGCCAAACGCACCCTTCCCAATTTTCTTCCCGACTTGCACGTCGCTATGACGAAGGGACCACTTGTCGCTCTTGACGACAGGGGCGACGAGGATTGCCCCCGACTGCTTGGTTACGGGGATTCTTTTCTCCACATGTTCCTTGAGGAGATCGACGATCCGTGGAAACGACTTCGACTCGAACCGGTACTTCGTTCCATCCTCCTGGAACGGAATGGGGACGGCATCAACCCAATAACATTCTTGAGTGTAAGTACATTATATACAGTACAAGTATGATCAGATCATGCACAAGCAGCTTTTAAAAAAAAAAGTACAGACAACTGAAAAAATTGGCCAAATTTCTTACTTAGATCATATTCGCTAAACTCACCGCATTGATCGTCTGTATCATGAAGTGCTTCGGTGTCCCGCTGTTGTTACACGTGAGAACGTACTTGGTGGCTCGGGCACTGTACCGCACCAAGTAGTCGCCTGGCTGCTTACATTTGTTCTCTGATAGTCTGGGGGGAAATATACAGTTACGTATGTATGATCCAGTGAACCCCCAGTCATGAGCGCATGTGGAACGCAGAAAGAAAATAGCGTGTAAGGCTGGGTTCACAATGTGCCACTTTGCTGCCCCGTCGTGAAGTGCCGCTTTGCCGCATCGAGCGGATAGAAATGTATCATCCAGTGAACCCTCAGTCAAGAGTGCATGTGGAACGCGGAATGTGTCACGTTTCGCAAACTTTCACGTGCATACTAATTGGCCTGTTGTTCCGTCCGTCCCCGACACACACCCTCTCCTCCATGTTGTATCATGCACTCTTGACCCATTCCAGGGAACCATCACACATATTCAACCGCCCCCCCCTTTCTTTCCATTCTATGTTCTCTCTCTCTTTCTGCCCCCCCCCTCCTCTCTCTCTATTTCTAACTAACTTTCTGTCGATGTCTCCATAGTACCACGGCTCATCTTCAACTGGTACATCAGGTGGCTATAGGAACAGAAAAGAGAAGAGAGAACTAAACTTGACGATGTTTTTTGTACACACATATCTCTAAATAAAGGACACCTCTCTATAAACCACACTTGCATTATACATTATTGTACTACACCTCCAAATAAGGGACACCGGACGCTTCAACCTCCAACAGGTATCCCATATTCAGAGGTTTCGGGACACTCCATAACTCTAATTAGTGCCCACCAGGTTCTAATTAGTGCCCAGATTTTTCTCTCTAATTGGTGCCCACCAGGTTCAGGGCCTGAAAAAGGACACTTTCAATGTCCCCTGGCTGTCCCATAAGTTTCACTGGGACGTTGGCAAAACTCGGCCTATCAGAACGCTGAAGTAAACGTATACCTATACCTCGTCATACAGAGATTCCGTCTCATCATCACTTTCATTCTCAGCAGGCGCAACCTCGACGGACGCTCTGTCGAAATCGACCTTTGGGTAGCCAATGGAAATGGAGTCGGGATCTTTCTTGCCTCCTTTTTTTAGTTTCTTCCCCAGCCCCCTGATCCCCTTCACCCCTCGGAACAAGGTAGCCTGCATCTGGAGAAGATGAGCGAGGTGGTGCGTGCGTGCGTGCGTGCGTGTGTGTGTGGGGGGGGAGTAGGTAGATCATCAGAGAGGTATAACTAAAGTTGACTTGCAGGAGGGGCTTGGGGATGGGATTTAGCATTTCAGTTACTTCGAACGTCTGTTGTGTCAGTTTGTACATATAATTATAGAGTGGTGTGATTAGTTCCCTACTTTAGGGTTTTCTACGTTTGGGTGCCAGAGAGGGTAAGGTGTATGACAGTTTCGCTAGTTAAAGAGGGTGAAAGAGAGAAGTGGGGGAAGAGGAAGACAGAGGAGAGCTTACTTTCCCGCCCACTGACTTGCTGCCACCACCCCCAGTCGCTCCCCCAGCCTGCATCGATGTCTCCAGGTCCCTCACGTCTACCCCCTCCCCCAGGGGGTCGAATATTGGCGGGGGGCTGTCCCCCTGAGCATCTGCTACCCGGCGAATCACTTGGGCCTGGCCCTGAGAGGGAAACAGAGATTTCTGTAATAAACAGTGGGAGATTTTCAAGGGAAAAAAACTTTGGCGATTCAAGAAATTTGTGGAGAAAACTGTTACCGATAAAAGTAATAAGGGCCCTCCGAGATAGGGACAACCCCTCTAGAAATGACACTTCTTTCAATCCCATGCTAATACTTAAGCATTTGACCTCCGAGATAGGGACGACCTCTCTACAAGGGACAAAATCGTTGGTCCCATGTTCGGAGGTTCCACGCACGATACGTAAGGTTAAAGGTCAGTTGGGAGAAAGAGGAAAAAACACTGAATTAGAAAAAAAAAATCATCTCTTGCAAGATTCGACTTACTGCCTTCCTTGCCACGAAGGAGTTCAATTCCTTCACCTCTCCTTGGAGCTGGGTCATCTTTACATGCTTAGGGAGCCTGCGAAATTACAAACATACTGAAAGTAATGCAAGGCATTTTTGACAAGCGAACGCAAGTATTACAATTGTCGCGTGCTTTTTTAGAATCACGTAAAGTATTGTGTGTACGAACAGTGCCCGTAAAATATAGAAAAATCTGCATGGAGTCGATCAGGGAGGCTCGGTTTGCTCGCGAACTGGAACCAATGCACCACATTTCTGGCGAGTGACTGCAAGAGTTATATGTGAGGGGGCAATGAGAAAAGGGACCTATATGGCTGGAATGTGAAAATAAAGTTTTTATAGGTCCCTCTTCCCATGCCCCCTCACATATAATTATACAACGGGTGCAGAACACATTTCAACAATATTATGAATTCTGGGAATTCTGTCTATCTATTTAGAGCTAGGTGATGATGTTGATGGTGTAATGAATTATTGAGTGGTGGGTGTGGTATGTGGGCGGGGCTAGACTGGAGTCTCCAGGAAGTCTGAAGGAGTTTCTGAGCATGCTCAGAGTCGACGAGACCAGGTACGGACCCCCAGACTTCTGTTGTAGTACTCACGATGTAGGTACAAGTGCGACAGAGAAGGTAACAAACGTACTGGACGGTGCCGCCAGGAGACATGGGCAGGTCGGTTGGCTCCGGCTCACTCATGATTCTCTGCAACTCCGCTTCCTGTGGGCACAATATCATAATATACTACATACGTAACAATAGACCATGTGATGCCAAGAGAAAAAAAGATGCGGATCTCTGGACATGAAAGAGCTTGCACAAATGTACATACATGTTGCCCCCATCGTACACCAGTGCATTTGTCGATAGTCCCACATGAGTAAGCCCCTACCAAGTCCCTATCTTATGTCTGAACTGAATGCACTGTGTTCTCCAGGGCAACCAGCTAAGCTACCAGGGCAGCTCAAAAGTAATAAAAAGGCAAAATATTCTGTATGTGTGGCACAGAACATGAGCAGAGACGAGTAGACCCCTGATCTAATACATACCACTTGTGATTTTTTAAAGGTAGAATTTGAAAGGTTACCAACAGTGACGGGGGAAAAGGTTTTCGCAAATGGCAAATTTATTCAACAATTTTGCGCAAGTCACTCCACACAAGCCACTAGTGTCACTTCCTGAGTTGGAAGCTTTGCGGTTATTAATTTGCAAAATGACGCTCTTTTCCATTTGCGATTTGTACTTTTGCACCTTACAGCAATTTGTGCCTTGCGAAATGTGGTCTATACTTTTCAATTTGTTGATCAGAGAGTTCTTCGAATTTAGGTTTGCAAAGTGCACTTTTAAATTTGCCAAATCTTTGGGATGAGGTAACCGAGGTAACCGCGAAGTCAAAACAACTTGCTGTAAGATGCAAAAGTACGAATCGCAAATGGAAAAGAGCGTCATTTTGCAAATTAATAACCGCAAAGCTTCCAACTCAGAAAGTGACACTAGTGGCTTGTGTGGAGTGACTCGCGCAAAATTGTTGAATAGATTTGTGATTTGCGAAAAATGCTTCCAGCCCACTGTCGTCACCTTTTCAGCGATGTCTTTCTCATGTTGCTGCAGTTCTCTCTCCAAAACCTCCAGTCTGCATGAGACACACGAAATTTAGAGATGAAGAGAGAGGGAAGGAAGGGAAGGGAGGGAGAGAGTAGCATTACTATTGAAGGGAATGCGACACTATGAGAACTATGAAACGGAAATTGAATGTGTATTCTTGCACGGGGGGGGGGCCAGATGGCCATCTTTATTAATTTTAGCCCTTTAACAAAAAAAATTACAAAAATCACTGTTTTACACGTTTCTTGAGAATTTTTTCTCAGGAAAAACTTGTGAAAATATCGCTCACTTTGTCTTGACGGTGGAATTGGTGAGGTTGTTCAGGACCACTGCTCCCGGGGCGGCCTGCGGTGAGCAGTACTGACTGGAGAGAGGACTGTGGAACGAAAACACGTCTACTCCCGGTTGCTCCCTGGACGAGGGGGGGAGAGAGAAAGGTTTGGAAGTCACATAATAGTTATAAAAAGCGACTCCTGACAAATCTACATACACGCATTAGATGCTTGAAGGCCTTTGCGCGATAGCGTTCTGAGCGCAGCAAGAAAGCTACGTGAAGGGCCCGAGGGCTTCTAACAATCATCAACGGACGAGACACCTACATGTAACTTATTTAGTACGTACTCCAATTAAAGCACACTTGTTTTTACACGTGTGCGGGTTGTGCAGGGAAACGGCGCCGCAGGAGCTTGGTAAACTCAATGCGAGTTATTCGAGACTTTAGTAAACACGTTTCCACGCGTCGTGAGTTACCGGTTACCGACTCACTGCTGGTGTTCTTGGATGAACTTCACGTATTCCTCTTCCTTGTCGACCATGTTGAGAGTCTCGTAGAATTGGGCGAATGAGTCCTGGTAGGTCTGCGTGAGGTCAGTGGCCTGCGCATACTGCGACAGAGCCTCTTTCCTATCACAGCAACGAGAATAGCATAACTAGAAAAATCATCACTTTCCATTTCAACTCCCTATCCTGTGCATACTGCAACAGCAGCGCCACTTTCCTTATCACGGCAACGAAAAAACATCTTTTGCTAAACTGGAAAAATCCTCACTTTCAATTTTAACCTCCCCCTCCCTCTGAATGGCTGTAAAAACGAATACACTTCCATAAGAAGGGGCAGCTGCTTCCCTCTTACGTAGCTAGGGTTAAACTGGCTAGGGTTAAACTGGCTAGGGTTAAACTCGCTAGGGTTAAACTAGCTAGGGTTAAACTCGCTAGGGTTAAACTAGCTAGGGTTAAACTAGCTAGGGTTAAACTAGCTAGGGTTAAACTCGCTAGGGTTAAACTGGCTAAGGTTAAACTAGCTAGGGTTAAACTAGCTAGGGTTAAACTGGCTAAGGTTAAACTAGCTAGGGTTAAACTGGCGTGGGCAATAGTACTAGTGGGCGGTTGTGTACCTAATAGCTGTGTACTTCACTTTCAACATTATGATAGCTAAAATCTTCTGTCATGCACTCTCAGTTGGGTATAATACAGTAGTAGGACATTCCTGAATTGAGGACACCCCTGTAATAAGGACAACACTCTTTCCCTTCTTCGTATCTCTAGAGAGAGTGTTTCCCTCCAAATTCCTGTAGGACCTAATCCCCCCACTGCCAACCCACCATTCAGTGATCTGCAGTTCCATGCGGTTCTGCAGGGTGTCCAGACAGAACGGAAGCAGCGACCCTCGCCAGTGCTCCTGGTGCGCGTTGGCGTTGAGCAGCGAGAGACGTAGTTATTGTGACAGTTGTGGAGCTGGTTTGCCTGACCAACAAACTTTCGCCGGTACCTGAAATAAAGAAAACATAGAATACATCTACCGCAAAACAGAGAAATTACAGAGGAGGATAGCCCTGAAATGAGGACACCTTTCTTTCAACAGTTCTTGAACACAAATTAATCCCGAAATAAGGACACCTCTCTTATATAACAAGGACACCTTTTCTTTTCCCCAAAAACAGCTCTTGAATTCTCCTTACTCCTCCCCCAGGACAGTTCTTGCGTGCAATGAAATAAGGACACCATTCTTCCGCCCCATTGTGCTAAACTGACTAAAAAAACCCGGGATATTTGTGGGTCATTCCCATTGCACATTATGTGATAAACTATAATACAGTACAATATAGTTGGTGATTCAAAGTGTATGTATATGCCAACCCACAGCATCTGATTGACTGCCAAATTTTCCAGTGATCCGATGTAACTCGGCGTGTAATTAAGCTTATACGGTGACCACCCTCTCCCTCCCTCCCTCCCTCTCCTCTCCCTCCCTCCCTCTTCTCCCTCTCCCTCTCCCTCCCTCCCTCTTCTCCCTCTTCTCCCTCTCTCCCTCCCTCAAACGAAACAAAAAACTTACTTCTCCTCTGCCTTCGGGTCTGAAGCACCTTCCAACTTCTTCTTCTGCGTCCCTGTGGTTTTCAACAGACGCTCGTAGTCTCGCTTCAGGTCGTGGACAGATTTCGCTGACGTGTCGTACTCTTTCTCCATCCTTGCCCTGTCTGTGTCAAACACCTGCGAGAGGAAGGGGGAGAGGGGGAGTGGGCACCCATTGTACACAGTCACTCCTGATGATGGATTGCGCTGCACTTTCCAGCTATAGTCAAGGCATTCGGGATAGTTGATCAGTCAGTCCTTCCCCCCACTTGCTCGCTAAAAGTACGAAAAGTTTAGGCCACCTATTTTCCACAGTCATTCCTGAGGATTATTGCACTGCACTCACATCTCCAGCTATAGTCAAGGCATTCATGTATTTGCCTGTCCTTTCTATACATATTCACTAAAAAAGTACGAAAAATTAGGCCACCCAAAAGTACGAAATTTTTGGACCACTAAAATTTTCAGAAGGTTGATTGTGCCTGAACACTCCACCTATAGTAGAGCCATTCAGAATGTTGTTTGCCTGTATATACTTTCCCTCACATATTCGCTAAAAGCACGAGACAGTGTAACTTTATGAGCTCCAAAATATCAATCATCTGACCTTCTTTGCTCCCTTCTTGTCTTTGTATAGCTGGTCTATCGCCGGGACGATGGCACCGCTCATCAACACCGCTCCGTCCAACATCATCTTCTGAACGCTCACGACACACTTCCAGGTACGATTTCCACGCCTGTTAACAATAATTGCAAATTTCGCACAGGGCGGTGATAATTAATGTAATTATTCTACTGAATGGTGGCCTTGTTGCAAACAAGTTTTCGAGAGAAAATGTTCGATCAATCAAAATTGGCATTATGCATACATACCAAGTTGGAAGATATTTCCGTCTGAAACATGTCTCAAAACTGGGGTAGCATTTAGTTAACTGCATGCTTTAGATTTTCAGTGGGATTTTCAGGGGCTAATTATGTGCTGGCGAATTGCCGCTTACTCCGTAAATTTGGTAAACAGTTTTAGGGTATGCGCTTATGAGAAATGTGTGTTAAACACATCCATTTGTGTGTTTCTCTTGCTGTCTGTCAGCCAACACAAAACCTGGCAATTCCAACACCCATAAACGAACAACCAACTAACTCCTCGTGCTGTCAAAAGTGCACAAACACAGACATTGATAGTGAAAATGGTTGAGCGCCACATAAACACACACACACACACAAGTATTAGCCCTGGAATGCTTCATTTGGATGTATGTATATGTTGCAGTGCCCAGACTGGACAGCGATCACCTTGTAAGGGCGAATGCTGTCCTGTCTGGGTACTGCAACAGATTTGTTGGATATCCCTAGGCAAATGACATGTATGAACCCTGCTTGCACATGTAGGCTGATAAAATTCCCCAGTACCTAGCTTCATACATGTCTGGTTGCCTAGGGATATCCATACATACAAGTAACTTGGAAAGTGTGGGAGGGAGGGAACAACTACACAGTAGTATATAGGTATGTGTGTATAATACAGGTGTTTAGATAGGGGCGAGACCAAACAAAACATCCACTGTACTCTCCATGTACATTTGGTGTTCAGTTTATGTAGATTTCATGTACAATCTGTTTGTTTTACATGCGATCAGATAAGAAACATGGAGCCTTGTGCATAGTCAGCTCTATTATTGACAGCACTTCTCTTTTTTTGCCTCCTGAAATCAGGAAATTTTTGAATCAGGGCATGTTTTTGTCATTACCAGGACAACTCCCAAATCAGGACGCCTTTCTCTTACAATATAGTGTATGCTGTAATGCAAAGCCTTGTGGCAGGGCTAATATGCCAGGAGGAGAAGAGTGTGGTATGCTCTACTAACGAGGGCTAACAAGCTGTCCCAGCTCTGCCTCTCTTTCTCTCCAGCATCAGATGCTGCACTTGAAACCAATTCCGAAAGCAAAATGCGCACAAAAGTGAGGTTTGGATTCCTGCAACATGACACTCTGTATTCCTATGATGCCCCAAAGTCTTCACATACATGTCTAGTCTGTCCCTTGTCAACACAACGCTTATGGAAAATTTATTTTTGACTAAAGCCTCGTTCACAATGTTGACGCTAGCCCTTGCATGCGCCACGCCAGTGCAGAGTTGTCTTTGATGCAGCTTGACGCAAGAATAGGCTAGCTTTCTATTCGAGTGCACCGTTGCAAGCTACCAAAAGCTATCGTTCTTCCAGGCTTACCACACAAGAGCTTGCAACCTTGCAACCTGGCTTTGGACACTAGAATATTTGAGGCCCTGAAGAAGTATAACTCTGCAGCAAATTAGTTCACCTCCTCCCTTGTACAAGCTCAGGTTACCTAATTATCTCCTGTGTTACATGGCCTGGACAAGGAATGCAGTCAAACTCAATGTGAAAGTGAATTACATAGGCTTACATTGTTACTCTAGCAGAAAAATAACCCCTTTCGCCCCCAACCGTCTCCAATTAACACATGCCAATCAACACGAGGGCGGTTACATGACTAAAGACATGTGAGGAGAAGACAATATGAATTACTTTCTACTGTTTTTGGAATCTGTCACTGCACCATTAAGTGCCTGGCACTAACAGCTCAGCAGTTGTGCTCAGCATAACAGGTTGTTTGACACCATAAAGGGAGAATCACAGTGTTCGCACTAAAACTATGTGTGCTATGCGTTGTATGCAAATAAACAACTAGCCACGAAAGTGTAAACACGTGCTCAGTTTGCTTCACACGGTCGCGTCTCCCTTCTACTACAACTCTACTTAGGGCCTGCAAAACATCGCAAAAATGCACTCGCCGAGAATGCGTAAAGATGCTGCTACGCATTATCCAGCTCAGCAAAACCAACACACAAACTAACCAAACTGGCAAGCTACCAAAACACACACACACAAGTTACCATAGCGTGTCTACTAACAAACTTGTTAGTAATTGAGGCCCACCAATTTACCCCCTACATTGACTAACGAAAAACCTTCAGAACAAAGATATCACCACACAAACAAATTGAAAGATTGTAGAAGCAACAAGCAACAAGAAGGGAAAAGCTTGTGAAAGAGCAAAGGGTATGGGACAGTGTTTTAGACGGTTACCTGCACTATTGCTGAAGACTGCGACACGGTAGAGAGCGTTTTGTTAGCTCTACTGTTGATCTTTGCCAGCTCCTGCGCGTACTCCCGGTCGGCCCTAGCCCTGAAAAAGACGTGCGCTCGAAAGCTCTCCAGAGCGTGGAGTTCTTCCTCGTGTCGCTTGTTTATGGCGTCGTGGGCCTCCTGTAGACACGTCCCAAACGCGAACCCGTCCTTTCCACCACTACTCGGAGGCAGCGGCGTGTGATGACGCGACGAGGAAGAAGACGGAGGAAGAGGAGGGCCGGGCGAAGCTGCGAGAGAGACGCGAGGTGGAGGGAGCTGCGGCTGCTGGAAGTGAGAAGGAGGTGGCGCGGGGCTGCGGGAGTGAGCGCCAGGCGGGGAAGGAGATGGGACAGGGGGAGACGACGGAGGTAGGGGAGCCGGGGCTCGCTGCTGCTCTCCTCCTGTTCCTCTAGAAGGTGCTTTCGGGAGAGAAGGGGAGCCGTGAGCGGCTCCGACGCCGGGAGGCGGCCAGACGGGGAGGTTGGCCCGTCGAGCGGCTCCTCCGCGAGGACCGGCTCGAGGCTTGGGAACCGGAGGAGGTCCGTCGTCCCCCGCTTCGTCAGGAGGGGCTGGCGCGGGAGGCCGGGAACCAGACATGCTCTGTCGAGACATTGGGTGGATCGATTTTCTCACACAACGGCTGAGGGTTTTCCTGAGGAGGACTATATGGATGACCTCTCTTTCTTTTGCTGGCGGCTGCAGGTCAGGCCAGAGGGGTCTAAGGGTTTTCCCCCTGTTAAATTCCTGCCCCCCAAATTTCGGGAACCTTGGCGGGGGGACTAATGCGTCCACTTTTGACACGTCACCAACGTTTGCGCGCGCCCCATCGAACCAGAAGAAGAGTCAATGCCTTGAAGTAAACCCTTGGATTGCTACCGATCAACGTCGCGTCTCTCTCTCTTTCTCTCTCTGATAAAGTACTCCGATCAGTTTACGAAGAGAATGAAAATGCGACGCGGTGGACGGCCGTCGTTGCTGAACCTGGCGCTCCTGGTCACGTGCTGGGTCGTGGGACAAAGCCGCGCCACGGAGATGGAGATTGAGCTCAAGGACAACGCCGTCCAGTGCTTCTACGAGCAGATCGAGAAAGGCCAGCGCTGTTTTTTAGAGTACCAGGTATGATACTCTAATTAAAGCGCACGTTGCCAGAAGGCTAGAATACACCGTTCGCTCTCTACGCCTTCCGTCTCTCCTTCCTTTCCTCTCTCCTTGCCCTCTCTCTCTACCTCTCTCCATCCCTCTTTTCCTCTTTCCTTCCTTCTCTTGTCTACGACTGTCAGGTCACAAGAGGTGGAAACTTCGACGTGGACGTAGCACTCTTTGGACCTGGCGATCGCGTCATATACCAGAAGCAACGAAAACAGTACGACTCTGTGGACTTTACCACGACAGAGTCCGGCGAACACTATTTCTGCTTCAGCAACGAGTTCTCCAGTTTCACGCACAAAGTCGTGTACTTTGATTTTGCCACGGGGAGCGAGCCTCCGATCACGGACGAGATCGGCAAAACCCACAAGGCCTTCACGCAGTTCGAAGTTTCCGTCATGAAAATTCACGAGGCGCTCACGCTCGTTCGAGACTACCAGACGCACCATCGCTTGCGGGAGTCCAAGGGAAGGGACACGGCGGAGTACTTGAACGAACGTGTCCAGTACTGGTCGCTGGGGGAATCGATTCTACTGGTTGTGGTTGGACTATGTCAGGTCTTCGTTCTGCGGCGTTTCTTTGCCAACAAGCGGAGTCAGATTTGAAACATCTGGCACTATTCCATATGCCCACTGTGTTTCAGTGGCCACCTGGTTTTGTATGCTATAGGGGATATTGATAGCCTCCATTTATCATTATTTTGATCAGCAGCGTACATATGATTATGATCATAACTGATGATGCAAGCGCTCTGAAATTGTTAAATCATGTGCTGACATAATATAGATCTAGAATTAGTGATATATGCAAGTCATGTTGCTCGGGAGAAATTCTGGCGTGTACAAGACGTCACTGCCAATGACAACATAGCCCTGCATGTATGTGGATAAATAATCTCTAAACCAAAGCCCTTCAATTATAATTATATAAAGAACATCTCAGTTTTACCTCTCCAAGTTTGAGTGTCGTGTTAGTGAAGACTATACCGTTGTTTGTAGGGATGGGGACACCAGGCTGTGTGTAGTCTAAGGAATTAAAAAGAATTGGATTGATATTAAATTTTAACTGGTGCAGTAAATAAACGAGCATCTGAGTGGTTTGCAAGCGTACTTAATTCTAGATGAACTGGTGGTGGTGGAAAATAGAGGACACCTCTCTATGTGGTTCCACACCTAACAATAATTACCTTAAAACAAAGGATCCCTCTGAATAAAGGACACTTTGATGTCCCCAAGGTGTCCCTTATTCAGAGGTTTCACTGTAGAGTGGATGGCTTACGTTCATTGACGTACTTCACGCCTTGAGGAATTAAAATATTGATGACGCTTTCCAGGCCTGTGGTCTGACAAAAACATGTCATTGTATATAAATATATGCAAGGTCAGATTGGCTGTCTTACATTTAGATTTCCAAAATTAGTCTTCACGGTGTGCAAGTCCGACACTCTATTGATTTAGTGGAAGAGAGATTGGCAGGCAGTGTTAGCTATGCAATCTATACCATACCTTCCACTGCTGACATTACCGCATAGGTGGTTATTTGTTTTGTTGAAATAAGGATCCACATCACCTTCTGCATCCTTGAAATCCGACATGCACGCACACCAGCCAGTATCATTAGACATCAGAATTAGATTTCTACTCACAAACTGTAGGACGAACGCCATTTCATCTCCGCCGCTGCTGTTGTTAGTCACATACACGGTGAGGTCGATCTTGGCATGCAGGGATGCATTCTGCGACGTGACGTTCAGGGTTGGGTATTGCAACCAGCCGCAATACCGAGCTTCACATCTCGATTGGGGAACTTCTTACACAGCTGGCCATAATAATAGTAATAATACGTAAAACACTTTACAGTGCATAACCCTCACAACTTTATTTTTCGATGTCTACGTCAGGCATTCGTCGGATTAACAAGTAAATAGAACACAGCTAGTTTATTCAATACCCTGCTATACATTAGGCAGAAAACAAGGGTCTTATGCTATATATTATAACTTTGTAGCTACTAATGTGTGGAGGGAGATTATGTTCACTGGTTTATAAAAGACAGCTGTGATTTAACCATATTATATCTCCCCACACTAGTTAGTAATGGCTGATGGTTACTTTAGCTGAGCAGTACTATAATATACAACTCACCATTTGAGCACACAGCACGTTACACCAAAACTTGTCTTTCGTAAGAACGGTGGAAGCTGCAAATACAGTCACCAGATGGTTAATTAATCAAGATTGAAGGGGTTTCCCCATTACATCTGTAGTGCTCAAGTTGTACGTCATTCGACCTGCCTTCCAGAATGCATACGAGGCTGACTCTGCGACGTATTTGCTGATGACGAGGTAGATCATCTTCGACCCGGGAAACTTTTCCTCTGATGGATCGGGAAGGGGAGGTGGCGTGAACGGGGGATTTGTGGGGTCCGATTGGATTAGAATTTCTCCCTGTAGGGGGTCCAGTGGTGGTTGATTGATTATCTCTTGCTTAAACCAGCGATCACTGTGCGTGGCTTCGAAAAGCCTTTGTTAGCAATTATTTGCACAACAAGAGTTCCATGCAACTAACAATAGCTCATGAATCTGTTACAAAAATGGATGCAACTCCCGTTGCATGACCGTCATGCCCTTTACATTAAAGCTAAACAAAGCGTTCCATCTCAGAATATAGTGTGTTGGTAGCCACTCTTACTTTGTGAGAAGAATCTTACTTTGTGATTGGTGACGACTCTGCCTTTTCTGGAGAAGTCGGCATCCGACACCAGACCATAGTCAATCTCTATTCCACTGAACACTATGGTAGCTGTACACAACAGTAATAATTATTAAACCTCTGGTTTCCTAACAGGTATATATAATATCAAAGATTTTAGTAAAATAGCTTTCAGACTGTGAAGTTGTGCAGTTGCTCTGAGCTGCATAATAACTATGTTTTTTACCAGGTATAATATATACAAATATATATATATGACCTTCAAAAATGACACTACTCACTACTTGAAGCTCTAACATACACTGAGCTAGCTTCATTGCCTTAACCCTTTGGACGCCATGGGTATCTGTTTAAAAAAGCAGAAAAATGATGTACAAAAGTACTATATAGCACCTAGTAACCCCCACATAAATTCTGATGGACTCATGGAGGCTCTGGACACATTTATGTGTCGTGGCTGGCTAAGTGTTAATTCTAATTACCAACTTGATGTACATGCGCCTGCGTTACTTTTCCTGTTGTTATACTGGTCTAGAAAACAGGAATATACGCCAAAGGCTGTGTAATGAACGGGGACAAACTCACTTGGAAGAGGGCCGAGGTACATGTTAGTGTATTCGTTGGTCCAGTTTGTTAGTTGTTGGCACGCCTGCAACGGTGTGGGACGATAAAGTTGTGCATGCGGCTCTGATTCTCGTTGTTTTCTTACCCCTTTATTTAGCGCATGTTTGAGGTGGTCGGCGAGTGCCGGGCCAAACAGATTGTAGACACAGCTAAGTGGGAAGAGTAATCATCCTGAGTACTGAAGGCCTACATACACAGTTTGGGAAGTATACTGATAAGCACGTCGGGTATATTCGTATTCATTCTAAAGCCATGGGATAATTAACACATACGATCATGTCACATGAGACAAGTCGAAACATCCATGTAAAAGACTCTTTAACCCACCGCCCCAGTTCTCTTTTCATGTAGAATACAATTGTCCATGCAACATGAAGTAGAAGTGTCGTCAATTGCATTAACATGGACCCGTCCTACCCATACACTGAAGTAGCACGAAACACTTTGTTTTCCCATGTGTATGTTGGTCTTAAGGCTACCTTACCTACCTTGCCCCTCCCTTGAACATCAGATCGATTTTGTCAATGGAGAACGAGCAGCTAGTGACGTTGGCAGCAAAGCCGCCATCTTTAGGGTCAGTTCTATTGACCAAGAGGTCTGTGCTAATTGTGAGTGAGAGACCACTGACAGACACTTTCCCCGAACCTCGATCAATGTAATAAGGCCTGCAAGTGTGAAATTCAACAGTAAAACTCTGAAACGGGACACCATAGTGAAATGGAAAGTGTCCTTTAAATCTCAGATCTCCCTTACTTGAAGCTAACACTAAAGAACCAAGTGTACTTAATGGATAGGTGCCTTTATTCAGAGGGTCCTGTCAGAGGATTAACTGTGAAGAACATATTATGAGCACTATATATATGCAGTAGACTTTATAGGTACTGTTACCAGTCAGTTTCATTGACAAGAAAGTTAGCAGAGAATGACATGGAGTAATCTCTGATACTGAGAACAAATCCTCTGGTGTCGCTTGTCAGAGATGACTGCCCAAAATCGAGAGAGTGAATTTCCACACTGTAAAAAGAACAGCACTCTCTCTCTCTCTCCTTCTTCTCTCTCTCTCTCTCTCTCTCTCTCATAATAAGTATTGTCAAGCTCACTTACTTGCTGAAATTGTAGGTTACATTGGCAATTCCAACTTGACTGGTGACGTTGATGGTTGGTATTGTATAGTTGCACAGCCATTCTTTCAACAGTGTCAGACCAATATCATGAGCTACCAAAAGGCAAAAAGTGAAGCAGTGAACTCACAAGGTGGTGCCAGTCATCTGTAGGTATTATGTAACTACACTTATAGGGAATGGGAAGACCAGCTTTTGTCTAGGAGTTGTAGCTCTGGGCATAATGTACTAGACTTCAAGTCAAGACACCTGAGTTTGACATCCAACAAAAGGTGGTTCTTTATCTTTCCCTCGCGCCCCTCATGTGTTTCCACCATCATTCAGTTTTTAACTGTTCCCGAGAGAGACTATTGAGCCATATTCTTACCGTAGTTCATGCCCTTGGTGGTGATAATGGCACGGAATCCTGGGTTTTTCTTGGATACACACACAACCACTGCCAAACACAACACCACGTGGACTGCAACAATCTTCATGGCCTAAACAGGCTATCGTGCAATTTGCTAAACTGCGACTTAGCTATAATCTCTCCTTTATGGGCGAACGCTGTTATTCCGTGAAATTCCCTATAGCTGTACATGTCTAGTTACCAGCTATACACGACATATTGAACATGATAATGTGAAACCAAAACACAGCCAGGGTTTGCGTATTGTTAGATAAACATGTTCTTTAGATGGTGCTTGGTTTACTTAACACTGCTGTATATACAGCGGTTTCAATATAGCTCTTACCACATCTGTTTAAACCAGATATAGCTACAGTATTATACAATAATATGCACGTTGTACTAGATAACTAAAAACTTATGACATCATTAACGCAGACTCCATATAATAGTTGATTGGGTATCGTAGAGGTCCAAGATGTGTCAATATTATAATTCAAGACACATGTAAATCAAAATTACAAGTCATGATATAAACATGTCATATTGCTGTGGAGAAACGTAGGATAATATGAGATGTCGCCACCCACCACGATGTAGCCCTGTCATCATGGTGTTATAATATAAAACATATAGACACTCTTTAAAAATTAAAATGGTCGGTGTGAAACACTTTATACCTCTCTTTCGGTGATGGTAGTGTTGGCGAATGTTACGCCACCTTTTGCAGGAATGGGGAACCCCGGTCGGGTGTACTCTGTTTGAGACATGAATGATAGTATGCTGTAAAACAGCCTTCAAGGAAAACCTTCAGCTATTCCGTGACAAACAGGTTTTGCAGGAATGGGGAACCCGGGCTGGGTGTACTCTGTTTGAGACATGAATGATAGTATGCTGTAAAACAGCTTTCAAGGAAAACCTTCAGCTATTCCGTGACAAACAGGTTTTGCAGGAATGGGGAACCCGGGCTGGGTGTACTCTGCTTGAGACATGAATGATAGTATGCTGTAAAACAGCTTTCAAGAAAACCTTCAGCTATTCTATGACAAACAGGTTTTGCAGGAATGGGGAACCCGGGCTGGGTGTACTCTGCTTGAGACATGAATGATAGTATGCTGTAAAACAGCTTTCAAGAAAACCTTCAGCTATTCTATGACAAACAGGTTTTGCAGGAATGGGGAACCCGGGCTGGGTGTACTCTGCTTGAGACATGAATGATAGTATGCTGTAAAACAGCCTTCAAGGAAAACCTTCAGCTATTCTATGACAAACAGGTTTTGCAGGAATGGGGAACCCGGGCTGGGTGTACTCTGTTTGAGACATGAATGATAGTATGCTGTAAAACAGCCTTCAAGAAAACCTTCAGCTATTCTATGACAAACAGGTTTTGCAGGAATGGGGAACCCCGGCTCGGGTGTACTCTGCTTGAGACATGAATGATAGTATGCTGTAAAACAGCTTTCAAGAAAACCTTCAGCTATTCTATGACAAACAGGTTTTGCAGGAATGGGGAACCCGGGCTGGGTGTACTCTGCTTGAGACATGAATGACAGTATGCTGTAAAACAGCTTTCAAGGAAAACCTTCAGCTATTCTGTGACAAACAGGTTTTGCAGGAATGGGGAACCCCGGTCGGGTGTACTCTGCTTGAGACATGAATGATAGTATGCTGTAAAACAGCTTTCAAGGAAAACCTTCAGCTATTCTGTGACAAAAGGTTTTGCAGGAATGGGAACCCCGGTCGGGTGTACTCTGCTTGAGACATGAATGATAGTATGCTGTAAAACAGCTTTCAAGGAAAACCTTCGGCTATTCTGTGACAAACAAGTTTTGCGGAAAAGACTTAGTTTCTACTGACTACTACTAGTTTATACTAAATTTCACGGGAACTTTGCTGCAAGTTACTTCCAAACAGTGAAATTTGCGAAAAGCGTTTTCGTTAAAGCTGTGTGGATGCACATAGCGAAGTGGGCATTTGGCTATGGTTTTTTCGATCTCCGAATCCGATCTTTGAAGAAGAATAAACTTACTATTATTGACGTAAGAGACACCCAGAGGAAGTAAAGCGTAGGTAATAACATCCTTTAGCTTCGTAATCTGGAAGTTAAAACAGAGCAGATATTGATGTCAGGGAGGGTAAACAGCTCACATCGAATTGTCCGATGGTAGAGTTTTTGAGGGTGATATCCACTATTCTGTGTAGAACATGTGATGAAGCTATCTATACCTTAAGATCATATGAGGCTAACTCTGCATTGGATATGTTGCCACATATATGGTTTGTTTCATCTCTAAAGAAAGGTACCACGTCAGCCCGTGCATGCTACACAAAAACACAAACATCCAATAAATCACCACGTACTTCGTTGGGAGATCCATACTCACAAAGTCTAAAACGAACGCCACGTCCTCTCTTCCGTTGCCGTTAGCTACGAACATGGTAACCTCAACTTCAGCTTCCATGGCGGTGTGGTTGGTCGTGATGTTCAGAGTCGGTATACCGCTCACAGCTACCCCCAGCATCACGTTCATCTTTGGGAATTTGTCACACAGCGTCTGCAGATTGGAAAGGACACACACACACACACACACACACCACACACAGTGGATGATAAGGATGATAATGATGTTTAGCAAGCTTTGTGCCACTCAATTCACCGTGGCTCTCACACGTTGCCCTTAAACCTCTTTTTACCTGTGGCACAAGTGTAGAAGCGCACCAAGTGTCCGTCTTTTTGAATATCCACAGCTGTAGAAAATAAAAACTCTCACTCTCTTTGCTTACAGAAGAACAAGAATAAGTTAGTTTTTTCTTCATTTTTACCTTGTCACTGGTTATGTTGTATGCCAGTTGGCCGGCTTCTTTGAAGGCATATGCAGCAGTTTCAGCGACGTAGTTGCTGACGACAACGTGAACCATCTTCGTATTGGGGAAGTCTTCTTCCGAGGGGTCGGGTAGTGGAGGGGGTTGGAATGGGGGGTCCGTAGCATTGGGCAACAACAGAAATTCCCCCTGGAAAAGGGGGTCCGATATTAACACGGTGGAATGCACACATGCACACATTCACACACTCAAGCTCTTTAATTCCGACACCAATTGGACAGAACAAAGAGTGTCCATAGTAGTTGTGGTGTCCTTATTTCAGGGGTTAAACAAGAACTGTCCTTTGGGAAAGTAAGGTTGTTTTATAAAAGAGGTTTCCTCATTTCAGAGGTGTCCACTGTACTGTGATAATGGCTAGTTTCAGAATTACTGCTCAATACTAACTAGAATCGAAAAAACACATTAAATATTGAAAGAAGAATCTTACTTTGTGATTGGTGACGACTCTGCCTTTTCTGGAGAAGTCGGCATCCGACACCAGACCATAGTCAATCTCTATTCCATCAGCTACGTTAATGGTGGCTACAGTCGCGAGAGAGTAAGTAATATTATAAATGTGCCAACATCACACACTCACTTGGTAAGGGATTGATATATTTCTTTGTCGTCTCATTAAACCACTTGATGAGCTCGTTACATGCCTAAAGTCAGGTAGTATTAAAGCTGCAGTGAATACATGATAAAGTTGCTGTAGATTCACCTTTTTGTTAAGCTCTCGTTTGAGGAAGCCGTTGAGTGCCGGACCAAACAGGTTGTACATGTAGCTGTTAAGAAGAGACAACACTGTTAGGAGATGTTCACAATCTTCTTGAGTACAGTGAACAGGGACACCTAGGAGACTATTCATTCAGAGGTGTCCCTTACTCAGGCGGATGAGTAATAGTATGAAGCAGAATCAAGCGTACTTTATAGAGGGGCGCCCTTTATTCGGAGGGTCCTTTATAGAGATTTCACTGCTATAACTACTGATACCTTGCCCCTCCTCTGAATAAGATATTGATTTTGTCAATGGAGAAAGAGCAGCTAGTGACGTTGGTAGCAAAGCGGCCATCCCCAGAACCAGTTCTATTGACCAGGAGGTCCACAGTTATTGCGAGCGAGACCCCACCAATAGAAATGTCCCCTGAACCTTCGTCGGTCCAACGAGGCCTGCGTGTGATATATACAAACAATGCACAGCTGAACCACTGGCACTAAGTCCAATTTGTGTAACTTGGTTCTATGTAAAACAAGCCGGTATGGCGGGTACCATAAGTTGAATGCATGGACCCATCATACCCATACATTGGCATTACATGAAACTTTGTTGCACACACAACAAGTTGTTGGGGAGTAGCTATAATTTATATAGTTGGCCTTACATTTAGAAATTGTATAGTATTTTGAAGCTATTTTTCATACCACTCGGTCTCGACAAGGCGAAAGTTTGCAGAAAAGGACATGGCAAAGTCTTTGACCGTGAGGACGAATCCTCGAGTGTCGCTTGTTAGAGACGATTCCCCGAAATCCAGAGAGTAAATATTCCATCTGAAGTCAGGATAAGAAGAGCAGCCTCTAACATGTACACTTTCTTGCCCCCCCAAGAACTGTTCTTGCATGGACTTGAAATATGGACACCTCACTAACATGGACACTTTTTCTGCCCCATCGGTGTCTGGACCAGAGAAGTTCCACTGCACTGTTAAGAATGTGGGACAAAGACCAACAAACCCGCCCCTCCCTTTCTCTTACCCTCAGACCCCATGCTTCACTACTTATAACTCACTGACTCGCTAAAGTTGTAGGTGATGTTGGCAAGCCCAACTTTGCTAGTGAGGTTCTGAGTCGGGATCGTGTAGTTGCAGAGCCATTCTTTCAGCACTCGCAGTCCAACAGCATGAGCTGCCAAGAGGTTAGGATCCAGCATGTCACACACACACACACAGAAGTGTTAGTGAGGTGTCCTTATTTTCAGGGATCCAATCACATGCAGGAAACTCTTGTTGGGGAAAGAAACGTAGACAAGTTTCCTCAGGAGTTTTCTTGGAGAGGGGTTCCACTGTATTGCTATGATCCAGTCAGTATTTGGTTCTCTCTCTCTCTCTCTCTCTCTCTCTCTCTCTTTCTCTCTACCTCCCTCACTCTCCTTAATTCTTCTTCACCTCACAGTTCTCTCACTTCATCTCTAAACAACACAAGAAGCAGCACTGGCTTACCATACTCGAGTCCTTTGGTAGTTATGATGGCACGAAATCCGGGATTCGCAGGTCCCTGGGAGATATTCTGTATACGTGACAACTGCTGATAGCAACAACACCAGGTATGTTGGAAGGCCCTTCATCTCTCTTTCTTAGCCCAAGCAGAGGTATATTATTAGTACTCAGTGACAGCTACATTAAGCAACAGCTCTGCTAGCTAGCACTGCGAACACTGCATGCATGTATGCTGTTGTGTCTGAAACCGTATATTATTTATGCCTTTCCCACCGTTAGCTATCACGCGTCCAAAGTGAAAGTTATACGCACTACCCCCAAACAGGTTTTAGAAAAGAGCATTACGTCATGGAAAATCCGTGTTTTTAAAGGTGTTGTTTGTGCAGAAGACTGTGTACACTTTATTGTGAAAGTGAACCTTCTCTGTTGATGTACACATAACCAAACGTAAGCAACTACTAAAAACACACAGCAATATCTACCACACACAGTTTTTGAAAATCTAAAAATGTGTTTGTGTAATATTGCGTAATTCAGTACTGCCCTCTTCTCAGTTTCTCCAGTATTTCTGGACTGTATTCCACATCTCCACTCACTTCAACATACCCCTGCGTGACATAATAGCAAAGCAATAGCTCTCGCGAGTTGAAACAAGAGTTTCGCCTTTCAAAATAATAGAGCAGAATAAGTCGGTCGTGACACAGGTCTTACCTTTCCAAAAGTAAGTGAAGGGTTAATAAACGTCACACCATCTATTACTGGAATTGGTACACCAGCACCAAGTATGCCTGCAACCAATGGCACATAGCAGCACAGTATTATAGAGACAAACCTGAAGTGGGTCAGTTCACAACACTGATGTTGCAATCTCTAGCATACAATTGACGGACGAAAAACGAAAACGAAAATGGACAGACTACAATCGATAAGTGAAAATGGACAGACTACAATCGATAAGTGAAAATGGACAGATCAAAATTGCACTATACTGGATGGGCCACCCACTGTACTTTCACTGCACTTCTCATAGGTTGCGTTCTGATGCAGTTCTGATGCAGGAATGACTATTCCAGCATAAAGCTACAGCGTGTACTACTGACACACGCAGCTGTTTGCACATCAATCGTGTCCTGAACCAACATTCGGGTCTAATATATAGACTGCGCAAAGACTTACTGTTTATGTAGGCGAGACCCAGTGACGGTGCTAGCGTTGTCAGAATGTTCTTCAATGTTGAGCACTGAATCGAAATAATATATTTCATTAAGTCTCAAAAACACGGAATAATGCTCTGATGTTCCCAGTGACACAACTCACGTTAAAGTTCCCAATGTTCGTTTTGTTGAGGCTCACGGTGAACCTGAACCAACAGAAGTGGACGAGTGATAGTCTGTGTTTTTGTTGGGAGTGAGATATTATGTTTACTTTGGGTTTGAGACACTCCCACGGATGAGATATTGGCCCTTTGTAGGTGAGTGGTCAAATGACAGGTTCACATTGGCTTGGACATTCTGAACACAAAATAACCAGTTTTAAACTTCGAGTATAGTAGAACTCCTCTCTAAAGACACCCAAGATATGAGGACACTTTTCTTTCCCCACGAACAGTTTCTTGTATGCAATTTAACCCCTGAAATAAGGACACCTCGCTAATACGGACGCTTTCCTCTGTCCCATTACGGTGTCTGGAGTAGAGGGGTTACACTGTTGTAAAATCATGCTATGCACACAAGTTGCTAGTAAAGAATACACGTACTTAATGTTTCTTGGGAATTTTTCTTACCAGATTCAAAGTAAAGGCTATTTCTTCACGTCCATTGTTCTTTACATACATACTGGCAAGAGCTTTGCCCATTACTACTGCATACTCCGGGGTAATATTCAGTCTGGGGTAGTCGCTAGCAACTACTCCAAACATGACCTTCTTGTTGGGGTACTTCTTGCACAACTCCTGCAAGAGAAGTGATTTAAAGATGCAGCGAAATGAAAACCTTCTGATTTAGGTATATACAGGTCTATTTCACTGACAGGAGAAACAATGGCGCAGTAAAAGCCAGTGGTCTTGAAACCCGTTGGAATCTGGAGAATGAAAAAAATTAGCAAACCTAAAATTAATGACTTCAACTAGCGAGTGAGTATAGGAACACAATCAATGTGGACGCTAGAATGTCGCCTTTTAAAAGCTTACTATAATGGACGCCAACGCAGACAATTAAGGGAAAAGGCATAATTATATCTGTTTAACTCTTAAAAACTCTTCTTTTCATGATTCATTCGTTCTGGGAGCCCATTTATGGCGCCGGTGCTAATATTTCTTACACAATAAGTATTCCGTGTGTACTGTAGGGGTGAGGTGTTTTTCTTTCTTTTCAGCTAGTGTCCTCACAATAATCTCGTGATCTAGTTTGCTCTGTGTCTCACTTGTTCATTGGAGACATTATAGGACAGAAGCCCAGCCTTCCAGAAGGCCCAGGATGCTGACTCGGCGACATAGGTAGAGCCCTGGAGGTAGATCATCTTCGAGAAGTTCCTCAGAGAGGGGTCTGGGAATGGAGGGGGAGGGAACGGGGGATCCTGGGGGTCCTTGCCCAAACGAAATTCCCCCTGCATGTACAGATACAAGAGAATCAAAATGCTAATGTCTTCTCAACATGCGGTCCAACTTAGTCACACACAACAAATGCCTTAGGCAACCGATGGTAAGTTATACATCCACTCTTAACATTTCAGCTCACTCTACTATAGGCAGCCCCATCACCTTATTGTCAAAGATGACAACTCCAGAATGAGTGAAGTCAGGATCTGCCACCAGAGTATAGTCTATCTCAACACCATTCCATGTGTAGGTCACTATCATACAAGCATATAAGGAATGATAGGTTTATAAGTCGGTTCTCTATATAATATACTCAACAGACAGTTTATGAGTTTAGCTAATGCGTTGTTGCCATCCGTGTTTATAGTGTCTACAACCATGGAACAGATCTGGTGAAAAACACGATTATGTGATGGGTCAAGCAGGTTGATATAATATAAGAGCTGCTTGCCTTCTTTTCGATGGAGGTCTTGAAAAAGTTCTCAACCACAGAGCTTACTATATTTAAGAACCAACTGGGAAAGATTATAAGAATGTGATAAGCATGCAGTGAAATAAAAGGGAGATATTTGAGGTGTGAAAGTGACATTGAGAGGGAAGAAGGAGAGAGAGAGCCTTATATACCTTGCCCCTCCATGGAATTTAACCGAAAGATGATCAATACCAACGGAACAGTAGGAACAGTTGAGGTGGATTCCGCCACTTGACTTGTTCATGGTCATATCCACTGTCATCTTCAGAGATATCCCTCTGCCTGATACGTCCACCGTGCCATGGCCCTTGACATTTGGCCTAAACATTAACAACATGTTACACTGGCTGCTTTTGTTTAAGAGTGGGCAAGAGTCAGAGCTTGGTCAATGAGCTACCAGGGCAACTGAGCAGACAGGGATAAAACAACACAGGGCCAATTAAGGTAAAACCCAATTGACTGTAAAGTGTTCATACTTATGTAAACTTGTTACATCTACATGTCTAACCCGCTTGCTGAGGTGTTCATAGGCGCTCCATACACAGTGTCATACGACCAATCAGCCGACAGTGCCAATGATATCCCATTGTCGACCAACGTGAGACCGTTTTTCGCAAGGGTCATCGACGAATCCCCAAAATTCAAACTCAGAATCTTGGCACTGGGGGTCGAAGAGAGATTAAAGTGTCACCGTATTATTGGCTCGGCCATCAATATCTCACTTGGTTAATGTGAATGTAATCATTCCAATGATTGGGACCTTGAAAGACTTAGTGAAATTTTGAATTGAGAAGTTGCTAATCCTCTCCTTCAGCAGTGGAAATGCAACCCCATTTGCTGTGTGGCAAGATGAAGACAAGCAAAAAAGACACGTATTTGTTTGCCTGCAATGCCTATGCCTGGAGTGCTTGCAATGCCCATTTTTCTTGGGGATTTGGTGTTGCTTATGCTTGCGATGCCATTCTGAAAACCATGCAGACACCACTGAAACTACAGGTCAGTGTCACCCCAGACACCTCTATTCTCTAGCTGGACACTGTTGATGAACACATTTCTCACTTTCTTATAATACTGTGGGAGCTATTTTAGCTGTTTCTAATACTGTAGTTCAAGCCTTTCTTGTAGTTCAGACAGGCTACATGTGGATGTTCTTATATATTGCAGAATGACCTATTTCTATAATATAATACCATAGTTCAAGCCATTCTTGTAGTTCTGGCAGGCTACATGTGGATGTTCTTCTCATTATACAGAATGACCTATTTCTAATACCGTAGTTCAAGCCTTTCTGAGTGAGAATGGTCCTGAAGCCAGGGTTGACGGCAGATGTGAAGGCCACAGTCCCACTAGGTAGCAACAACACCTGGACACCCACTGTCACTACGCACAGCCACAGAGCTGGAGGTGGCCTCATCTTCCCTAGCCTCGTCTCTTCAAGCTTGTTTCGAACACACTGAGCTTAAAACATTTCACAACGGTATATATATGGAGTGTCATGCAGCTTGTGTATACACCATGGAGTTTGACGCACAAACTTTCACTTTCCCTGCGGTGGGAATTTCCATAATCAATACACAACGATATTATGATAGCAGCCCACTTATGTGTTTGTAACTTTCAGTTTTAGTGCTCTGTTTGTCATGTGGAGGAGACCGGCAGTCGTAAAAATACCGTATACAAATATAGCAACACACTATAAATAGCTACAATCCTTGTGATGTCATTAGTTGTTCCTTTCAGTACTGCCCTCTCTTCAGTTTCTCCAGTATTTCTGGACTGTATTTCACGTCTCCACTCACTTCAACATACCCCTGCATGATGATTCATTACAGCAGAGAGCTATATAGTACCAGAGTTCTTAGCCTTTCCTTTAAGGAAAGGTGTCAGTTAAGGGCTAAATTTAGAAATGTTACTAAAGATAGAACTAAACAATAGGGCCCAGCACAAGAATGCAACTAAGTTTCTGTTTTTTCAGTAACAGGTTCTGTATTAAGCCCTTATGTGCCGTCACATTCCTTTTTATTAAGCCTTTCAGCAGAATTATACAAGCTATCCATGAACAAAAAGTCTTACCTTTCCAAATGTAAGTGAAGGATCCACGAATGACAGGCCAACTAGTGTCGGAATGGGTATCCCGGCATTAAGATAGTCTGTAGTAATCACACAGTGGAGAGTGACTAGAGAGCTGAACGGTTAAAGAAAAATAGAGTCTGACCGTTGAGGTAACCCAGACCCATTGTTGGAGCAAACTTTGTGACAAGGTCATTCAACGTCGAGCACTGGAAAAAAGATTGTGTTTTTCTTCCTATCCTCTCAGTATACAGTGGTCAATAATTATGACACTCACATTAAAATTCCCAATATTTGATTTGTAAAGACTCATGTTGACTCTGAAAGAAAAATACGTGTTTATGCATATTATTATTTTTTCCGAAGAAATAACTGTACTTTGGATTTGAAACGTTTCCACAGACCAAATATGGTCCCATTGGAGACGAAGAGTTAAACCACAGTTTCATGTCGGCTTGAATATCCTGTCCAAGAGGGGTTAAATACGTGTCAACATTAAAAGCTCTATATATACTTAGTTTATAGTACTTGAACCAACCCCAATTCATTTGGTTTGCTTGAGACAATAGTGTACTTCTTGATACATTATCATTATAGTTATTCTCACTAAAGCTAAGGTGAATGCCAGTTCTTCATGTCCATTGTTCTCCACATACATACTAGCAAGAGCTTTGCCCATCGCCACTGCATACTCCGGGGTAATCTTCAGTCTGGGGTAGTCGCTAGCAACTACTCCAAACATGACCTTCTTGTTGGGGTACTTCTTGCACAACATCTGTCAAAGAAATAATAAAGTGCTCATTTGGACTCATAAACGAAGGAGGCTCTCACTGCACTTACAGGGGAAACGATGGAACAGTAGAAATCTGTTGTCCCAAACTCAGCTGGAATCTGAAAGTAATTTGTGCAAAGCACTTAGCTACAATCTCTTGGTAGAGAGAAACAGCCTCTAAGCAGACACGTGAAGATGAAAATGGAGAGAAGCAACCATGCATGCTTGGCCAACAACTGTAGCATCACCTACTAGTAGCTATAGTGTACACACTAATGTTTTTCAGTCAGAAAAGGCCGGAAACTAAGAAAACAGCCACAAGAATTGGAATGAGTGAGCCAGACTAACTTTGTCATTGGAGACATTATAGGACAGCAACCCTGCCTTCCAGAAGGCCCAGGATGCTGACTCGGCAACATAGGTAGAGCCCTGGAGGTAGATCATCTTCGAGAAGTTCCTCAGAGAGGGGTCCGGGAATGGAGGGGGAGGGAACGGGGGATCCTGGGGGTCCTTCACCAAACGAAATTCCCCCTGCGAACAAAACGGTTCGATTCAGTTGAAACCAGATACAAAGAGCTTCTCCATGTCAGGAGTCAAACTCAAGGCAACCCACCTTCATGTCCAAGATTACAATTCCAGGGTGGGAAAAATTAGGATTGGCCACAAGAGCATAGTCAATCTCCACACCATCCTCCAGCACATAAGTTACTGTCGAGAAAGAATAGGCCTTTTAAGGGGTCAGAGTCAGAGTGAGCCAACCCTCAATATACAACTCTCTGCCGGTTTGTTCTATAAGGACATTTAGGAAAACCGGCAAGAGTTGTATATTGAGGATTGGCTCACTCTGACTCTGACCCCTTCAATTATGCACGTGAAAACCCCACAAAAGGATCCTCTGAATGAAGGAAACGGCTCTATCAAAGACACTTGGCTTTTGCCTCATAGAGATTAACATACCTCTGAATAAGGGACACTGGACACTTGATGCCCCAAGCAAGTTGTCCCTCGTTCATGCAGATCCAGGTTTCACTGTTGTATAATAATTATAGCTACGTAGGTATTCTAACCTTTGAGGAGTCTGTCTAGTGCACCGTTGGCCGGTACATTTATCCCATACTTCAACTGAGAACACATCTAAAAAAACACACGTATACATCCCTTTAAAATGTTACAATTTCAACAAAGATTGATATTACATTGTCGTTCATGTAGCTCTTCAATTTACCCTCTATCATCGAGTCGAACAAGTTATAGAACCAACTGAGGAAATAGATAGATATTAATTTTGAGAGAAAAAGAGGAGAAAAAATGGAAGGGACCTTAATCCTCCATGAAAAGTAACCGAGAGGTCGCCAATCCCAATGGAACAGTAGGAGCAGTTGAGGTGGATTCCACCACTTGTCTTGTTCATTGTGATATCCACTGTCATCTTTAGAGATATCCCACTGCCTGATATGTCCACCGTGCCACTATCTTCAAAATGTGGCCTATGCAACAAGGGGAAGATCTATAGCTACTGGCTGTTCTTTTCTATGCCACGTAGCAAATGGTTGGCACTTGAATCTACAGCACGCACTGTGCTTTCTAGGCAGAGCACTCTACCCACTGAGCTAATGATTATACCAGTGCAGCTTCTCAGCAAGCAGGGCTCAAAACTACTTACAACAAGGCAAACTCAAACCCTGTGCTATATAATGGCACAGTAGCCCACCACAACTCATACACACAAACTAACATACCACTGCTCTTGTCGGTAGGACCAATCAGCTGACAATGACACCGATATGCCATAGTCGGTCAAAACTAGTCCATTTGCATCACTAGTCAATGACAGATCTCCAAAGTTTAAACTTGTAAGTAAAGCACTGGACATGTAGAGGGAAAAGAAGAGGAGATAAAGTAAGCCTCAATTACTGGGCCCATTAGTAGAAAAGTGTACATTATTTGGAGGTGAAGTATTTAGAAGCAGTTGATGGAAACAAGCATCCTTTAAAGGGAAGTTTCCAACGATTTCTGAGGTTAACACACACAAAAATTGAAACAAGTGCCCTATATTATGTAGTCTTAGAGGAGTCCTCTGTTATACAGGGTGTTCATTTACCGAGCTATTTTTGCTCTACATTAAAAATCCGACTCACTTGCTCAAAGTGAACTTGATGGTACCAATGACGGCAACATCATAATCCACGACAATTGTTGGAATACGAAGGTCACTAATTTCTTCCTTCAGCAAAGGAAGCAACACTTCTTCCGCTAGTATACAAAGAAAAACTGTGCTGACAGACTGACACGTGACACACATATTATAATATACAGATCAACCCTGCTGTGCATGAATGCAGATGCTTATGTCAACAACTAGGTTGAAAAGGCCAGGACAACAGAGAAAGAGCTGCCCTAAAAGTGGGTGCCATTCAAACCTACGACGCTGGCAGTCTAGGCAGAACGCTCTACCCACTGAGCTATGAAATGAGGCAGCAGCTCAAGCTACAGAACATGCAACACGAGACAGAGGCAACATAGCTAACCTCCATGCAGTATGACACAGTAAATCCTCACTTAGCACACAGCCAGTCTGCAGTATATATATATACCCACATCAGACTTACATACCCAGAGCTTCTTTCTCTTGTCGTATCTTAGGGCCAGGTATATATTAAGCTAACTAATGCTATGGCTGCCCCGTTCAAGTGTAGTTCAGGTATAGGCTTTGTTCTTCTACATGTGGATGTTCCTCTCATTAATATTACACTGTTTCTAATACCGTAGTTCAAGCCTTTCTGAGTGAGAATGGTCCTGAAGCCAGGGTTGACAGCAGATGTGAAGGCCACAGTCCCACTAGGTAGCAACAACATCTGGACACCCACTGTCACTACGCACAGCCACAGAGCTGGAGGTCGCCTCATCTTCCCTAGCCTCGTCTCTCCCAGTTTCTAGACTTCTCTATAAACTCGAAACTTATAGCTGTAGCAGTGTTAGCTACACGGCAAATATCAAAACTAAGCAATCTGGACTGGTCGTTCACAAACTGCTATAGGCTTACACTCTGCACAATCGTTTTAGTGCACAAACTAATGTGTTGTTGTTTGTTAGCGTCCCACATTGCTGTGTAGAGAGCATTTGAGGAAACTTCCGTAGTGCATAAGCTAACACGGCAAGCGCATAACAACTTTCTATTATCCCGGTTATGCCAGTATTTTTTGCAGGTGAGACTGTTTCCTTTCCCAAGCTCTCTCTCTAAAGACGAAACATATCAACATAATTATCAACATGTTGACTCTGCGAGTCACATTGGAGAATTTGGGGCAAAGAACAAAAATAACAGGAAGAGTTTTCAAAACTTTCATATCCCCAGCATGTGGCACTTCAAAAGGTTCACATAATCCACCTGGTGCCTGCAAGGTGTTTGTAGAGAACAAAAATAACAGGAAGAGTTTTCAAAACTTTCATATCCCCAGCATGTGGCACTTCAAAAGGTTCACATAATCCACCTGGTGCCTGCAAGGTGTTTGTAGAGAAACTTGGTGGTCTGAATGGTAAGACACGTAAATATTTGCGTGTGCATGAGTATGGCCGTGGCTTTGCTATTGACGCCCCTTCTACAGAAAGTCACACGCTATGACATAAGCACTGGCACGGACAGCTTTCTTCAATGGGTTAGCACAGATCAGTTAAGATCAGAAAGTCATAATTATTATGCAACAACACGATATAGAGTTTCAGAAACAGTGAAAGTCTAGTGATACAGTAATTATGCACGTTAGATGATAGTTCATACAGGTACACAGGATGGAGCTCTCTTTCAGTCGTATCCTCTGTTTGGAAAGGAAACAAACGTAAAATTGTCATGGTTACCAATTGTTACCTGACGTAGTGAGCCACCTCCCAATTGGTATCAAGTTGCAGCTGGCCCTCAATCTCCACCCCTTCATCTGTCACCACAGCCAAATCATACTGCAATGTAATAAATTAGAGGGCAAAGAAAGAAAGAGGAAGAAAATTTACCACAACTTCCTTAATCACGCAGCAAACCCTATACATAAGTATTACAGCATCGAATGCATTATTACACAGAAGTTGTGTAATAATTCAGACGACTAGGTATAACATAGGATTGCTTCACTTGCCATCAGACTGTCGTGTCTAGACCACACCCATGTATGACATCATGGAAATGGGTCATACGTGGGTGTGGTCTAGACACAACAGTACGATTTGTAGTAGTCTCTGCTTTGCCTTGTGTAATGATATAACAGCCACACGACTTATTCCCCAAGACTCACGGTGGAGAGAGCTCTGCAATCTCGGTAGAAGAGAACCTTTAGAGCTTTTTGCAGTGTCTCTTTCGCTTCTTCTCTCGTGAGACGAGGATTTTTCTCGTATGCTTCTCTTAACAGGGGCTGTGTGTGTGTGTGTGTGTGTGCGTGTGGAGGGGTGTGTGTGTGTGTGTGTGGGTGGGTGGGTGTGGGTGATGAAAGAAGATGGTAAAGAACAAGAAGATTGGAAAGAGGGAGGGAGAAGAGAATGCATGGAGGGAGAACAGAAGGGATAGAGGATTAGGGTGAGAAAGTGGGTGTGGTGGTTACCTGGGCGATGTAGCTGCCGAGTCCAGTGGCCAGAGTGGGAGCCTCAAACGCAGTACCAATACTGTTGACATAGCCAAGAAACCTAGTAGGACACATGGTGATAAATATAACAACATTTGAGCCTGCAAAAATTTGACAATCAGCAGTGCCACTTACGGCTTTCCTTCTTGGTAACCCCCGACGACGATGACGTTCCAGAGCGGGTTAAACTGGCACCTCCGGTAGTACATGAGTCTGGTCAACCGGTTAAACAGGTTTTGAGGGGTGTATTTGTGGCCGTCGTCAAAAGACTCTGACCGCATTCTGCAGACACAGACAGCTGAAAGTGAAACTAAGGTTGGGTTCTTAGGTGGATATCCCTTATTCAGAGGTAGCACAATACAGTATGGGGCAGAACAAAGTGTCCTTTATAGAGAGGTGTCCCTTTATAATACACTAATGTATTAGTATGGGGCAGAACCAGGTGTCCACTAGAGAGGTGTCCTTTATTTAGAAGATCCTTTTCAGAGTTTTCACAATAATAATACTCTTCCCACAATTCTCATAATTATTTCGTTAATTAATCGCTAAATAATTAATTCCCACAGATGTACATCGTATTTCTCACTCGATGTTTAATTAATCGCTAAATAATTACTAATTCTCACATAATTCCGTCGAAAAACCGCTGGAGGTGCTGAAAGTCTGCATAGTCACCCGAGGCGGCCAGAACAGTGGTCTCTGATAGTTTCCGGAGACGAGGGACACTACGAAACCGGGCCAGAGATCCATAGGACCCTGGACACAACGGGACACCGAAAGTGAAACTTTGGAGCAATGTAAAATTTCGCCAATCGTGCATATACAAGCGCTGAAAGAATGCTCCAAAATGCCTGCGAATGCAGTCAGCTGGTGTGCATGGCGCGAAGAAACCTTAAAACATACGCTGTTTTTGTTATACAGAACTCGGCATGCGGTGGCCTAAGATTTACAGTCTCAGCAGCTATTGCGCAACCAATGATAGGTTTGTGTTTTTTATTTTTTCTCTTCTTTATGAGAAGTGGAAACTCACCCAGAGTGTCGGCTGCCAGCATTACGCCACCGTCAAACGTCAGGCCCAGCACCGACGTACCTGACACAGTCGGATACCTACGGACCGTAAATTCTAGTTAGAGCGCATCACCACACGACTAGCTTTTCTTACCGCGTGTGCTTCACTGGAGCGGCCTTGGTAGAGGGCGCAGAGGGAAATCTGTACAGACCTCCAATTGGCGGACCTCCTGTCCAGAGTGGTGGGGGAGAGACGGCAGAGAAAGGGTCAGGAACTCTCACAGCCATGATGATACGTAGCGTATACACGTTGCAGCGCGCGCGCAATTGCGCGAAGAAAAACCTTCGAACCGAGATATATAGCTGGGAAAAATACCTGCGCATGCGCAAAACGTTTCGCGCGTAAAAATGCAGTATTAATTGTGCAGCGTAGTAATCAAATAATTCCGCATTAGGAAATATGAGACGGTAAGACTGGGTAAACAGGTTTTGAAACAATGATAGTCTAACTGGTGGACTTTGCCCGCTTTGAAGGTCTGTTTCCTCCTTCCCCAGGCCCAGCGGAGCCTCTCCTCTTGTCTCCAGTGTACCCTTGACCCCAGCCAGTCCTACTGGCACCGGCGCCACCTCCTTCAACCTCTGAGGCCCCTGAGTCAGAGTTCAATTCACTGATGCTGGCTTGGAGCCTTAATTGACTTCTTCTCCCCTCTCCCTCACTCTCCCCTCCCCCCTTCTCTTCCTCTTTCCCTCCCCCCTCCCCCTCCTTCTCCTCTCCTTCTCCTTCCTCTGAAGGTAGCTCGGTAACGGACACCAAATGCTCAGCTACATCACTTTTCACTGTGGTAGACTGCGCATGTGATAAGCCTTCACCACTGGCACCTGCACACAATTAAAAATCACACACTGACATGTAGCTATTACGCATTAACCCTGTAATAAGTCACAGTGCATGATCCCTGATCCCAGCAATGGCTAGAAATGCATTATTGTTCTACATTATTGCATTTTTATCTATAGTTTACAGAGCCCAATGTGCATGAGTTCCATTGGCATAAGGTACTGCTTGTTGTCCTACCAAAAGTATTGTTTGCGAAAAAACCACTGGGGTTAGCAGTGTGCATTCCATCCCTTAATATTCCATTTCTGGGGCCGTTTGTTTTGGTCCATAATCTCATTGTCCTTATCAGAACACTCTGCACCCTTGTGGTATATCTAGAGTGTTGTATATATTATACAAGTGGAGGGATAGTTGGATATCACATACTTGGGTCACACTTAATGACGCACTTTGACATTCTGACGCTATAGGGTAAGTGATATGCATTCCAGCGGTATTGCTGATTTGTACCATGAACTTGTGACATTGTTGGAGAATTGATACTTACTGACCCAGTACAAATGCAACACCTGGTATATATAGGAAAACAGAAGGCATTCTAGCCACTATTATCTGGGGCTAATTGACCATAGTGCGATAAAGCACAAAGTGCAGATCCCTGTTACGTTTTATGGTAATGGAAGGCATTTGTTTCTGAATAAACTTCCGGTCTGGTGCCTTTCAACCCAAACAGGGCCTACTAAATTACGCAACATTATCAATGCATGTGGTTTGCCAATGTATGTGTGTGTGTGTGAAGTGTAGGATCGTGTGCACAGCGCCCCTCTCACCATCATCAACAATGTGCAATCACCCCACCATTCGAAAAGGTTATTCAGGGTAAAAATGATCGGAATGTCACTTCGACACTGTGCGGTGTTTACAGAGCTTACCCCCACAGATGCAGCAGTGATAAGGAGAACCGCAATGACACAAAACAATAAAGAAAAAAAGAGAAAACAGGCGCCATCTCTTTCTCACCTATTCCTAGTCGTTCTTCGTAGGCTCGAAGTTTGACCAACATCTGATTTCGTTCCTGGCGAAGCTTGCGGTACCTCTCTTCGCGATCTGCAGCGGACATGTATGCGAGTGGTCGGTTTGACGACGGGTTTGTCCAAGATTCTCGTTCGGCAGGGTCCACCTCGCACGCCTTTGTCGCGAGCCGCACCACACTGTTTTGCAAGTATTTGCACTGTTTGCACATCTTTTGTGCAGTGCGGTCTCTTTTTGAGAATGTTCCTGTCGGAACGTGCCAGATGGGGCAGTGTTCGTGGTCGTAGCGTTTCATGTGAGTCGATTCAAAGATGCGGACGTGGCTGGGATGGTAGCCGAGGACGGAAAACTTGTCGGCGTAATTGGGAAGGCCCGGACAGATTACGTGATTTAGGCTCAGTTCCGAGAGCAGGTCTTCCATTTCCTGCTCGACAAAGAGTTTCGTGAATATTGTCTTGTAGACGGGAAACAGGAGTTGGAGTTTCACTATTGCGTTGCTTGATACAAGAATTCGAGCTACAACAACGGGCCCAAGCTCCCGGTCGATGTGAAAAACTTTCTGCCTCACTTGTAGCCACTTTAGGTTTCCCTGGCTCGGCAAGACCTCGATGTGTAGATGTTGCGACTGAGGACTCGAGAGGAAGCAGTGGTAGAAAAGGATTAAGTCGTTTTCTCCCGCTAGCTGTTCCTTCAGCAGATCATGAGATGAAGGGCATTCCTTGGGAGAGACGAGAAGCTTCTTCAGCGAACCTGATGCTGGATTTCGTGTGGCGTGCTCTTTCGACTGAGTTCTCTGTTTATGTGGGTCCTCCAAATATGGAGCTTGGTGATGACTCGAGGAAGAAGACGCGGGAGAAGATTGGTCGGTTTGCAGGGAAGGGGCTCTCTGTAGTGAGAGGGTTGTGTAAGGAAGCTGTACAGAAGATCTGGTTGAATCTGAAGGTGGTGATTGGACAAGTGGCAGAGTTTTTACCGACGATGGTTGTCCTCCGTCTATGGTTGATACAGTTTTGGACATTTGCGCCTGTGACGTAATCATTGTAGTTGTGGATTCTGGTGCTAAGAGGGGACTAGTTGGGGAGTCTGCGATTGACGAGACGGACAGTGTTGATGATTGCGGAGCTGAAGAAGGGAGACTGATGGTTGAAGGAAGGCCAAAAGGAAGAGTTAAACCTGTCAACTGCATGGGGTTCGTTTGAGGGTGAGGAACGAAACCGGTATTGCCAATGAACGGGAGCGAGGGGGAGAGAGGGACGAGAGAGGAGAGGAAAATCTGGCCGGTAGGGGACACAAAGGAAAACGGTAAATGTGGCGATACGACAGCGGTGCCTGCCGTGTTTTGGAGTAACTGCGGAGAGTGTGCGAAAACGGCAGCATTGCTGAGTGGGGAGGTGGCTACTTGTGACGTACTGATCCCTGTTGCTGCGGTGGACATCGGAGCTCCATAACCAGTTGTTGTTGTGGGTGTTGCTGAAGTAGGAAGACCTAGATAACCTCTAGGGTATTTCTGCTGATTGTCTGACATTATCATACATTTTCCAGCTCCCTCCCATATACGGTAAATTCAGCTGCAGTTCTTTTGATCCAGTGGAGAAATTAGTAATAGTCAAAGTCACTAATAATTATGCTGCAATGGAAAACAACACGTGAAGTCATGGTGCGGTGCTTGCATGCATCCGTGTTTCAGACGCAAGTGCGCAAAATGTAGCTACAGCACGCTGCAAGCGAAACCTATTGCTTACCCCTGCTCCCGTTTCCAGTGCTGCTCAGCCTATAACACTGCTGACGGACGAACCTGCAGCGACCTTCGATGAAATATGCAAGCTGCTGCTTTATTGCGTGTACCACCGCAGGCCGTGTGCAGCAAACCGACCGCGACTCGCTCTGCCGCAGAACCCCGTTCGCGTTACGCGTGCATGGAGAGTGCCCCCACGCGCGTGTCGATACGTTTGACCTTCGAACCCGACCGATCGACACCCACGCATTATGCGCACGCGATACGTGTGGGCGGGGCATACAGCGAGGAAAACAACGCGCAGCAGCTGCTGAAAGTATAGAAGAGAGAACCTGCAACGGAGACAACTGAGAAGATGCTGGGAGGAGGGAGGAAGGGGACGGGCTCCGCTGCTGTGCTCAAATACGACCAGACAGGCGAGTCCTTGCAGCAGGAACCGGACGACGGCGGAGAAGGCAAGACGACGACAGGAGAAAGGAGAGATGAAGAGGTTGCGTGTTCGGTGCTCACCCCAGAGCAGATCTTCAGCCAGCTGTCGATGGTGCTTCAGACTCGCTGTCCCCTTCCCGCGGGTTCCAGCAAAGAAGCAGAGCGGGACGCAGATGGTTGTTCGGCACCACCCGACGGCTCATGTGGCGTTACTCGGAAGCTCAGCAGCAAGACAAAGAGAGGGAGGGATGCGAAAACGCGGAAGGCGGCGGCAGGGCAGCAGCAGACAAAGCGAGCCAAAACGACGGCGGAGAAAAGGGTCGAGAAACGGCCGCCGCGTCGGCGACAGCGTCACTACCAACCGCGTCGTCGCCCTTCAGCTGCGCCTCTCTCTGCGGAAAAAAATCCGCCGGAGACCGTCGCAGAGAGCGAGTCATCTTCGACTACTGTGCGCTCCTCCGCCTCCTTTGCCTCTCCGCTAACGACGCAACCTCGGACTAGCTGCGGTGTGCATGTAGTTGTCATATCACCACAGACACTGTCCCCTTCTCTTCTTCCTACTACTACTACTAGTGCTGCTTCTAACCCGTCGTCACCTCTTTCGCCGGCTACGCCATTTGTATCCAAGGCCAACCCACCATCCGCAGACGAAAACACCAGCGTTGCTATGGAGACGCCTGGCAACGCTCAAGGGCAAGACGGGCCGCATAACAAAGGAGCAGCAGAATCTAGTAACAGTAACGATTCACAGATCTCTAGCAACCCTCGTCCACCAAGAAGTGAAGCTTTCGCAAAAAATCGTGCCAAACAGCAATCTACTAGCAGGGAGAAATCTATGTCTTCAGATGATGGCCGTTTATGTTTCTCGCATCCAATCACTACTAATAGAACCAGCAAACTTCCAAATGAAGGGATTTCTGTTGATACTCCTGTTGGGAAAAATGATAACTTACGACGTGCTCCACTCGACTACGAGCTTTTGGGTCGACTCATCGGCGAAGATACCCTGACATCGTTCTACAAGAGTTTCCGCGCTCACCCTCTCTCCGAGGACTTGGAGATCCGACTCCTTGACCCCCTGAGGGAAGAGGGGTCGAATTTTCACCACCACGACGTCGGGGGGTCTCTGACGGCCCCCAAAAACCTGCCTTGCTGGCTGCAAATCACACGAAAACGTATGCACATTGACCCAAATATTGGTCCCATGTCCCTCGCACGCATCCTCGTCTCGAACACCGGCATCATCAAATTCCAGCACCTGTTCCCCGTCATTCGAACAGCGTTCATGCACCACATGAAAAGCTGCAATATCTCGGCCTTACTCGGCGAGCTAAGCCCTCGGAAAGTCCTTTGCCCCGGACTTCCAGATTACCTCTCGCATCATTCGACTCTCGGATACCACCCAAAAGGAACTGAGGGTGATTCATACCCAAACTCCCGATTACCGTCGTTTCGATCACCGCGAGTGCCCCATGTTTCACATCCCCGAGTCGAACCTTCGCTGGAAGAGGCATTTCCCCGACAACATGTGCACCAAGTGCATCCAGCTCCATTCGTTCATTCTGAGGCTCCTTGAAAAAATGCCGTTGCCCGCAGCCCCACCTCAAAAGAAGTGCTCTCGTTACACCACCGGGACTTCGTTGGTCGAGAACGGAGGGCTGTCTTCCTCCGCGAGTGAAGTCGAGTCCCCTCCCCACGGATCCTCGTTCCCCGACCCTCATTCCGTACCAGGTATGGGGGTTTGGGAATCGGACCCAGTAGTTAGTACATGGATGCTGTATCGGGGGTTGTAGCCAGTGCACAGTGCCTGAGTTTGAGTCCCAACAGAAAATTGGTTCTTTCCCTTTCCGCACTGGCCTATAACACAAATAATTCAGGCAAATGTAGTCGGTATATATTATTATAGTGGACCTCTTAAATTCCAAAGGACACCTCTATAAAAGACACCTGGTGCTTGACACGCAATTCTCAATAATGTAGCTAGGCAAGCACACACACTATTTGTCCCAAGAAGTGTAGTTGCCAGATGCCTGCCTGCAGTTACAGGTATGTTTGGGAGTGGTTGCCGTGGCGAACCCAGCGTTGCCATGGGGATTAATTGGCGTCCTATGAAACTAATGTGTTGCTATGACTCCCTCTACAACCCACAGACTGTGATTCCTAGTACATGTGTATACATAGAACTGTGAATGTGGTTTCAGGCCCGAAATGGTCATATTTGTCCACCTACAGCAGTTTCCGAGGAAACCACAACCCCCCTCTCCACCTCCATGGCAACACCGGTCGCCACGACGACACCGGTCACCGTGACAACAACAGAGGACACCTCGAACAGCAGTGTGTTGGCAACGTACTACAGAGAGTCCTTGGGGCAGAGGTTTATATCCACCCTCTCCACATCTCCTTCTTCCTCTTCGCCTTCCCTCCTCCCCCCTCTCTCCCCTCATCGTCTCTCTAGCTAGCTTACAGCTGTGACGCCATACCAACAACACATTGCTATAGTTCAGCTCAGTTCACACGTTTTAATACACACTTATGTAGTATCTGATGATGATTAAGTTTCAAAAAACGAATGAATGATCCTAGGGGCGAATTAGATACACACTGAGACCAGCTTTTTGTCTGTGGTTTCAGTAATTAGTATGTTACACACCTGACCTCGTAGACACCTGCAAATCAAATGGCTGTATGTCACTGAACTTCCATTACTACGTATATACTCACTTACAGAATGGTTTTTTGATTGACATCATTAACCATTTTTTCACAAACACAACCATAGAAGTTAATGTTAAGTAGTATATAGTAGTTCACACAGTCAAAATGTTCTGCCTATTAAAAAACACAAATTGGTTCTGGCCGGGCGGCTTCTTGTTGTTGTTATTCCGGATTATAACGCAGGACAAACAGCCCTCGTTCGATGCTGCTGACAATGATGTTACCACTTTCAAAGTAGGGATAGCTCGACCAGGCGCCATGGAAACCGGGCGTGTCACACTCGGGACATAGGTCGAAGAAACCGAGCTGTAGACAGGCAAGGGCGAGAAAGAATTGAGGTGGATAGAAGTAGGAAAAAGTTATGCATTGGAATGTTAGAGACGTTTATAATTATATAATGGGACTTTCTATTTGACGACCACCTATGTTTCGATAGTAGAGAAACTAAAGGAACAACAATGAGAATCCTATAATATATTTTACAATGTGAATTTAGGAAACGCCACACCTAGTGCCCAGAGCCGAATGAGTGACTGTGTGCATGTGAGCTATATAACCTCCTTAACACCGTCGCTCTCCTTGATATTTGTGACATCCAAAACCCTCAGACCAGCGCAGTAGTTGGCTTCATACGCTATGCCTTCCCTAGAGAGGTGGGATGGGCAAATTGTAGTTAACACACGCACACACACACACTCCCTACTATACTCACTTAATATAAAGGTTATGATCAGTAGCTTCCTCCTCGGAATAAAACGAATATTCCAAAACGGGTTTATTCAGGTCTTCCACATTCCAGATCATAGAACGTGTGTGAGGATTTGAACCGCTCAATTCGTCCAATTCATCGTTCAGCAAGAGATAGGTCTGGTCCTCTATCAGCCATCCCTGATGGGTGTATTGATAGCCACTGTATCCAGTCCTAGACAAGAGTTCGATGTTCTCTTTGTCTTGAACGTCGACAATCGTCAGAGTATCTTCGTTGTAACAGAAGCAAATCTCGCGCCCGACGTAGGTGCTGTCCGGCCCGGAGTAGACCACACACTGTGCGTCGTGCACGTAGCCGTCATTGCCGTAGCAACCAGAAAAGGTCGGGTTGGTGGGGTCTCGAACGTCAACTATATGGAGCCCGCTGCCGCAAGTCCTGGTACCAACGGCATACATATACCCAGTTTCTTCATTAGCCACAATATTATGGGTGTTGCCCATTTCGCTGTAGTGGCCAGTTTCTTTCAGTTCAAAAATTGGGCCCTCCTCACTTGGTTGGAGATCACGTAGTTGCAAGAGGTCGAAAACCTGCATGCCGTGACCGGCTGCCTCGCTGACAATGAAGGCATAGTTGCTATAGACCTGAAAAGTGGAAAAATGAAATTTGCTGTGGAATGTCATTATATAGAACACATTCGTGTTAGTCATTTACAGTACATACGTTGAAAAGGAGAAGTTTCCTAATAAGGACCAATTGCATCGTACTAATAAAAAATGAAACGAAAGACCAATGGGAAGATAAAGACATGCATTCTCCCGAAACGATTAAAATCCAGAAGAGAAGAACGGGCGAAACTCTGATGCTGAGAAGGAAATGGGAGTGTCTGTGACTACAACTGTAAATTTGCTGACTTGCAAATCATATTCATAGATATGCAACCATACCGGCACATGATCTTTGTAATACACAACTACATTATTCATTGTGCCTTTATCCTCTGCAGTAGCGAAGTGCATAAGCACTGGGGTGCAGTGGCAAATTTTGGACCCCCCAGTATCCTTACCTTGATGTCTCTCCAGAGACTGCTGGAAGTGTGAGTTCTCAAAAATCCAAGCATACCGGGCTTGTTAGGGTCTGTCACGTCCACAAATGAAGTTCCATCATCACAACCAACCAACGCATACTCCCTGGAAGACAAAAATACAAGGTTTCAGGTAAATCGCTTTGCCTGCTCAGAAGTATATATGTGAAGATAGGTTGCCTATTATCCATCACTTTAGACAATACTCAACTGTAAATCTTACAAATCAGGGATCAACTCTATTTCCACACCCTGTCTTTCTTGATCGTGGCTAAATCAATAGGACCCAGGGCAAGATGATGCAATCATGTTTCCGTTTATATTACCATTAATTATAAAGCCCTAATGTACTGTCATAATATTCCATTTAATTTACCTTCCACTCTCAGGGTCAGCCCATCCCCATATGTCGTTCAAATCACCACCACATCCCAAGTCATAATAAGGCACAAACGATTGCAAATCAACATTGCTACACTCGTACTCTGCCGCCACCCCATTCTTGCACCCAATCTCGGCACGGGCGGGTGCAAAGGTCGGACAACGATTCTCTTCAACGCATTTCTTGTGGTCTTCTTCCTTCAGTCTCATAACATACGGCATGCGAGCATTCTCGTCTGCAAAAAAAAACCAAAAACCTTTCTTTTTACTGCACTTTCGGAAACGTGCATAGAATAAAACCGGCATAGATCATTCACATAATATGCAAAGTTGCGTTCTCAGCCGCTTCACTTCACTTTTCTAAAGCAGGGAGGCCTGAAGAAGTTGGTTAGCAAGTATATTATGGTGGTGGTGATGGATATTACTTACGTACTTACCCCACTGGCCGAGTTGATCGTAACCATAGAACCGAGTCTTGTTGACCGTGGCCTGCATATTATATCAATCTAGATATTTCACTGCTTAGAGAGAGGTGGGATATGCAGAGCTAATGTACATGCAGGCTGGCTCGAGAAAAAAAACAATGCGAGCGACCATCTAACTCTTCCTATAATACTGTAGACCGTATACTTACCACGGCCGTCAAGGCTAGGCAAGACAGTACGAGCGCTGTTGCAACCAATTTTCCCCATATCTTTCACTGCGGTTTCCTTCTCTCTCTCTCTCTCTTTCTCTAGCGCAACCGCGACAGTCGTCCGGCGGAGGAGTGGCTTGTTTCAATGACGCAACTTGCAGGATCGACGGTATCTATACGGCGCATGCTCAAAACTGCGCATGCGTAAAACTGCAAAACTGCCGGGAGATAAAAACTCCTTACAATTGGAGATTAGTATACACATGACATCAATACAGAGTCAAGCAGAAGAGTATGTATGGTGGGCATTAATTAGTCATCGTCTCCACGACGCAGCTGATCGAGACGAGCCTGCAGGTCGTCTGTGTCACCCCCGGCTGCCCCGCCCCCTCCCGATGCCACTCGCCTTCTTCTGCAGCGAGATAATCACAGAGGGACAGTATGAAAAGAGATAGATGTGCAAAATTTCACAAACTGGTGCATACGCTCTGGAGAGCATTTTCAAGAACAGTGGTTACCTACATTTAGCTGCAAAAACTACGGCCATTGCACAAATCTATATAATTATGCATGTGCAAAAATACATGTTAACACACATATGGTTGCAAAAGAATTGAACTTGATGCAGTCAGTGTTAACCAAATTTGGCTATGATGTAATGATGATGTAATGTCACATGACCCGACCTGTGCCTGAGTCTGTTGGATGTGAGGTTTCTCGAGACCAGGCGTGATATCAGAGAGTTCGTGGTCCAGGGAAATTCCCAACTCGTCCAGAACTTGTTGGACTATGACCTCTGACTCCTATTGCAAGAGGAGAGGAGGGAGAGAGGGAGAGAGAAGAGGGAGAGAGAGAGAGAGGGAGAGAAGAGAGAGAGATAGAATAGAGAGAGAGAGAGGTAGAGAGAAGGGTGACGGAGAAAGATAAAAGGGAATAACATACAGAGGGGAAGGAAGGGAAGGGGTTATTGGAACTGCCACTATGCTAGGCTGGCACATGACTGCCGAATCACAAAAAACACCTGCTCACACACCACAGCTGCACATCACAAGATATACACATTAAAGTGTGGCGAGTGGCTCCAGAAGTTCATAATCCAAGCGTATTTGTGCGGTTGGAAAAACAATCAACAGAATAATTGCTCCCATTCGCTACACCTACACCTGGCCTGTTAGACGTCTAACCAAGTTGTGGGTGATGGGTGTGCCCCTTAATCATTGCCTACATCAGCAGTACAAAGTGTGAAACCTCTGAAAAAGGACCCTCTGCACATATAGAGAACACCTCTCCATAAAGGAAACTTGGTTCTGCCAAAATAGTAACCTCCAAATAAGGGACACCTCTGAACTTTCGATGCCCCCAAATTGTCCCTTATTCAGCGGTTCCTACTACACCAAATGCTCCATGTATAAAACTATACCTCCTCTTCACCGTCGTCGCCAATGACGTCATCGATGGTGTCGGAAATTGTCTCTTCCTTGAGATCCATGATCTCGCTCTCTCGCTCAAACTGCATCATGACCTTCTGGAGTTGGGGGAGGTTCATCTTCTTGTTCATATTGCGCAGGGCTTTTGTCACCCCTGGGAGGAGAGAAAATGAACTTTACATCAATAAATGACAACACCAGAACACAACACACAAAGAAAACTAGAATATAGTACGGACAAGCATGAACGGAAAAAGAAGTGTGGAATATAGAAAGAAAATGGCACAAACTGACAAATTTTGGAAGGATAAAGGGGAAAAGTGTGAGGGAGAGAGAACGACAGAAATAAACCTAACAAAGTTCGGCACACACACACACACACACACATACGACGTGCACCTTTCATGGCATTTGCCATGGCAGCCTGCGACTTTAGTGTCTGAATCTTGAGCGCGATGCCCTGGATGTTGGCCCTCATCAGTATGAACCGCTTCACGAAACTCCGCGTTCGCACCAGATCCTTGGCCATGATCTTCACCGCCTCCATCTGCCCGCTCTTGGCCATCTTCCTGATGTCGCCGACTAGTTTCTTCTCCTGTTTCTCCAGCTGGGCCCTCTCCCGGTCCAACTCCCGCATTACCTGCAGCGGCAAGTTGGAATCATCCACACGTCTTTTCTTTTCTTGTATCCCCCCCACTCTTTTTTCACTATCTCGCCACTGAAGCTACCATGACTTGGTATAAACTGATATTTACTGCCCCCGTCCCATTTCCTAATGAACCCCTCACTTCGCGGCTTTCTCTCTTCTGGCGTGTGGTGGACCATAGCTGTGTAGACGATCCCACTAACGTGACTAGTTGCCGTCTACTCACCTTGTTCAAGGCTCGCTGGTTCTGCCGAAGCAGCTCCTCCGGAGTCTTTCTCTTCCCAAACAGCCTGTCCATCCCAGTATACTGCCTCTCTCTAGCTCTCTGCGTCGAGTTAGTATTTGTATCACATGACTATCATGTTTAGCATGACGTCATCGATTCATGCGCGCATGCGCGTCAGCTTTAGTGCTTTAGTGCAGTGTGCAGTGCTTTGGCGCGCGCAACTGCTTGCATGCACTATAAAAGTGCACCTCGCCTTTCCTATAGGGGACATCTGGAAGACTCGTAGAGGTATGCCGCTTGCGTGTATTTTGCAGGTGAATCGGCAGGTCCAAAGATGCTCGCCAACGCGCAACATCTGCCGACGCCCGCGCGGGACTTGCCCTGCTTTGGCGGCGCACCGCCGTGACGGGACGATAGTGCAGCGGGGGATCCGTCAATGTTGCACAGAGAAAACGTAGCAAACGAGACGACGACGGCCCTTGCACAGTTACAGCTGTAAGCAACACGAAGCCGAGGGCATCAGTATTGCCCGGGATTCGAGGGTAACAATAGAGCTGAATAGAGTTAATACATTTGCAGAGATGCGATGCTCTTTCTTCTCTTTTCAGGGGCTGACCTCAGACAGAAAGACTGCGCGCAGAGTTCTACGCTTACAGAGAGCAAATGGTGAGTTCCAAAACTTCGTTCCCATCTCTCCCTGTCTCTCTCTCTCTCTCTCCTACCTCACCCACAAACATACATCAGCCTAGTGCCAGTACCGGGGCCAGCAGTTGCCAGAAAGTGGGAATTAAGTTTGGCACGGAGCAGCTAGTGCAGCGTTTGGCGGGCGCATTCTATGCGCAGTTGTTTGCCAGCGGAGGCTAATACAGCTAATGCCACAATGAGTATCGTCCTTTCCTTGTGGTAGCTAACATATCTAGGCCATAGAACACCTTCGTTGGCATTAATAAAAAGGTGCATTCCTTCCCTTTAAGATAATGCATGTCCTACTCCCCACTGCCAAAGACTAGACTACACAACGTTTCAGCCAAACGTGTGTCCAAATTATGGCGTAAACTAAATTTGTCCGAGTCCTTTTTTGCTACCTAATATAGATTCGGGTGCCGTGGTCTGAAATGTATTAGGATTGTCCCTATATCAATGTATGTTGATGACTGAATAACTGACGGTGTGTGTATAAAGGTAATATGACTATTTAGATAGACAGTTGCTAAAGACACAAACTTCGACAGTATAGCAAAACCGAGCAAGAAATGTTGCCTTGTAGCTTTAGCACTCCTCGACGTAACATCCTTGTCGCTAATACTCTGCTGTCTTGTACCACTCAGGTTTTTGCTATCGTGTGAGACGCTGTAAAGCAAAGGACCTTAAAAAGGAAAAAGAGTCCTTTCTGGCAAAGGAGAGTCGTTGTATATTTACTCTAATGCGGCTTGTTCGTGAGTAACATTCACATCACGTATGTGTATACCAGCACAAAGTGCAGAGAAACAACCCATTAGAACATTTTGCTTGCACCGCACTCTTTAGCTACACACCTGTCATAGTCCAGAGTATATGCACACACTTCAAATTGGTGAGAGTAGCGATTCCCTTTGGTAGAATGGAAGTGCTCGGCTTGCATCATCTTAAAAGCGGTCACTGTCTGGGGCAGTGTGTGTTGCATGGGTTCTTTGAAGGACGAAGGCCAAGGAGTCAATTAGGCTGCTGTTCCTTGGCAGTTTGACCAGTTATTACACAAGGGCCTTTCAATTTGGACGGTGGCGGATAACATCTGTCTCAAACTTTACACTAGGTCCAAATTTTGAAGTCGGCATTTTTTTGTGAGAGAGCCAGTGCTCGTGTTGTGGGTGTGTCGGAGCCGGAGGTTCCGGAGGTCCAAAGGTCACCAGTCCACTCTCCGGAATCTTTGACCCGACTCACACACACATGTGGCACTGCACCAGTCTCCTCAGCTACCTCAGTTTGATATGCCTCAGTTACAAGTGACAGCAGGACTCGCTACAACATAGGCACTGCATGCAGGTGGCAGAGTGAGGGACCTATAAAGTGTGTGTAGCTTGTGAATAGCAAAAGCAGAGCCAAGGACACTCCTGAAATGAGGACACCTCTATACCGTTTCTCTCCCTAAAAACAGTTCTACGCAGTTCTGCAACAAAGTGTGGGTTACATTCCTGTCTCTTATAAATTTTCTTTGTGGGATATCTTATACATGGCTGGTTCCTCTGAAATGAATGGCCCACGAAATGCTAAAGTCAAGATTTACGTGCTCTCTGAGCAAAATCAACACGTTCTTTCGCACCTGGACAGCGATACAATAATTCACCTGCAGCAATTTTCCAGAGCAAACAGGGAAATTGTATAACTCAACTCTAATTGAAGGCAATGAGACTTCATTGGGGCATCAATGGTGTGCTAATGAAAGCCATCAAAAACACGCTCTCACCAATCTTTATAGCCAGCAACAAACAACAATACAGCTCTGTAATGCAGAGGAACTGGGATAAGTAATGCACAGTGGAACGCTTGCCAAGCCTATTAGCCAAACATTCTGTCTTCCTTCAGAAGTAGCATATGTTGGCAAGGGCAGCGCACATATGTACAATGAAAGGCTTTTGAAAGCAAGAGGCCCGGGTGAAGTGCATTATAGAGTAACTGAAAACATATGCACCAGGTGTATACAGTGGGCAGGATACACGTTTGATGTGGGCAGGCAAAGGTCCACGGATCATTGCGCATGCGTCGTGTAATTCCTGCGCATGCGCTGCAGACTGCAGATCGACGCGACGCTTTCTGCAGAAGAACGGTGAAGAGAGACCAGGGAATGAGCACAGTTAGCAGCCTGGAGGAAGGGCTCACAAAGCCCAAGGGAGCCGTACTATTTACCGGTGGGTTCCTACTATTCAGTGCGTGCGTATAAATATAGAACGCGCGCAGTCGGAGCACGCAAAAAGTAGGTGGGGCAGCGAAGCCTCAATCCAGAATACAAGTAGCCCAGACACAGCGGGAAAATAAGTTAGCTAGCCGTACCGTGCAGTCGTTTGTTGTAGTCTCTCTCGCAAGCCAGAGTATGGAAACTAGAGGGTGCGAGTTGCGAAACTACGCTGAGCTCTAGCTACGTACGCTTCATCTTTTGGCTCCTCCATAAACACCAGGTCCTGACGGAGTAGGCAACCACAGAACAACGGTCGCAGATCCTCGTTACGTGGGGCACGGATTCACGTCTCCAGAATCTTCCAGCGACACGCAATACCTCTACAGATCAGCTCCGGTAATGATCTCTGCAGTTTACCGTGAATCTCAACAATATAGCCCTTCATAACAGACACACGCTTGGGGTTCAGGCACGTACTAAAGTATATCAACGTCCCCTGAATAAGAAACACTCTCAATGTCCCAAAGGTTCCAGAGGTTTTTTACTGTAGTGGGAAATGTGCTGGCTAGAATGAAAAAAAAACTGTAAGTATTACGTTCAGTGAGTATGTTTCCTCTTTTCCTCACACTTATTTGTAAGACATGTCCCCACCCCGCACCCAAGTCAGCCAGAGTGGGAGAGGTGGGCTGGGGTGTGCCTAAACTCACCCACAGCAACGACAAAGTATTGAAATCCGGCCACCAGATACAGGTTTGAGTAACAGTAACAAAAACCTCTTGTGGTGTATGCAGCACTTGATCTAATGCCAGTAGCTTCTTAGAGGCAGAAGCAGGCTGTTGTACGTTCAGTTTTCTTTCTCACATCAGTTGAAGGAGTTTCGACAGGCTGTTGAAGACCGACACACCCACCTTTATCAGAACCCTTATTACCCTCCGCCCCCTCCCTCCTCCACTGTTGCCACGGAGACTACATCATCAAGGTCACATATTGCGATCACTTATGGGTTTGGCGCAGCACATCATGAATGACCATTGACTACAGTGAAAACTGAACGGGAAACCTTGCACAGAGAAGTTCATAGGCATCCCTAATTCAGACTATATACGGCCTACGGGCAGAAGCAAGAGTCCTTTTTAGCCGGAGGTCATTTCCTTTCAGAGGTTCGTTGGGTCCACCTGCTGCCCAGCTAAGCTAGGACTTAAACAGTTGCTGCGATATGTACCCGAGGCAGAACAAGGATACATGCATATGCTGAAACCAAAATCTACATGTCAGCCAGTCTAAAGTACAGGGATGGCACTAGAGATTCCCCTGTCTCTGCACGTGATACTAGTAGGCGAAACTTTTGTATCATGATTTAGTATAAATAGCGCGTAGTTTGCGTGTGAAGGTCTCTTTCTACACAACAGGCCAAGGGCCGTCGAAGGACTGGAAGCAGACAGCAAGAAGTCTGTTACAGAGACCAGTGCCCATTCAGGGAGCACCGGCACTGTCGAGAAAGAACAGTGAGCAACAATGGTGTTTCCACCAAACACCCTTGACCTTCATCAAGTTTTATCCATGCTACATATTTACTCTTTTCCTTTGCTCTGTAAGATCCATCGGATATCCACGTAGCTACACTTTCGTCTTTACCGCAAGTTATCTCTTTCCCAGGCAAGGGTGAAAAAACCAAAAGCGAGGAAGAACAGTCAAACATGGCGTCATTGTATTGCCATTCACAATAATTATTATATGACATAATGACAGCCGGTGTTGCGGTACACGTGCAGCTGCCAGACCCTATTTAAAGCCCACCACTAATTAATACACATGATGTACTGTACTCTTGGCAATACAGTCTCTAGCGGCTAATAATTTGACAAGTGTCAAGACTCGAAATCGAGGGCGAGGCCGAATTTGTGGCCCCCGGCTTGGACGTTTCTTCCCTCCAACATTCCGGAGAGTGTCAGCTTTACTCCGGAGCGGAGGTCCTGTGCATAGCTCACACCGATCTGGCCCTGGTTGTTCACCTTGGTCTGCGAAAAGAGAGGGAGGGAGGGAGGGAGAAGAGAGAGGTAAAATTGAAGAAAATTGACGGATCCCCTTTCACTCACAAAAGACCATACTCGCTGTCAATTCAAGGCAAGTACAAGTTATCAACACACCCAGGACAACACTTATTCCAGTTTTAGAGAACAGTACCCACTATTACTGGACTGTCTAGGTATGACAGTTGCTTCCTATAATTCAAATGCGGAGGGAAGGGTGCAGGTAGGATGATTACAAGGTGAAAACAAGAGAGATTCTTTTACCTTCATGACTGCGCCGTCGTCCATGACGTACTTTCCGGCCAGCCCGAGTGAGACGTTGCTTGTCTGCCAGTTGTACGTCGTCAGGAGACCCACCTCCGTCTTATCGCTGACCTGGGGAAGAAAGACAGAAATTTTTTCGGGGGGAGACACATGGAAATGTTTTCGGCTGATTGGTAATCCTAGGATATGCCACCAACAGGTCAGAAGCAAGATTTTGTATTAGTGAGCTGTCCTTATTGCATGCAAAAACTGTTCGTGAGGAAGAAACGGTGTCCTTATTGGATAAGTGCCATTCCTCTTTATTTTAGCATAATAATGTACTGCGATCATCATTCAACGACAGATAGTTTTTTGGATGAAGGAAATATAGCTACATACAGACCTTGTGGTGAACTGAGGTAGTGCAGTCTGCTGCATTCATTCTGTGCAGGGTAGAGACGAGAGAGAATGGTAAACCCCATATTACATGAGGCAACATGCAACAACGAGCTAGTTGGCAGAAAAAAACGACAGTCTAATTAATGTTGCAGGATAAAAAGAGAAAGAGAGAGAGAATAGACGAAAAAAGGGAGAAGCAAACAAAAAAAGAAGAGAAAACAAGAAAAACTGAGGTTTACTTACAGGCTGCCGTGGACGGTAAAGTCGGAACCCTGGTAACCACCGGCAACATTGTTTGCCTCTAGTTTTGTGTTGGAGGTGTTGTAAGCCATCTGGTAGCCTGCATACCACCCATTGTACCTGAATACACGTAACTCAGGTCATGTGACATTTCACGAAAGATCACATGACAATCCACGAGATCACACACGAGAAAGATTTCATGTACTGTACATGATTCATGTGACATTTCACAGAAAGATCACATGACAGTCCACAAGATCACATGACTCACATGAACACCGCAGATCCCCTAAAGATAGGTCCGTTGACTCGAAGATCTACATCTCCATCCAGACTGACGTAGTCACGGCGATAACCAGCCTTCAGCCGAGCCTGTCTGAACCTGGTGGGCAACAAATAGAAAGAAAAATTTGGGCCATAATATTGGGTGACCTGATGTACACTGATAGAGATTTGAGTTGAGCATTATTCATATCAAGTCAAATAGACAGTGGGCACTAATTAGAATCAGTGTGATGTGCACCAATTGGAATTACCCGCTGGTTGGAACGAGAGCAGAGCCGAGGGTGAGTTTGAGGCCCGCGACAGCGGATGGTTCGTAGACCAACTCTGAGTCTATCTCTGCAGCAGTACTCCAGGACTCGGAGAACGTTACTCCTGAAGAAAGAGAGGAAGGAAAGAGAAGGACGAGGGGGAGAGACAGAAGAGAGAAGAGAGAGAGGCAAAGCAAGGTTGGAGGGCAGGAGAAGGGGAGGGTAAAAAAAGAAGTGTTTAAAGAGAAAACATTCCTCATGAAACTCATTACCCTAGAATTCACGTCTCATTATTCACAAGCGAAAGTGGATAGTTACATGAAACACTGGCTTGGTCAGCACATTTTACTGACAGATAGAGTCATGGGCCCATTAAAGGCGTCTACACAAGGCAAGCCCACCACAAACAACCCAACAATACAGAAAACACACACTTTTTAAAGAAACCAGCGTGCTCGAAGCAATGACACTTTTCATGCATACAGTAGTTAGCTCGTTCTGACTACCACGGCCATAGGTGTACTTACCATAGTCTGGAAACTTTAGCTTGGTTTTCAGCTGTCCTGTGGTTCTGCTCTTTTCAAGATCGTGTGAGCCACTCGTATCAAATTCCTGGGTAGGAGAGGGAGGGGAGGGGAGGAAGGGAGGAGGAGAGTAAGATGAGAAGGGATAAGAGGGAGGGAGAGAGGGATAGGAAAGGGTAAGTAGGGGCCAAGGCTCAGCCCCAACCAACCAACTCACCACTCCAGACTCAGTCTTTGTCTTCAAGCTGAGCTTGACCTTTGGGAAGTCTGCAGAGCCAATTTCAGAAGAGGAGAGAGAAAGGAGGGGGGTACCAACATTGTACAACTTGACACACACATGTATATAGAACAATAAGGCATCAATGCATTCAATAGCACGTCTCAATGGCGTCTACTTCACCAGCTCGCACAAAACAGGACGCAAAGAAAGACGAATGCGAAGAGAAAACGGAGAAATTTCTTTTGTAGCGCACGTACCATATCCCTTGTCGAAGACGTCCCTCGCGGGCTTTCCAAGATCTCCGTAGGTAGGGGGAGAGTTGGACATGGCGTTCGGTTAGGACTCTGAGACCTGTTGGGCTGGAAAAGAAACAATACGTTCAAACTGAAAAAGAGGGCGGCGAACGTGACGCAGCTTCATGCAAACCGCGCTCCACGTGCACAGCATCTGCTTGAAACATAAAGTGGCGATCAACTGTCTGTACTTACTCGATCGCGGCAGAACAAGAAAGGGAGAAAGACATAAGGAAACTCACTTTTAGGGGGCTGCTGAGCCGCTGCTGCTTTCTTGCGGAGGCCGGGAGGGACTGGACCGGAAAAATGGCGTGACGATATATGCGCATGCGCAATATATGCGCGTGCTTGTCCACGTGACACTTACACGTCACACGTGCACACAACGCAACAAAATCGGTGCAAGTTTTTCTTTCCCTTTGGAAGCACTTATTCTTTTGCCGTTGAAAAAGATGTTAGTGTAAATAGAAATAGGTAAAAAAGACTATGCGTGAAAGAGAAGGGGGGAAAAAATTAGATTCCCCAAGGGAGGATCGAACTCCCGACCTTCGCATTTCTCAGTGTCAGTACTGCTTATAAGTACGACGCTCTAACCTGCTGAGCTACTGGGGAACACGTCAGCCACTGCGTGAAATTCCCTTGATAAACCAAATGCCACGGGCCACCACCAAAGGGGAATTCTCTTCTTCTAGAGAGGCGGTTCCATCCACTCACTGTTCCTTACGGTCCTTTTTATTTCTTCAAACAGTTTGATTATCCAACCCTACTACACGTATATACATCATGTGTTACTTGTGCACTCATAGTATAATAATAGGACAGTAATAATAATTATATGCAAGTACAACAGACGCATGTGATCTACTCAAAGGGTTGCAGTTATACAATGGATCCTAAGGTGCAACATTTAAGTTCAGCTATCCACGTGGCCCGTCACATTGCGTATTTTCTTGTCCACTCTTTTGCGAGCTCATTGTACTTTTGTCTGTCTGTTTTGTAGATCCTGGCGATGTCAGGTACAAGAGGGTCATCTGGATTAGGGTCGCACAGAAGACTGCATATAGATAGCAAGACTGTGTGTGTGTGTGTGTGTGTGTGTTTAGGTGAGAAGAAGATAGAGAGAAAAATAAGTAAAAATGGTGAAGTTTGTCCATACAATTTGTTTTAAAACAGATTTTTTTATCGGGTAGTTTCATCCAGCAGAACCTTCGAAAAATAAAGGACTACTCTCTATAAGGGAGGCCCCTGTCTATATCTTTACAATTTGGCATACAACAAACTTATAATCTCGTAGTTTGATAATCACATTGGACACAGTTAGGGCACACAGTAATGAACTTAATTAATGCGGAACCTCCAAGTAAGGGACGCGCTGTGACTGTGATCATGTACAGAGAGAGGTGTCCTTTACTCGGAGATTAAATACCACTCTAAAGGATAACGCTCCATATATGATAGGGGCGCGCTTTGTAACTGTATTAGTTTCCTGTACTTCATATACTACTCTAGTTCAATGTGTAAAATGCACAATTAATAGGGTCAACATTACACACACACACACACATGATAAAAATACAGGAAGATAGTGGTTACGACAAAGTACCTTTAGAGATGGTAAGCGCTGGACTCCATTGTGACCGTAGTATGTCGAGACATATACTACCATTGGAGTTTATGTTAGGATGGTAAATTTTAGTTGTGAACGCAACCTGGGTAGCGAGAAGGAAGAGGAGGGAGAGAAGCAGAAGAAAGATGGAAGAGGAGGGAAGGGGGAGGGAAGGACGAAGACAAGAGGTGTAAGACGACATCACACTAATAGGTCAGTGTTCTTCTTCATAAGTGTACGTAATTTCACGTCAATGTCGTTAGCGTGTTGCAATTTAAATTCCACGCTCAATTCACATACCGCCAATAACATAAACACACACACACACATCGAGTAGCTGGGAAAACTCTATCACGCATTCTTCTTGCAATGGCAAATCATCAATAGAATAAGCAGCCATACTATACTTTATTGAACAAATGGATGCAGTATATAGCTCCACCAGTGAAATAACTTGCACAAACTTTGGGCGGTTTGAAGGGGTAGTCTGTTGGAAAGTGAATTGTGAGGAAGAACACACCTCCCTGATACGGACTGTCCGGCTGAGGGGAGAAAGACAGGAGAGAGGTGGTGGGAAGAAAATAATTGAAACATCTTAAAAACGACCCTCTGGATAAAGGACACCTTCCTATGGTCTACACTAGGTTCTGCCCCGTACTAAATAAAAGTGAAAAAGGTATGCCCCTGAATAAACGACGTTTTAGATACCTCCAAGGTGTCCCTTATTAAGAGGTTTCACTATAGAATGTTTCCATTAGCCTCACATACACGTAGGAGAGTGAGGTGTTTATGGTGCTTGCACACGTGAAGGAATCAACATAAGTTGAAAGTCTGCTGTTATGACATCACTGGGGGGCGTTGGCTAGACTAAACACTAGCTAAACTATATATGGAGCATGCCCACAAGACAGAACAGAAAGGCTATGTATCTATATCTGGCGCAAAACAGTAATAATACTCTCTCCCTTTCACCCTAAAAGAGAAAGATGTGAATAAGGCAAAGAAACTTACCGGGCCCATGATTGTAGCTTGCCAGTGGAACACTGCACATGAAATAGAGAGAGAGTGTGTATAAAACTGTGACAGATGGAGAAGTAAAGAGATATGGAGAGGGAGAAGATGAAAGAGAGAGAGAGATGGGAGGAGGGGAAGGGTGTGTAAGTTCTTACGATCATCTCCAACTGGCCCTGCGGAGCACTGAGCCGGAGGGTCTCTTCCCAAGTCCTGTAGCTCCTGACAGGGAAAGAGGAGAGAGAGAGAGAGAGAGAGCAGAGAGAGACAGGGGAAGAGAGAGGGGAGGAGAGGGAGGAGAGAGAGTGGGGGATCATTCAATGTCAGCAGAACACAGTCCAATGTGGTGAAACACAACGAAGCACAGCCGCCATTTTTGTGACATCCAATAACACAACCGCAATATGTGTGTACATGAAGAAAACTCGCATGTGCAATGTCATCTCAGACCAGTATTTCCCACAACACATGCCACGCAGAGACCCAACCACAGTCTGTGTAATCAGAGGGGTAGCCCCTACAGGCAGGAAGTAATTAAATCAATACTTTCAGTATCAGCTGAACCTGCTTCTCTAAAAGTACAACACACAGACACACAAAATATGCTGACTGTAGTTGACGGCTAGTTACAAAGCCTAAACACACTGGCACTTTCTACAGGGCGAGTGAGCCAAGATAACAAGTTGCTGGTTCAAGTTCGGGAGCGACACCATTTCGATTTCACTCACAAAGAGACACAAAAGTATATACTCAAAACACCATACCCCCACACACGCCTAGACGGGGATGCGGCCGCGGAAAAACCAAGAAGCGTCGGCCCACCCGTTTCTACAGCTATTAGCACCCAATCTGGCGAAACAGCGGGTAAAAGATAGGCGATAATCACTCGGGCAGCCGTTCCTGGGAGCGGGGATACACGCCTTCTTCCGCGTCCAGTACTGACCTTGTTTATTCTTTTTAGCGCCATTTCTGAGTCCCCCGGCCAGCTGTATTCTCCTCGGAACAGTCTCTGTTCCCCACCGACAAATGTAGCCCCTTGTACGACCCACACTTCAGCGCCCTTTTTCGCGTTTCCTGCTACCCTTCGGATTTTTTCCGCAGGCAAAGGCGTGCTGAGCGAGTTTCTACACGCACGTGACCAGTTCGCTGAACTGCGTGATAATCACGTGTCTTTTGACGGCACACCGTCGGGGAGGAGTGGCACGACCACGTGGAGTAAAGGGAAATGTCTTCGTCTGGAAAGATCAGCCCGTATGTGGAAAACGTGCGGGCACACTTCGAAAACAACAAGCGGAAGAAAGACTACGTCTCGCATCAGGCAAAAGTAAGCCTCCTAACATCTTCGGCCAGATAAAGATATCATACTCCAATTGGTGCGCACCCCTCCGGAAGGTTCACTCTGTCGCGTGGAACTGTGACGGGACGAGACTCGCCAGCGGCTCTTACGACAAGACTGTTACTCTTTGGGCTTTGGATGCCGAGAAACTGGTAAGTATAGAGCACTTAGGCGGATGGACTGAAAGAAGTTCTTTTATGTCGTGCGTCAAGACACCTCACTAATATGGACACTTTCTGTCCCATTGGTGTGTTGAGTAGAGGAGTCATTTCCCCTTCCCAGAACCACGAGGGCAACTACAAAGTTCACTCTGGTAGTGTCGACCAACTCTGCTGGCACCCGAGCAAGAAAGACGTGTTTTCCACCGCGTCTGCCGATAAGACTGTCCGCCTTTGGGATGCCAGATGTAAGCTCTTGTTCATTTCCATCCTTCACCTTACTCTTCTTCAGTGGAACCTTTCTATAAGGATACCGTTGAAATGGGGACACCCCTGTAATAAGGAAACCTATATACTTCTCCAAAAAAACAGTGTTGCGTGCAATTTAACCACACTGGAATAAGGACACCTCACTAACACGGACAATCTCTTCTGTTCCATTAGTGTCTGGATTAGAGGGGTTCCACTGTACATGATTTCAATGCGTTACGTTTGTGGCACGAATCGGTTTGTTGTACATACGTATCTACCTCTGCGCATTGCTCTGGGTGTCTGGTAGAAGCTCCTTTACTGTCTCCTTTACAGCTGGTAAGGTGACAAGCACCATACATACGAAAGGCGAAAACATCAACATCTGCTGGAGCCCAGACGGAAACAACATCGCCGTCGGCAACAAGGTGACATCAGCATTACATCATCCGTCTTTACAGGAACCTCTGTTATATACTGTGGGTTTATATACGTGTTATTGTTTCGGTAGGTTGACCTGTTGACCTTTTTGGATGTGAGAACGTCTAAAGTAAAAGCTGAGGAACAGTTCAAATATGAGGTATGTATATATAATGAGGGAGGGAGGGATGAAGAAGAGAGAGGAGGGAAAGAAGGAAGAAATAAAGGGGAAAAGGTTGGGTTCAATTCACAAACTTTCCTAAATTCTACCAAAAGATTGGACACAGTAGTAAAAAGCCGTATAAATTTTCACTGAACAGAGTTACAGCGCGCACACTTGACATTATATCATGAGGCGTAATAGCCACTGATGTGTACACAAACAATGAGGTACTATTAATGAATATCGTTAATATTCAGGTGAACGAGATATCGTGGTGCCACGATGGGGACCAGTTTTTCATCACCAACGGCAACGGCTGTGTTGTAATCCTCAGGTGAGCAGTTCAGGACAGACACACAACTTGTCCTAAAACTCTTTAGGACGTTGTATAATATGAAATGGGGACCATTCTAATCCGGACACCAATGGGGCAGAATATCTAAATCGGTGGTGGGGGCACCATTTTCTCCTAAGTGAGGTTCCTTATTTCAGGGGTTAAATTTGCACGTAAGAACTGTCTTGTGGGGTAAATGAAATTAGTAGTAGTCTCCAATTTTGTTTAAAGACTCCACACCCGGTCTAGGTAGTGGGTACTAATTAAACGTTCCATTCTTATACTCACCACAGTTGCCGCCTGACCTGAAGCCTCTGCATTTTAAGCACAAGATTCATTTGATCCAGTGATATGCACTCACCTCCCTCTTCATCGTCCATCCATAGTTAGCTCATGTATGTGCGAGGTTTCTCTCTCGGAGGCATCACTAGGTCCTCTAGCGTCGAGTGGAGTGACTGATGTGAACACTACGACGCAGTCACTAGGGCAAAAGACAATCTATATAATATCTGAGTGAAGAGCTCTCGTGTTGACTCAGTACAATCCAAGTTTATTGGATTGGGACTTCTAGCTATAACCATACTCCAAAATCGTCTGACATGGGTCTCCGCTTTTATCCCCAAGTACCAGGAATCCCTTTGAATTTTTCCAAGAATCTAACAATGTTTGTTTGGAACACTCTACTTCAATCCCAGACTTCGATAGGGAGCAAAGGGGTACAGATCATCAGGCGAGAGTGTATGATGAATGGCTCAAGTTTTGGCGAAACGAAGTTCATTCTGTGCGCGCAGAGGACAGAGGCATCTTGGAGACACAAGACGTTTCAGACGAGAATGTAAATACACTCTGTAGGCAGTGAAGGCTCTGCTCGCGAGATTAGATTTTGCTCGCCGTGTCATGTCTAGCAGGGTGTGCTTGATATCACAGCATGTGTTACTCGCTTTCAGTTCTTGCGGGGAAGGAGTTCAGAACTACTAACGTAACCATACGAAAGGTGAGCTATCACATGCTTCACTAGACTGTCAGGATCAAGAGGGAAAAGCTGACATGTGTCGAGTGAGGGTTGTGGTTTGACAAAATACTATTCCTGAGAGCAACATGCTAGGCTCGAGCAACGCATGGTGTGGACACAAAATTGTGATTCTCCATATGAAACCATACATGCTCTGACAACTGTCCCTACCTTTCCAAAACAGTCTGTCAGGATAGCCCTCTCATAGCGAGACCCATTTTACAGGGCAGCCAGCTTGTTAGTCCACTAAGACCCACCATGACATTGGAGAAGATCGTTCTCTCTTGGAATATAGACAAGTAGTAACAACCTGGACTCTATTCCTGTCTTCTCGAACTTAGCAATGAACTCCACGTACCAGCTTGGCTGTCGGTGTATGTTTCTCATGCATAACAGACGCTATTTCCCTTCCTGCTGAAGCTATGATCTCTACCAGACAACCACATGAGTCTTGTGAGATACTTGCAGTCTTCATGTCGCAACCACCCGCTCACGACACGCACTGAAGGCCACTTGTCTGAACTAAAGGCTCGAACTGTAAACACAGCTGGCTTTGAAGAGCATACTAAGTATGG